TCATCGCCAACTACGACTCCTCTCCGCCTACGTTCCACCTCGCGAATGCCCGGCCACACGGTCCGTACATATTCACGCGAACGCTGTGCCCTGACACGCTTCCAGTCGCCGCTGAACAGACCAGTGTGTCCGGTTTCGCCGCCTCTGGTCTGACAGGGGCTATTTTGGGTGGCGTCATCGGCGGCATCGGGCTCTCGTTTGCCATCTTCTGGCTGTTCAGGAAGTGGATGCAGCGACGGACGTGGCGGGACCAAGCAAAGCAGGCCATGAAGGGGAAAGGAATCGACAGCGCGTCGACGATCACTGTGACGGCAGGCAAAGGGAAAGGGTCGCCGTCCTCCTTCAGCAGTCACGACGAAGAAGCGCATAGAGAGGGCAGCAGTGAAATGGCGACGTTCGCGTTCGACTTCAACTCGCAGCAGCACCAAGCATACCACAACTTCCTGCAGAACGCGACACAGCCGGGTCGCCAGCAATCGCAATCGCCACCACAACAGAGTTACCCGGCTGAGAATGTCGATGCACAGAGCACCGCAGCTGCTCACGATCCCGTGTCTCCCTTATTGCACAGCTCAATGCCGGTCACCCAATACGCCCGCTCGTTCACCCAGGACTCGTACTCCAACTCGCCACTCACGCCCGCCACAGGGGTGCCCCTTCTCTACTCGCAGCAGCAGCAGCAGAATGGACGCTCGGAGACCACCGCTCCACCTTCATCATTCCCATCGACGGCCTTTTCACCGCTGACGTTGACGCACACGAACACCTCCCTCGAGGACCCGACGTCGACATACCCCTTTGGCACGGGCCAGGGTCGGGGCGAGGCGGACCCGACGTTTCAAGCGAGACAGGCCAAGCTGCGCGGCGGCGCCGGCGGCGGACGCGGGACGTTGAACCTGCAGACCGAGTTCGCGCCGCCGCCGACGAGGACACTGGCATCCTCTAAGGGGACCAAGTTGGCACGAAAGGCCGTGGGCAAGGAAGGCGGCAAGAAGGAGAGTTTGTTGAAGAAGGTGTTTCCGTCGTCCTAGACGCCTTCCCCTTGAACCAAAAAAAAAACCGACACACCACGACCTTTCAACACCGATGTTTTTAATTTCACGACTGCAAAGTGGCATTGCGCGAGGCATGAGGGGTGGCGTCGGCGTCGGCGTCGATGGAGTCTTTGCATTTGCATTTGCCATACGCGACCTTGGATTAGGGGTCTCTCGCGAGGTATGTTTGGTCTAACGAGGGATTCATTACGAAGGAAGGACTACGAAGGACACAGTCACGAAACTTGGGAAAAACAGCACTCGCTCGCTCTTATATTTTTAATTCGGTGTATCCAAGCAAGATATTCTCCATGTGTGTTTTTGACGTATAGTACAGACACGAACCGCACAGTGTGCATATGTGTGTGTTAACTCGAAGCTTTTCTTGCCGTTGGTTTTTTTTTTTTTTCTTCTTCTTCCAATCCGAAGAACTAAACCACCTTCCCTTCATCCCCATGTCCTATCTATTCCTATCTTCCTCCCTCCGCCCTTCGTACCTACGTTGATTCTAATTCTGTCTGAAACCCTTTCTTTGTGAGTGTGCGTGGGCATGACTCAAACGCGGAAACGAAAATATCCACCTCCTTCCCCATACGGTAACTGCTTGCCGTGCGCGCGCGGACTTTGTTGGATCCTGCGTCTATCATCCGTCATCGGTCGGTGTGTACCGAGTATGTGTGTGCGTGCGGGGAGGGGGGGACCGAGGGATCTGAAAATCCGGAGGTCGATGGTTTCGATCAAGGAACGGAGAAACGGGTTTACTATGATGATGATGCTAAACGCATTTCATGATACACGAGTACGGTAGATAGGTAGGCGGGTGCCCAGGCAGGTATGCAGGTACGTAAGTAAGACGGAGTTTGACAGTCAGAGTCGTCGGTACTATTATCATCGCTAGGACCTTGTGTCTCTCCTCACTCTCCCTCTCCCTCTCTGTGTGACTCTCGCTGTATGTCCAAGACTACTGATAAAGTACACCCGGAATATGCCCATGAGCCAAGAGATCTCGTGCTGAGCCCAGGACTCTCGGGGTGAGCAGTGAGCAGGTTGTGTATGTGTGGGTGGGGGCTGGGCTCATCATTTCTCACAAGGGCTTGCTGCGTTTAATCCTGGGAGCACTCGGTATACGTGGTGAGAGAGGCACCACTGCCGACATCGACATTGACACTCACTGACTGGCACAGTGCATGTCTTGTCCACCATCGCTGTTAGACGGCCATGTCAGCCTTCTCATTCACCTTCCCAGGTCCCATACCCACGTCCACCCCCCCATCCACGCCCGCGGAGTGCTTTGTATCCCTCCACTCCTCGCCGCTCTGCATGGTTGATTCTTCCCCTCGACGACTTCCTAGGTCTTTGAAGCCTTTCGCCTTCACCCGCGCGATGAACAGCTCGTCCAGACGCTCGTAACTCAATCCCGCCGACTCGGGCAGGCACAGCCACAGGTACACGATGGAGAGCACGGACAGCGCGCCGAAGATGAACGTCACCTTGGCGCCCAGGTTGGCCTTGTCCGGGTTGAAGAGGTAGGGGAGCACGAATCCCCACATGGTCTATGTAGGTTCAGTCAGCCGTGTTATACATAGATAGATGTCACCTGGCTGACCTTCCTTTGGGGCAATGAGGAGGGAAAGGGAAGAAGAAGTCGAGCCAGTTGCCAATCATACAAGGCTGCACTTACAAAGAGAGCGCTCTGCAGTCCAACCGATATAGACGCCGTCTTGGCCCGGAGGCGGGCGGTGGGGATCTCGGTGAGGATGGTAAAGGCGGTGGCGCCAATGGTGGCATTATAGACAAAGGCGAAGAGTTGGATAAGTGCGATCGTCCCTTTGATGGCGGGCGGCGTACCCGAGACAGCAAGGCCTGATATCACCACCAACCCTGTTAGCGAAGGGTCTTCTTAAGTCTCCAACTCGCGCGGCACGAACCATCAAAGAGGGCATCCAGACCAACAAGATGCGGCGACGAAGGCGGTATACATACCTCCAGTAATCAAAAGAATCAGCGTCAACATGACCATGCCCCAGAGTGTGAGAGGCCGCCGTCCCACTCTGTCCACCAGGAACCATGAGCAAATATTTCCGGCACCCGACAAAACCTGTTGGACAATAAACAGACGAAAACTTGCCGCAGTGCTGTATCCTGCAAGCTGTTGGTAGTATGTAGCGTAGGACCCGACAAAGGCCACACCCGAGAAGGTCTGGATGGTCAGCGGCATGGCAGCGATGATGGTTCGACGCAAGTTGGACCGTCGAAAGCATTCCGTGTACGTCGCCCCGGACGTTTCCTCCTTGGTCTTGGCCAGCACTCTCTTGATCTCGGTTAGTTTGAGCTCTGCTTCACCATCGGTAGAATAACCAGTCTTTTTGAGAGCTTTGAGAGCCCTTGAGTCCCTGCCATGGCTGACGAGCCACCATGGCGACTCTGGCATGAATGGAAGCACAGCCACCGCAATGGCCATAAAGCCATAGCCAGCCACGAAAGCAATCCGATAAGCCCAACGAGTGGACTGGTTGCCGGTGAAATTGACCACAAGAGCAGACGATAAAGACCCGAGGATGAGAGAGATGGGGACTGCAGCCGTGAGCACTCCGCGGAGTGCCAGTGGTGTGATCTCCCCGATATAGGCCATGCATAAAGAGTTGGTCCCGCCCGTGGAGAAGCCCCCTAGGAAACGTCCTGCAAAGAAGATGTTGTTGGTGGTAGCGATGAACTCCAACGTGACCGATGTCAGTCTGACGGCAAAGATGCAGCAAAGTGCAAACCTCCGACCAGCCTTGTCGGCGAGCCACGCAGCACTTAATGCGCCCATCACAGAGCTGCCATGGAAAAATCAGCCCGAGTTCCCCGTTCACCGACAGGGAATATGCGAGCAAGTCTAGGGGGCCATGTCTTACGCTGCCTGAGGAGCGCCGTAGTAGGCCGACTGCCACTTGGCCGACAAGACATAGTTACCATGATAAGCACTGCCAAAGTCTTTCCGAAATTGAGGGATTCCAAGGACTGACTGCCCTGCCGTCTTTGCGTAGTTGTTGGCTAGAACGCACCATAGCATGTAGAGGCACCATATCACTGCCCAGATGTACTTGCGCATGGATCCGCAGATCGACGAGCCGGCCTTATTGACAGTGGACAACGCTTTGAACGAGGGTGCTTCGACAGTGCAGACATCGGTGTCAAGTGCAGGCTTTGACGAGTCGCCAGCCGCCATGACTTTCACGCTGTCCAGCAGATCAAGCTCATGGACAGCAGGACGAGACCATTTTATATACAGCTGCAGAGGAGGGCATTTCGACGCGCCTCGAGGGGACTTCTGGCTGTCAAGCCATGTGTGAAGGCCGCGATAACCAGCAGATGCAGCGACATTTCGATTGTGCGACGCGGCTTGGGCGGTACGAATAGAAAGACGACAAAAGCGTTGATGCCACGGCCTAGAACTCGATCCCGCTCTTTTGTTCCATCCCGAGGCTCACCGGACCCAATTATAATCAGCCCAGCAGCCAGCCCGTCTCTTTAGCGAGTGCGAGTCTGAGTAATCGCATGAGCGGCTGGTCCCTGGAGGGGTTGGCGCCAGCCCGTGGGGGCCGTTTTCTCTTCGTGCTCGATGACGGCGACCTCGCTAAAGAAGGGTTTTCGGCACGGCCTTCGTCAAGGCCGATGGAATATCAGAGCTGAAGACTTGGCAAAGAATAAGATTTTGTTCGTGAGAAGTCGAGTTCCAAGAGAAAGATTCAGTTGGGATGGGAAGAAAAGAAAGAAAGTAGCGTGTTGAGTGCAGATACAACAACATCAACCGCAGTTAAAAGCCATGAGCGAGTCAACATGGCGGGGTGACTGATCGATGGCTCTCAGAACTTCCTTCTCGATGACCACCACTACCACCACCACCACTCACAAGAAACACTCCAAACACCTGTCAATGCATCCGTTGGTTCCTCCCCGTTCAAAAAAGCCTCGCGCTGCACCATGAGCCAACCTCGAAAACCTCCTCCACTGATGTTCATCGTGGGCGACGCGAAGAACCCCTCGCGGACCACCAAAGCCGTCAAGTCGGCAAAGACGTCGCACATCTCGTCGCGCTACCGATACTGGAACAAGGCAAACCACCAGGACCTCGCGCTCGACTCGACCACCAAGGCCATCTTGACCGGCACATCGTCCTACCTGCAGAGACTGTCCACGGCCAACTATACCAAGACACCTCTGGCACTCCCAAACAACGACGACGAGACGGAGCAGGACTACAAAGAGGGCACTACCGCTGACGAAAACAATGCTCTTGTATCCACGGCAGCAGGCTATGCAGCCACCTCGCAGAAGCCCTACTTGGCCATCAAACCCTGGGAGCGCGCCCTCAGAGAATACGAACAGTGGTCCGCCTCGCCCTTGACCTTGCTGGGGTCGCAATTCTTCGATGTCTTCACCCCTTCCACTGCCTTGAGCTACGATGCTGAAATCAAAGCCAACCTCTATTTTTATTTTTGGATCATCAGGCCGTTCGCGACTCATCTGCTGCAGTCGTGGAAGTGGCTCGACAACTTGTCCCAGATCCAGGCTTCCCCCTGTCTAACCTATGCCGTGGCCACATATGCTTCTGTGTTTCTCTCCGGAATGCTCAGAGGGTGAGCTCCCCTCGTTACCCATCCATTCACCAAGACTAACACCCATGACTCTATTCTCAGGGGCCCTGGTGTGGTGCTTCCTCCACCTACCGACAACGGTCAGAACTCGCCGTGGCAGATACCGCCATGGCTGCGTCTGCATACGAGGTGTCTCGCCGAGCTCAATGCCGTTCTGCGTGACCCGAAGCAGGTCGTCGATGACTCATGCTATCAGGCTATCCTTTTCCTGTATCGGCTGTCGGTGAGTGGGCAAGATGAAGCAAGCCTGGCTTTTTGTAGTGTCGACATGACCTGACAGGTCTAGGTGTTACTGGCCGATGGTGAAAGCGGCAGAATGCATCTCCAGGCGCTTAAACGCATGTCCTTGCTCCTCGCTACCGATGGAGCTTCTTTGGAAACCGAATTGGCTGTGTGAGTAGTGCATCTTTATCCCTGTAACGCAGTTCGCTGATTGTGCACGCCAGGTCCAAAATCAACATCATCGGCGCATTCCTCCATAGCCGCTCAGTCGTTGTCGTTCGCAAGGCGCAGCCCAAAACCCAAGGTTGCCGAACAGAAATCATCGAGATTGACAGGCAGTTCTGGAAATCCGACCGAGAGTGGTATTCCCACCGAGCGCATCTGGCGGGCCGCATGTTGGCCTGGCGCCCCGAAAGTCCCAGCTCCAGCCTCCTACCGGATAGTGCGACGGCAATTTCGCGCATGGACCCCGATAGCAGCCGGTTACTGGGCGAGCCAGAGCATCTCGAGATGCAGCGGTGTTATCAGATTGCCCTGTTCTTCTGGATGTATCTGAATGCAATCAGCTTCAACACCTCTGCGCTCATTGTTCGCTCCAACCTGCTCGAACTGCAGTACCGCCTCTCAAACATGGATCTCCCAACCATGTGTTCCATCTGTCGCACCACACTCTTCAATATTCTGTTGGCGGGTTCCCTTGCATCTCGGAACCAACCCGAAAGATGGTGGTTCGTGCAGCAGATTGTCTGGTTCTACCCGGACATCCAGCATCTCGACACTGTCTGGCAGCTATTGGCCGAGTTCTTCGACCCCTTGTCGGTCAACTTCAAATTCGTCAAGGAGATGTGGGAGGATATAGTGAGGGCAAGAAGAACCGTCACAGAGTCCACCGCTCCCCTAGAAGACGGCCAGCTGGTCAAGCCAATCAAGCATTTCCGACCGACTTCATACACACCAGACCTATCAAACCCCCTTCCGATTCTTGAGCTTGACGACACGGAGGCGCCGTCACTGGAAAAGACCCTACACAAGGCGCCCACCCGGCGTCGGTGACATCTTGAAAAGTACCATTCAGTTCGATGGAGGCATGGCATTCGGACGGCTGAGAGCGCAAGAGCCCTCCACGCACTTCTTAAAACCTCAGTTAGCAAAAATTTGCTGCTTCATGCGATTGGCGTCTGCTGATTCTCCCAGAACTAATAATGCATGCCCCATTCACCGTTAACCTTGGACTCCCATCCATTTCCCGTAGAGAAGTATCCGCAAATCGTCAAGTGATGGACTCAAAGTGTCGTAAATCACTGTGACTCTTTCGATCGTCTCTGATCGAATCTCCAGTCAGACGCCCAAGCTCCTGCTGTAACACTTCCACATCCGCTGAACCTTGTCATTGCTGTACATGAGGGCAGGCTGCAACAGCGTAGCGCCATTGGCATTTCCCGTTCCGGCAAGATTTCCATGCATGTCTTATCTGTAACATTCGCAGCAGTGTGCACCGCAGTCTGCTCCAAGTGGCCTCTGAAGTTCTTGTCGAAATCGTGCCGCTGGAGAGGAGCTTCACCATCTCTTTCCTCCCAAAGCTGTTTGGAGCCATCAGACCATTTTGGGCGCTCTTTAGTGGTATATTTGGTGGTATATTTGGAGCCGAGAAGGCAGACGAGCTACATTTGCGCCATGGTCCAACAAGATCTTTGCTATCTCCTTGTGTCCAGCGAACACTGCATGCTTGAAAGGTGTCCAGCGTGCATTGTTGAACGAATTGACGTCGATGTCTTCGCGAGAGAGAAGTAATCTCACCATTTCCTCATCGCCACGCACCGCAGCGTGGTTCAATGCCGTCATTCCGTCCCCGTCTCGTTTGTTGATCGCAAAGTCTTTTCGTCTCAACAATGCTTTAACGACTTGTGTTCGCCCTTCGAGCACAGCTGAAATGAGCAGTCCCTTTTCGTCTCGTTGATAAAGATTCAGCCCACTATCAACCAGCATCGAGAGCATGGTATAATCTTCACAATATTTGGCCAATACCTGGGCGGCGCATTGGTGAATATCAGGGTATAGTTGCAGATGTTTCGTTTCTACTCCGATGAGCAGCTGCAATGTCCTGAGTGGTAGGCCTGCATTTGACTTGATCAAGTTTGAAGTTATCTCGCAGATGAGAGCATCATGTCCATTTTCCACCGCCCACTGCAAGCCTCTTTCGCTTTGTCCATGCCATGCTTCGGGATCCCAAGGAAGCAGTCCAATCATGTCATTTTTCGACAAAAGACCAAGCCATAACTGATAAGTGGCTGGCCTTCTTATGTGAAATTGCCGAGTGTGGAACAACCAAAATAACTTTGCGTATGCCAAAAAAGAATAATTTTCTCGCTTTCGTTCCTTGAATCCCACCTCTTGAAGACGAGCGCCCAGATCAAAGTCTTTGCCCCCCTCTCTTTTCAAGAGTTTCAGTGCAACTTTGCTGACTGCGGCTTGCGGAAATGCCCTCTCCACAATGGCGGTGGTTATCGCTTGCGGCTGCACAGCTGCATGATTGCCCATCCTGGTGAGCGTGGTGTTGAAAACATTGTAGTTCAGGTAGGTGACGCAAATTTCACCTAAATCCAGATTTGCCTCTGGTAATTCTACATGGAACTGACGAGTGGAGGGGTCCTCGGGACTGGACACGATGTATTGTTTGACGCTGTGATGGCTGAAATGTACTGTAGAGTCTTCCTCGTCGATGAGCAATAGACTTCTGCAGTGGCTGACGGCCATTTGAATGTCGTTGATGAGCTTTCGTGGATCCCATTCAGTATCTCCTGGCACGACACCCATCGCCTCACGAAGTTCATCCAAGGTCAGGGGCCGCTGAGCCGCAGCGACAATCGCAAAGATCTTTCTGCAAGTGGCTGGATTTGTCGTTCGTTTCTCTGCTAGTTTCCGAAGGACACGATCGAAAGTCTCTGGAAGGTCCTTGGGCAAAGACTGGAGCGCTGTGAGGATTGCTTCATCCGTGAGCTCGGCGCATATCGATTCAAGCTGAAACACGACCCAGAGAAACCTAATGCCCGTTAGCACTTTTCTGGACTTTAGAAGGCAACACCAACATCCCACGGCTCCCTTCCACGAGAGCCTGCCTGATAGCCAAGATTATGGTCGGATCCCCTAAGCACAAGCTGCCAGTTGTTAGACGGTCTTCCAAAGCACTATCAATATATTGTGCGATTTCGTGGTTCTCCACCGGTAACGGCAGATGGAGTTGAGGTTGTAGACTAGCTCGATATCTTGTATGTAGGTCGGGTCGGCTCGAGCAGAAGATATGGAAAAGGTGAGATGTTTGCAGAAACTTGGGGAGGTAGCTGAAAAGTTTGTCCAGCTCAATCTCAGGACATTCGTCGAGCCCGTCGATAATAACGAAAGCCTGTTCATTTTGAGGGGTTAGTTTGTGCAGATAAGACACAATCTCGTCGTTGTCGAGTTGAACTGATTCGACTGTATCAATGCTGGCGAATGTGTCTGGGCTCAGCAAGCTCAAAAGCTGCCTTGCGAGGTTACCTAAAATGGTCTTGGCCTGAAGTGATTCTGCGTCGTCGTGGCTACAAAAGAAGTAGCCCAAGAGAGCATTCGGGAATTGGATTCTAACTTCCTGCACCAGGCTGGCCGTGATTACCGTTTTGCCTGACCCAAGTATTCCAGTCATCCACAACACACTCGACGTCGAGGCTTGAATCCAGTGCCTGTAATCTGCATGGGCAAAGACCCGGGTGCTCTCGCCCACTTTGCGAGCTCTTTTCCACGCTGCCTGGTGATTGTAAGTGGAGCATGCATTGAGGAATCGATATTTCTCCTTTTGGGCTCTAAATTTCTTTGCTTCCTGAATCTCCGTTGCCGTTTTCAACGACGACCATGCTCGGAAACGGGAGGCCTCCTTTTTCTCAAGAGCCACTTCCTGTTTGAATGCTAAGGAAGCCTCTTCGCGGATAGCATCTGCTATTGTCTCGAGATTGACCTCGAGAGGGCCAAACTCTGATTGAAATGGCTTGAGGATAGCAGCTGATAGTTGAGCAATAGGACTTTTCCTAATAAACAGAACCGCTTTCTTGCAGACAGTGACAACGATGCAGAAGTAATCACAGAGTGCCTCCTGTAGCCTCTGAGACTTGGTATACATGACACCATATTGCCCATAGCGGGGACATGAGCGTCCAATGCGCATAAACAAGGCTGACAGGTTATCGAAATAGGACGCAAACTTGACGGTTATCTGAAGGGTCATGCGCAGTACCCCCCAGATGGAAGTCGCTATTGGAGACTGGCTGCCGCCTACAATGACATCGACAACACTTGAGAATTGCTGCACGGTTTCCAGAATGGAAGTCAGACGGGGACCAAAGCAGCGACCAAAGCAAAGCCTGTTGTCCTTGTCGATCTCCGCCGTGAGCTTCATAACATCCGACACATTAGGAGGCCTCCCAGCGCGCCAAGTTCGAAACAATTTCTTTTCGTCATCGTGGAGGATGGCTTCGAATTCCGAAAGCGCTTGGGCTAGCCTGATTTCGGGCTTTAGTGGAGCTGCGGTTCTTAGAGCGAGGGCCATGATTCTATCGACAGCCGCTTCTAGAAGATTAAATGTGGTGCTTGAAGACGGCCCAAGCAACAAGGACTCATCAGGGAAGATCTAGGTCACATCTGTGAGAGATGTGTTGAGTGTTGAGGCTGAGAAGTTAGTCTGCCCAATTCATTCTTTGCAAGTCGGCCCCAGGCCACATGTTCAGGTCATCCCAGAATGTCACGTGCGGATATCTGGTCTCGAAGCGAGAGATTAGCCGTCCGAGTCCTGGTAGAGAGGCGGCCGGTTTGAGGCCAATTGCAGGCGCTGCTTCCAGCGAGAACGCATCGTGAGGCGGCATCATTGGCGCCCGAGGTGTTTTGGGAGAAGATTTGGGCTAGTATCAAGAAGGTAAGAAGCAAGACATGGGGGCGGGTACAGGGAAGCGAAGTGTTGACGAATGAACAGCTGAAAGATGAGGGCGGCAGTGGCAGTACCGAGTACAAGAACAAGTACGAGGTACAAAAACAGAGGTCACGTTCTGTCACGTGCGGTCACGGGACAGCTCAGGCGCATGGGCTGTGTCACGTGGCATGCACAAGCAACTAATACATATAAAGTTAGACATAAAGTTAGACACGTCTTGGCGTAATCCTCTCCAAAACCAACCACCAACAACCAACAACCACCCACCCTTGAACCCTGATTGCGCCAGTTCATGTAACCACCAGTCACTTTGGCGCCACCAAACGCCACAGAAACAGCCTCACGCTGGATTTCGGTAGACGCTCTACTGAGTAGGTGGCACTCTGCACCCTGCCCGAGAAGACACAATGCATCGTGCCTGATCGAGCACTGAAATGAGCCCACCACCACGCCTGTCTGGGTCCTCACAGTCCCCCCTTTCCGGACACCCGAATACTTGGATGGATCGCTTCTTGGGAGTTTCTGGTAGGGGACTTTCTATGATTGTTTTCTTGTAGGATACTACAAGAGATTCAGTCACCAATTAGTCTCAAGCATGGAGATGTTGAGCCCATGGTAAAGTGCCCGAAGAGCCATCGACCAAGGTGAGGTTTCTTCATTGGCATACCATCCCATGTACAAGTATGCCAGACAGTCCTGGGCTCGATGTTTCTGTCACGGCTGAACTGGAGGACACATTTTGATGTGTCCCACCCTTTTCGACTGCCGAAGTGAGCCAGGCTCTCAGCAGCATGTTCATTATGTCAGTGCGACCCTGATCCATGCATATCAGTGACGCTCATTCACGTACTCCACTCACGTCTGCTCCCGAAGTCAGCTGGATACAGTAACTGCGCCCGGGACTGCAACTTACACGGGGACACACACACATACACACACTCACCCACCCACCCAAATCACAGGCGAGAGTGATTGGATAATTTGGTGCCATGTTATTGACCAGGGCACCTGGCAAGTCCTCGTCAACTAAATCTCTCTCCTAGCCCTCCCCCCAATGCTTCCCCTTCCCTCCCACATAATAGCAATATGATATTCTGTACAAAGCTCTGCCCTCGAAGCAGCCACCATCTCACCCTATGAAATGTGGATCAATGCACGACAGTTCCATCCTCCTATGACATGACCAGAGAACCCCCCTTTTCGCTAGGGCAATGTCGTTGTCTATCACCCATCTCCATGCTCAGCCGATTCTGCTCAAAACTGCGCTCCCCCGAGAAAGTCCTTGGTGCCCGCCGACTCGTGAGTTGTGACTTTTGTATATCACTCAACGAGGAGATACTTGAATCAAGGTATCGTTTTCGCAGAGTCAGCCTCATCCTCATCCTCATCGCAATCCCCGTTCCTTTCCCACGTCCTACATCCTACATCCTACGTTCGCTGGTTCATTCTTTCCACGCTTCAGATACTTGCACACGAGTCGCGACGTGACGATTACTAACCGTCGCTCATACGACACCGATGCCTCGTACCACCAGTGCCTGACTATTCACACCGGTCGGTGCGGCGAGACCATCTCCTCCTCCTCATCATCATCCTCCTCCTCTTCCTCTACATACATAACCAGATCCATCCACCGCCCCTCCCAGCTACCTCACTCAAATCGATTCTCCCTCGGTGAAACAGTTGCAAACGAGTTCGATGACCATCATTTTCTTCGCGACCCTGACACAGACATGGACCATCAACCCAGAAAATAGGTGTGGAAACAATTGAGACCAGCTGAGGAGATACTTTGCGCGTCACGACGTACTTATAGGGTTGCGACGTCCAATAGACCAGCATGTCGCGGAACAGGGAGCATCTCAAAAGAGTTGAGCACTGGCATGCATTTCAGGCAGTCGTGAGCGTCACATCGGAAAACCATCGAGGAGATGTCGACAAAGCTAATGTATCAAATTTAAACAACTGTCTCGATAGGGACAGGTCGGGCCATCTAACCATAGTCCCAAGAAACGTTCCATTCATGTGCCCGAGCAATTGCACTCGTGAAAAATAAGACCATGATGATTGATGATGAATCAATGATAAGACATGACATGATATGACAAGACTTGAAGACAACAAAGAGGCAGTCAAATGAAGCAGTCAGGGACGAGCATCAACCAAGAGGGAACAGACCAAAAGACCGAGAGCGCCGCAGGAACACAAGCCTGGGCCTGGGCCTACGCCCATCCACTGCATACCGAGCATCAAGACACTCCATCCCATCTCCTCCTGCTTAGTGGCTTGTAGCAATAAAACTGTCAAAACATGAGTGGCCGTCAACATTCCCTATCGCAGGTAATAAAAAGTCGTAACGTCGTAAGGTTGGGAGGCTAGATAGACATCTCCAACCAGCTCGAGGCTTGATTTCGTGCGAACCAGGACGAAACAAGGTAGCATATCATGATGAGAGCTGCACGCGAGGTGCATGAAATCCCAGGGATTCAACTGCATTTTCATTCCTCCTCTTCTCCTGGAAAAGAACACCATGCAGCACGGCAAAAAGACACCAACGGTAAGTCTCTCTGCAGTGACCACAGTGTCCCTGGTGCCCTTCAGAATTTGTGTCATGTCCACTTCCTAACTTTGTTTTCATCTTCCCATATGCAAGGATGCTATCTTTGAGGTCAGGAAGACTGCACTGGTGATGCGCGAAGATTGATCTTTAGCTGAAGATCTCGCCAAAGTCGCCTGCTTCCCATCTCTTCAGCAAGTCGGTTGATACTAGGGTGGGATCATATCCGATCTCGATGACCATAGAGCGTTTCATGTGTCCTGCAGTTTGTTTTCAATACCAACAGGTGAGATTATGCACAGATCAAGGGAGGTGAGGCTTCGGGTATGGATGGACTTACTCAAACCTTGATCCAGATCATGGGGCAGAAACTGCGTCGAAGAGATGTCCCGTCTGAAAGACTGGTGGATCACCTCCCAGTCCATATGTGGCTCAACCCCAAAGGCGAGGAGGCCTATGAGGATACTAAGATACCCGGCCAACTTACAGGTCGGTTGACCGTCCATCTGTGCCTCGCAGACGTCTGGTAGCAGCTGCTCAAACCAATCATCTGGTCCTGGGAGATGCAGTCGATAGCCTTCTCCGTCATGGCCAATGATCGCCAGATCATCCTGCTGAGAGTCCAGACGTCGGGAAAACCCGAGTCGCCGCCATGTTTCATCGTCAAAGTGGGTAGTAGTACAATCAATAGGAGCATGGATGTACCCGTGACGCTCGGGGTCCCAGACCAGAGTACTCGTCCTGTGCCAACGGCGTCGTGCAGTTTCTTCGGCCGTCGGGCGACGCAGGCACGCTTGGTTGACCACCGCTCCTGGGACCTGTTCGGGATCCCAGATCCACCATCCTGATGAACTTTTAGGCACAAAGCGGCCTCCCAAGGATGGCCGCCAGTAAAAGTCTGGAGCCGAGATATGGGGCGCTTGATGGTCAGGTTCTTGATACTGAACGTGCTGGATGTGGAGGAAGAAAGGTATGGCGAACGGGTATCCACCCTGAGGTACCGCAGGGATTGTAGCGAAGTCCATGCTGTCCATGAGAGCACGAAACTGCGCGAGGATAACACAACAAGGAGTAGATTAGAGAAAGAAACAAGAAACGGGAACACGGCGAAAGAGATGTTCTTGTAAATTGTCAGCTAGAAAATGCGACGAGCGATCACAGAGAAACCATAACTCCTGGTCCTGGAAAACCAGATACATTCGCCAGCATTGCCGAGAGGACGGGCATCTAGTACATGCAAACAGTGAACTTACCACTTGGGCCGATAGCTGTCGCCGAATCAGGAGTCCATCACCAGCCGCAATGGCACCCCTAGCGTTGAGAATGGCGTCAAAACGAGAGGATGCTGGCGGCCCATCCTTAGGCGGTGCAACGCTTGGGCGACAGGAATGACGCTGTCGGCCAATGGCACGCTCCGTGGCAGGAATTGGGATTCCCCAGTATCCATTGAAATTGGGTTCAAGAAGAACCAGACCAGTGGTCGAGTCTTCCAATGGGGCCGCTGACTCCCCGGCCTGACAAGGACAGCGGCGACTTCATTTTCACCGTGAGACAAGACGTGCACATGGTCGATCAGGGAGCTAGCTGACTTGGTTGTCTGGTAACAAGTTCGTGTGGCGTGTGGAGAGCGAGCGCTCTGCTTGTCTAGCCCTGAAAGAGCGGCAAGCCTAGCGGGTTGGGGTCACCAACCCATCACCCAACACCGGCCATCGTGGAAAAGAGAGGCACAGAGGTCCCACCCACAGTGGTCGGAGAAGATTGGACCCGATGCGGCTCTGCGGCAAGAACCGGATGTCTCTTTTGAGGTGGAAGTTGGCCACCTGCGCTTGTTTTCGGGAGAGCCGTGTTTGCTTGCTCGCTCGGCAAGTCCATTCCTATCTTTGGAGATTTGTAGCTCCGCTCGAAGACAAATCGAGCGAGCCAATGAAAAAGGGAGGCACTTACACAAAACCCCGGGCATAACGCAAGGGTAGGTTTTAGCCTGCTGGGCCAAATGATTGAACGTAGAACTGATCAGGACAAGAGAAGACGAGTTTCGTTCTGACCATGGACGTGGTCCTCTTTATATGTTGGAGTCGTCCCCATCCATGCAGAGCTCAGCAGGCCATCACGCCTCGATTCACCTATCATGTTCCAATAGGTTGCATTGGCGTGGCATTAGTGGTCATCTTGTACGGCTTCGTGCTTTGCGCCCGATTTTGGTGAGGCATATTCAGTGGATGCCGGCAGTCCTCAAACACCAGTCGCCGAGCAAGATTGGCACTTCGATGATTTCCAGCCAACCGAGGGTTCCAGAGGCGTGTGTAAAGAGGATTACGGGGTGGGTTGTCGAGTTCCTTCGGAGCACCAGGCTGCAATCAACCGCTACGCAGATTTAGCACCCCTTCGACATCTCCGAGTCTTGGACTTGACCGACTTGATGTCTTGGATGAATCTGAGACAAATCCTGGTGTTGCTTTCAAGCTGCGAGACGGGTGTGAGCGTCACAATCACACTGTTACCCCTGAGATACTGCGTGCTCCTGCGCCATCGAAAGTGGCGGTGTGAGGGACGTTGCCTCAATCACACGACCTCAGGCTCCAGCTCGGTAGATGTCCCCTCTCTTTGTGATCGTGGAATGCACTCGCTTGGAGCTACTTGTCCAGCGACAGCCTCGCTGGCAGGTTGAATGACTGTGATGGAAACCACTGAGTGTCATTCGAATGCACTGTGCCTCAAGGTTGGCAAACGTCGTCACACGGAACCTGGCGCCATCATCCAGTGGAAAACGCAATTGCGCTGTCGTTCGGTTCTCTACAGACTCGTGAGCAGCACAATAGTCGAGGGAGAGGTGGTAAGGGAACAACAGCAGTGCAAGGAAAATCTTGACACGTTGAGTCCAAACAAAATTTGGCGTCGGCACCTTCCGCGACCCCTTTCGGCCCAGCCTTGCAGGACAGAAGCGGAAGGCGGAGGGTGGAGGAACATGGAGGTGGCAAGGCTCCGCTACATTACCCCGTATGCCATGAGTTACGGGCTATATCAGAGGGACTTGGAACGGATCTGCAGGACCACTTCAGACAGACGCCCCTCTTAGCATCTGCAGATCTGCCACTGGACACACAACACACTCCACATCTTGTTCACCTGTCGATCCTACATCAGTCTTATCTACACCCCAACTTCCGGTAGACAGTGTTCAAGTAATATACAACGAATAGACAAATGAATTCAAACAATTGATCAAAGCAAACATCGTAACTTGTCACTCTCACAACTGTACACTAGTGGCAACGCTCGCTGTGCAATTTCATACATGACGCTTACTTCGCTTGCTGCGTGTCTTTCTTCTCCTCGCACCTGCGGGAACAGGAGCATTCTTAACCAGTGAGCCGTTCCACCGACACAACCTCATATGGCGGGTTGGGGCCCAAGACGCGATCAGTTCGCTTAGAAAACATTGGCACAACCCCAGAATTGCTCCACGCCGAACTGGCCGGGTTCCTTCCATGGCTCGTCCTCGTAGCTCAAGAAGACGACTTGGGCTCCCACGGTAGACTGAATGCCCTTGAGAGCAGTTGCCTGGTTTGCAGGGCTGGGGCAAGCGGCACCGTTGCAGTTACCAGAGTGGGGCCACCCAGACTCGAGAACATAGACCGGCTTGCCTGAACAAATCGAATCCAAGATGTTGATCTGCGCCTGGATGAATCCGCCCGCTTTATCGGCTGTCACATCTGCGTTGAAAAAGGCGTACAGGTTGGCACCGACAACATCGACGACGCTGCAGAAGGCAGAGGAACTGCTCGTATCTTCCCACACAGACAATGGCTCGGTGGTGGTGACAGCGCCGGTGTAGCCCGCGGCCTTGAATGCACTTGCACTGCTGGAGATGAAGCCAGCTAGCTCGCTGGCAGAGCAGTAGCCGTTGAAGACAGCCTCGTTACCAACAACAATGAGTTCGACAAGGTCCCATTGAGCCCAGGAAATGATGTCATGGACCTGGCCTTGAGCGCCTGAGATGCCTGTCGCAGAAATCCAAACTCCCAAAATAAGCTTCAGACCATTGTCACGGGCAGAGCCACCAATGTTTTCAAGCGTGCTGCAGTCAGTGCTATAGACACGGACCGAGGTGAATCCCTTCTGTGCAATGATGGCCATGTCATGGGCAATTATGCCGGCGTCCTTGCAACCTCCCTGTGCAGTGTATGGCGAATACGTCATGCCCCAGGAGTCTCCATTGGAAGAGATGCCAGGGCTTCCGCTGTGCGATCCACCTGAACCGCCGCTGGGCTTCGCTGCCCCAGACGAAGCAGGGCCGAATCCACCATAAGCAGACGCGGTATCAGGCGTGGGCGCCCAGCTGGCGGCCGTCTCGCTCGAACTGACGACAACTACCGGGCTCTCACTTGTTGAAGCCCAATCTCCCCAAGTTGCAGCGGAGGACGTGGTGCTGGTGGTTGTGACGGCAGCAGCAGGCGTGCTGGATGTTGAGGTCCAATCTCCCCAGGTGTGGGCGGAAGTAGTGCTGCTGGTTGTGTTCACAGCAACATCAGGCGTAGGATACCCTTGAGATGCACGTTAGAATCATTGTAATCAGCATCAAGGGGAAATAACCCAAAAAAGACTTACAAGTTGGAAGGCCATACGAAGTAATGATGGAGATAGCGCAGCTGTCGGCGGCGACCGTGGCGGAGGGAGCGAACCAGCTCGAGGTCGTATCAGTGGTGGCTGCTGCGACCGGGGACGCTGAGGATGTAGAGGAACTCCAATCTGCCCACGTGGATTCAGTCGATTCGGCGGCGATCGGCTCGACATACTTGGTCTCAGTAATGGTCGAGGCCAAAGTGATAGTTGTAGTTTCGTCAACGCTCGACCAGTCGCCCCAAGTCTCGGTCACGGTCGCTGTCGAGGTAGGGTCAACCGGAACGCTGGTTGTCCAGTCACCCCAGGTATGTTCCTCAGTGCTTGTAGTAGCAGGATCAACCACAAGCGACGAAGTGGTCGTCCAGTCACCCCAGGTGTGTTCCTCAGTGCTCGAGGTTGAAGCCGGATCGACAGGAACGCTAGAGCTCCAATCGCCCCAAGTGTGCTCCTCGGTGCTGGTGGTAGCGGGATCAACCACAAGTGACGAAGTGGTAGACCAGTCACCCCAGGTCTCAGTAAACGCGATCGAGCTGGTGGTGCTCGAGGTCTTTGCGGGATCAACCGCAAGGGAGCTAGAAGTCCAGTCCTCCCAGAGGAACGAAGTTGAAGAGGTTCCTGTAGTGGAAGCAGCCTTGACCGGAGCCTTCGTGGTGGTGGTCTTTGTCGAAGCGGGAGCTACAGGTGTGGCAGAAGTAGAGGTGGTCGTATTCCAGTCGACCCAGGTGTCGCGTGCGACATTTGCGTGTAGTTTCGCGTGCATGTGCTTGACATGGCTGGCGGCAGAAACGGTGGTGACGACCGCTGCACCAGCAGCGGCGATTGTAACAGCCTTCATGTTGGAAGATTCCCTGTCAGTACGTGTTGACAGAGATTACGAGTAAATGTGTCGTTTGTCAATGATTCCCTTCCTGACGTGGTTACTTGGTGGCTGGTAAAAGAATGCCCGCGTAAACGAGTGGACGCGGTAGTTGGAAACGCTGAAAAACAAACAGAAACGCGGAACTCTTGTGATGCACCTTAAGAGACCATGAGCAGAGCCTTGCAGAGAGGAAGAGAAAGTTTGGTGAAGGACATGGTAAGATGCATATAGGTACGCGGCACGGTGCTACGCCAGTCGGAGGTGCGACTCTTGGGGATAGCGCCAAATCTGCGAATTTCGTTTAGCGCCCCCCCTGTCGGAACTTAGAGTCTGCTCGGCCCATAAGCAGCCAACTCAAAGTACCACACTTGGCAATATTCGGTCTGGGTGTTTGGACATTAAAGTTGACGATGAGCTCGATACGGCATAGTTAAATTTCTAGAGGGGTTGTAAACCAACTCTCGAGATCAGGATGGACGGGCAAGACCTAGCCGAAGAGAATGTTGATTTCAAACAGGAGACAATGGCCAGTGCTTAGCATACTGGTGTTTTCTTCTTCCCTGCAGGGTGTCTGTGGCCTCTTTTCCCTTCTATGAGAGACAATTCTGGAGTGTTTGCCAGTGAAAACGTGGGTTCCAACTTTGCGTCACGGTCGTTAAAGCGGAAGATCAGCTTGCGCGAGCAGATTGGTCATTGATATGGCAAAGATTCGCAGGAACGACGCATCTTCACCCTCAACCAGGATGGCCAACAGGGGCTAATGGGAGATTGAGCCTCCTGAAACACGCGATGTCAAAGGCGGTTGGGTGGCTTCTGGGCGCTGCAAGACGAGGGTGATAAGGTTTATGGCCTATGGGAGATGGGCGGGCGTGGCGGGATACGTGGGAGTGGAGGAGGATGATCCCTCGAGCAGGAGGCTTTGGGAGGTGGAGTGTACCACTCTCATGTGGCGGGGTTGCGAGTTATGCAGACAATGCTCGAGGTGAGAAAGGTTTGTCAGAAGGTGACTGGCTGCCGCAGTTGTGGATGGAGGTGAAGGGGCGAAAAGGGGCTGATGGCGGAGATTTTACAAACTCTGCACCAGTCTTGATTAGGAACTAGTACAAAGCTTGGTTGAACGCCATTAAGATTGCCCGCCCAGCTGTGTAGCCCACTGGCTCCAATTTTGCTCCGTTTATTGACACCCAAGACCCCCAGGAAATTCCTCTGATTTTGGTCGGTTCTCAAACTTCAAATTGGGTGCTGTGGGTGGCCCTCTCTGCAACAACACCAAAACTGCCACTTGGATTCAACCGGCTCTTTTCCTGAGAGTCCGTCTCCTGCTGCACCGAGATTGAGTTTTATTCCTCCCCTCGAAGCGTAACGTCCGATCCTCAGCCTGCACGTACAGCCTGGGGCGCACGTTAGCGATCCTGCTCGTATCTCTTGAACCACTGCCGAGCTCTCTGTACGACTGCAAGTCCTCCGAAGACGCCTTCTGACGTTACTTTTCATGGGAATGACGGAGCTCCTCGACTCCACCATTTACTGCATATTGAGGTGGGGTTACAACGCAATTTTCAAGATGCTTCTTCTGCAGACTTACGAGTCCTTCAAGCCCTGCTTGCATTGGCAAATCTACATTGAAAACGTCCCTGGTAATAGCTGCGCATGTAACCTGGAAGAGGTGGGCATAGTAATATCCAATCGCCAAATTGCGACTTTATTTGGTAGCAAGCTGGGAACAATACCGAGTACCTCGTACCGGGTACATTCAACCACAAAACACTGGGTGAACCATCGGGGTTGAAGCGCCACCTTTCCCTCCCGCACGGACTCTCAGCCACAGTCTCGAGAGTCCGAAGAGCGGCCCGTCGCATCTCATCTGGAGAATTATTTCGTCCTGCCAGAAGTGATGTAATTTGAACCGAGTTGCTCTTCACTACCAACTCATGTGGATGCTGTTTTGCTTTTTCCCATCCTCATCTCGGGCCAGTCTCCAACCAAATCATCTAACGCAGGGACGAATTCCCTGCCCGTCCGACCACCTCGAAACCTTGCCTGCGTCCGTCCTTCGTGTGATAATTGGAAACGTGACAGAAACGCCTAAGCATCTACTGATATGAATGTTGAACCAGCTCATTGGTCGCCGAAGTTGATGGTAGAATCAAAACACCCGCCTAAGGGCTCTACTCTAGGTACGCAATCCTCACAAGGGCCCACCATTTGTCCGGCCTTCGGAAGAAGAGACGGACTTCCCCCTTCTCCGGAACGTCTCAGCCCAAACTTTCTCATCCAAGTCTTTGTCTCCGTAGAAATCGTGCACAAGAGTGCCCATGTGTGCGAGTTTGCATCCCCACATGCAAAAGTATTCCGACTTTTCTCAAATGTCGTAGCCGCTAAACCCCTCCTTAACACCTCTCTCCCATGCAGCCTTCCTGCGCTCGACATCCTCAGCTCTCTGATCTCTCATCCATGCAGTATTGCGCACAAACTTCTCTCTGAATCTCTCACTTTCTTCAATTTTGCCCTTCTCATATGTCTCTCTCAATGGCTTCTCAAGCTCGCTGCGCCGAACAAAGCCGAAATTGCCCTGAAGCAAAAGCTTGTAGGAATCAGGACTAATGAAGGCCGTCTGCTCATCAACGTGGTCCAGGTTGCCATACACTTCTTGATATGCGGCTTCAATATTTGCGTTTTGCGGAGCAATGTTACGTCGCAGGTAGGGACTGTGCATCCGTGATTGGTCCACGCCTTCAGTTGCGTCTGTCATGGTGTAGGATGCGATATAATACTGCCACCGAGCTTCGTCCGATAGAGAGTCACTATCGAAAGTTGCGTCTTCCGATGGGAACAATCGTATGGTGCAAACCCGATCCTCAGGAGTCTGCGAGAAATTAGCAAAGTCCCCAGCATCTTTCAATTCGGGGGCACGACTTACATAGCTGATTCGGTAAACCTCAGCGTCCTTGGATAATCGTTCGACTTGCTTGCGATACTGAATTTCCTGCTTCCGGGTCGTGTCTGGACGTTCTCGATCTCGCAGAAAGAGGTTGGTGATTTCAACGCTCTTGTCCTTAGCATCTCCGCCCAGGATATTCATGATGAACCGCAGAATCGCGGAGACGAGCCTATCAATCGTGTAGAGCTGCCAACCACTCTTGTTGTAGTACCGCCTCAGTGTCTCTTCGAGGTGAGCGAGATCGACTGTGCCCACCAAAACCTCCTGGCATAGCTGCAAAATCTGCTGATAGTAATTCTGCTTTCCGTCGATGTTATAGAAGAAGTACTCTGGTCCTTTGTCGATCATGCGGAGTTCGATGGCAGGCTTGACCCTCCCCTTGATACCTTTGTGTCTCGCAACAGCCTCTTGGACATTAGGCTCGTTGAGTTTGATTGCCAGTAACCTGCTGTACAGCATCTCAAACAGTCTGAAGAAACAATAGATGTTGGCGTTCGCATAGAGATTGAACGTCGTATGGGGATACGTCTCGTCCATGGCCAGGTGGCGAGCAGATGTGTCACTGTTGGCCACATTTATCCACGGCTGTTGAGGCTCATCAGGAACATCGGACACGGCGGCGTCTTCGTCAACCTCCATCTCGCTACTAGCACCCGGTGCCGGGGTCGACTCTTTGCTTGCTGAAGCCACGCTGTCCTCCTTGCCGTGCCTTCTCTCAAGCGCCATCCTCCTGAGCCAGTCCGACTTGCGTTGGGTCTTTCCTTTGGCTGGTGGCTGAGCATCGCTATCATGGCCGTCGGCACCTTCGTCATGCTCATGGTGTCGCATTGTGGCAACATCAGTTTGCTCTATAAATTTGTCGCCGTCCAGACCGTAGAACCTAACCAGGAAGTCTACCAACCATCCTCGAATCCGCTCTTGCTCACCGCTGTTAAAGGTTTGTTGTCGGTCTGAATCCAAGGACACTAGTATTAATCGGGTCGCATCGGTGATGACGTCCAAGTCATTGAAAGTGTACTGGAGCTGATGCCTCTTGCCAGCGATGCCGTTATCGCGGTTCTTCTTTGCTTCTTCGTATTTTGCCTGTATCTCGCTGGTCAACGCCTTTTGTTGGAAGTTCTTCTTGTCGAGATTCTTCGCGTTGATTCCCTGATGGTCAAGGCTTCTCCAGAATTGTTTGTGAATCTGGTCGCGCCACACCTTTTCCCATTCTCGTTGCACCTGCTTCCACTCTTCAAGCTTCTGTTTGAGTCTTGCAAGAACAATCGGCAGTACGGCAGTTGGGCGTGCGAACATTTCTCGCATGACCGTAGCGCCGGCCTCGCGGCCGTAGATTTTCATGATGATGCGCTTAGGGATGGCTTCGCTTGCGCCTCCGAGACCTGGTGCTAAGATGAAAGCGGCTCGATCCGCCTCATTCATCACACCAATCTGCTGTACAATGGGTTCCATTAGTTGAATAGTCCGCTGGCATGACTCAATGTGGAAGTCATAGTCGTGGCGTTCTTCTTCGATTCGATGTAAAGCTTCCTCATATTGATTCTTGCGGTGTGCCACGAAGCCCGAATCCTCAGAAGCCCAAGTAGGGTGAGAAGCCCAGACATCATTCAGAACTTCATAACACATTCCATCTCGACCCTTACAGGGTTTGTCTTGATCACGCTTGGGTAGGTGACGGTAGCTTGGTCCGAGGGCACGACAGTGAGAGAGGTTGACACGACCAGGATCGGGTCGTACACGCGCTTCAATCACCTCCTCCTGATCTTCAATCCCAAGGAAATTTTTGAACCAACTCATCAGATCGGGATTACCGCCAATGAAAGCGCCAACTCTGTCTCCCAAAGTGTACTTGTCAATAAGATCCTGAGAGTACAAATTGATGAGTTTGAGAAATTCGGCGTAGCTGGCGCGATTGCCGATTTGTTTCTTCGCACGGTCGAAAAAGGCGAGCTCTTCTTGAGTAGTAGAGGAGTTGGGAAAGGGTGGAAGTGGTTCTGGAAGCTGAGGCACGAGAGTCGGCGAAGTGACGATCATGTCAGGTTGTGGTTGGCGTTGAGTTGTGAGTTTCGGGCGCTGCGAATGACAAAATATTAGCAACGTGTAATGCTTCAGGACTGAGCAAGGACAAAAACTGTCCCCATCAAGCCGGGTAGTGTGAATAGTGAATAATTGAGCTTACTTTGCTAGCATTGCCAACCTGAACTGGTGCTGCTCGTGAACTTTGAGTGACAGGGGTGTCAACGGGAGGCTGTGTCGCTGGTTGGCTAGAAAGGGCGGCTCCAGGGCCTCCTCGACGCTTTTTGTTGTCTTTGCTTGTGCTAGGAGGATCAAACTGACCCATGGGCGGCATCTTTGACGCAGGCCTGGGGGTTTGAGCCTGAGGAATGGCGGTGCTCGCATACCCAGGCTCACCGCGAACATTGCTGGTCTCCTCTTGTTGATTCATTACACGAGCCGCCTGAGCCTTGCCTTGCGCAGCGGACTCCGGCAGAAACTGTTTGAAGTCTTCAAGTAGATCTGGGGCAGATATGAACAGTTGAGTGACTTGCGCGTAAACGTCTTGGATGGGTTTTGACTCTCGCTGGTAAGTTTGCAGGATTTCAAGGAACTGCTTGTAAATTTCTGGTTGTTGCGCAAACCGGTTCTATGACAATGTCAGTTGAATTCACTTGAGACTCAATAGCGGGTCTATTGTACCTTGATCTTATTCACATAACTGATAGCGTGATTGAATTCAACTGGTCCCCCGCGCTTTAATTCACCAATACCCGCATTAGTACCGAACCCTGCGGTCTGCTGAGGGAATATTGCGCCTTGCCCTGGTCCAGGTGACACAGCAAGAGCAGGCCTTGCTGCTCCATTTGTTACCGCAGTGACTGCACTTTGGAGGGTTGAGACACCACGTTGTTCTTGTTGTGTGATCGTATTCGAAGCTTCTTCCATTGATCTCTCCACAGGCCCTGGCTTATATACAGGCAATTCTGCCGATCTTGCACCTGGTGAAGCACCAAGAGGTTGTCCCCATCCATGTCTGCTTTCGAATGTATCCTGTCGAACGGTCGCAGGCTGTGGGGCTGGTTCAAATTGTGCGCGTCCCCTGCCTTGAAGTGATTGGGTCATCGTACCACTAGGAGTTGTGACTCTGATGGCGTCCGGATTCTCTTCAGTGCCGCATTCAATTCGGTAGCCAGGTGGAAGAAAGGTATTGAAACCTTGAATCAGGGCTGGATGACCATTGAACAGATTTGATACACGCTCAATGACCCCAGGAGTATCGATCGCTTGGCTCTTGAAGTCCTTCATGATGTCCAGGAACCTATTATACACATCTGGGTGATCGCTGAAGCGCACTTTGACTTGGTCTAGGTAGCTTAAAGCATCATTCAAGATGGGTTGTTGACCATGAGCAAGTTGTGCCGGTGCAGGCATTGGGGATGGGCCGGGCATAAAAGATTGACCGGGTTGTGGAGGGGCCGCAGGTACCGGCTGCTGCATGTATTGAGAGGATCTCTGCGACTCATGTTGACCTGGGCCACCAAAGAGGCCCCCGCCAGTGGAGGCACCAGGACCTCCATTCGCCAGAAGGCCATTGGGACCATGAATCGAGTTTTGTACCTTGGATGCCACAGGCTGGTGAATCGGAATGGACCCGGCATGGCTTTGCACCGGACGCTGTTGCTGCGGCTGCTGCTGTTCTCGATGCATGCGCTCCATTTGCTCCCTTTCCTGAGCCTCACGCTCTCGTTCGCGCATCATCATTTCGTCTCTTTGTCTTTGCATCTCTATGTTGTTCCGTTCGCGCAATTCTCTCTCCCTCATTTCATGCTCCCTCATTTCGCGATCTCGAAGCTCTCTCATTTCTCTGTCACGCGCAAGGTATTGAGGGGAGTGCTGAGGCATGTTATGTCCCATAGGGCCACCAATGGGGTGACCTTGAGGCTGCGGAGGTGGAGGCTGAGTATTATACTGGTGCTGTTGCTGATGATTGGGAGGGCCCTGAGTCAAGTCTGCGATAGACAGGCTGTGACTTCCAGGAGGCTGCGAATGATGTTGATGATAAGAAGCGGGTGGTGGTAAGACATGCGGAGGAGGCTGCGCAGGGCCGCTAGGACTGTAGAAAGTCGACACAAGTTAGTGGGCACATATTGGCAGCAGGCGAACTGAGTTTTCAGTAGAAGTGCCATTCACTCAATCGCGAGGTGTATTGTGGAAAATGACAGTGAATTCAAGCATACCCGAAGCTGGCGAAAGGTCTCCCCTGTGATTGTGCCTCGCCCTGTGGACCTCCAGGTCCGCGCCAGTGGTCTCCCGGATTCTGATTCATCATTGAGGACTATTTCAGACTTGTGTGAAGTAGCACCCTTCAACGCATCTCATATTTGTCACTCAGTTGGGCGAGGTCGAGAGAAGCCGATGTTCGCACGCACAGACACGTGTACGACGAAAGGGCGAGAGATGACAGACGAGGAGGTCGCAGAAGAGGATACCTTGCTGCGGCAAACCAACACGAAGTGGTCAGAATAAGCGCTGGTAACGACAAGCTTGATCTGAACAAACGCCTAGGACTATTGAAGACAGGGACGAGATGAGGGAATAGAAGATGTGGTTGTCAGGGGACTTTTTCTCCAAAGCTTCTCGGTGCTGTGGATGCGCAGTCTGTGGAGGATAAGGGAATGACGCCTGCGTCGTGACTGCCCAGACCTTACCATAAGTGAACTAGTCTATTCGTGAAACCTTCCTCTCCTGGCTATGGATCACGGTCTTACTCCGCATCGGAAGACGAATTTCTTATTGGACTTTCCTCGGCTCGCAACCACCGAGGAAGAAATGTATGGAGTGTATCACGGTGCAGTCACCCTTCTCACGAGAAGAATTTGCTGGCGAGGCTCATTAGCCCAGAGGCACCGCCGCCGCTACCACCTCCTTGGCCCTTCATATACATCTGCAGGGCCATTTTCGCAGCCATGTTGATCGCCGACTGCTTGTCTGTGCCACCCTGTACGTTGCCCATGTTGCTCTGCTTGTCGAACAGTTTCGAGGCCTCTTGCATAGCCATAGAGATCATTTGGGATTGAGATCCACCTCCGCCGGATCCAGAGAACATCTTCAAGGCTTGCATTGCAGCTCCTGCGCCCAGGCTAGAAGCATCGTGCTGCTGACCACCGCCGTCTTGCTGATACAGCATCTGATGACTTTGCTGTACCCGGCCTTCGTCAAGGTCCTCGGATTGAGCACTATGCTTGTTTTGGTTGAGGAACGACATGGCTTGAGAGAATAGGTTGGAGTCTTCCGGACTGCCATGTTGCTGGCTATGTCGCATCACTTCGTCCTGGTCGTAGTTAGCAGATCCGCCTCCTCCATATGCACCCCCTGAGGGTCTCCCATAGCCGCCATCGCCTCCATATCCTCCACCTCCGCCGGAGCTTCCACCATAGCCTTCATCATCGCGACGACTATGATGGCGAGGAGGATCATCTCCGTAACCTCCGCTCGTGCCACCCCCACCATATCCATCTTCTCTTCCGTATCCTCCCTGCTGGCGCCGTTCACCATAGTCATCTCGACGGCCTGCACCCTCGCCGTTGTCGTCGAAGCGTTGGCTCTGGTCGTAATAATTGTTCCCGCCGCGGCCACCGCCGCCGTACTCGCGAGGGTCCCCTCCTTGGCGGTCGTAGTAGTCTGACATGATCACGTTTCGATGAGATGAAGGGTAACCTTTGAAGATTACAATGAATTTGAGGTCAGGCGGAGAGGTCTAAAGGTTTCGCGGCTGGATGAACCGAGAGTTCTCGAGGGAGTTGATATAGCGTGATTGACAGTGAAACCCATCACCTATTGAGGAGGGGACGTTTCTGCGTCAATGATCGAGTTTAAGCTCCGAACCGCCTTGGGGATCAAAGGTTAGCGCTAGCCACGTCGGCCAGTGACGTCAGCGACATTGCGACCTGATTCCTCACTTACCCCAAGTCCTTCTAAACCTCATTGAATAGCTGTCTATAAGGGTTGATCTTGGAGGCTTTCAGCCATCACATCGCATCGCCTTGACTACATCTTTACTCCTCGTAGAGACATGCGCTCTAGGAGGAGAGCTACAACCATAGCCCACCTGGCCCATGCACCTGCTATTGTGGGTGCAACAATGTTGACGAGTAACAGGACAAGGGGTGGGTGTGCTAGCTAAGAAAAATACCTATCAAGAAATGGAAAAGTTTTAGGCACTACCACACGCACCTCTGTAACAATCGTGGTTAAGGAGACACCCGTGCCAACCGCGATATATGTCAGGGACCGACAGCTTTGGCAGAGTTAACTTCATACTCTCGGCGACCAAGGAGTTCCTCCACTCGACCGACCAAAGCACGAATCGATCGAAGAGACCTATAGTTCCCTTCCGAAATCAACCTTTGAAACCCAGAATGTTGAAAGGCTTGATAGGAATGCCGACTTTCAATACTTCTGTGTAAGGCCGAGAGCCGATAATGAATCCGTCAAGGCTCATAGGGTGTAGGTATGCGAGGATGCTTCTATCAGGCCATTCAGCCGATTCAACCTTCTCTGGTGCACACAATTTGACTGAAACATGGACAAGAAGTGGTGCGGTGTTATCAGTGATCATGAGTCTGATTTGGGGCTCGATATATGAGTAGAGAGTTGTACATGCTGCGATAGGATTCTGCCTCCAGTTACCAGTAATACAGAATTATCGTTCACAGGACAGACCCATGGCTAATCTTTCAGGTAAATCTCTTTTGGACTGCTAAGAATAGCAGTAACAACAATGAAGAATATCATTTATGGTTGCTCGAATGTGTTAGTTTCGCCTTCGTCCCTCGGCCGAACATCCTCCGATCGCGGAACATGACGTCGGCCATAATTATATTTTCAAAAAAGCGACTCCCGCCAAAACAGTTTCCTTCCTGTTCCTTGCGACCCAATCTGCTCTTGTGAGACCTACAATCGTACATCTGTAACGCAGTTATATTTACTGCCAATCTCGTCGCCTGTCCGGTGACTTGTTCGTGACCTCTAAAGCCAACGCAACAATGTCAGGCGCAGTACCGACGCGCCAGACACTCCGCCACCTCCGACGGCTCTGCTTCATTGACTCGCCAACACCTACGACTGCAACCACGAGGAGGAGGCAAACCTCCCTACAAGGTTCGCGACCTAGAATAGTGCACAATGCTCGACGAGCATTTAGCACGACAATCTCGCATGCCCAGAGGTCCCCGGCGCAGGCTCCCACCTCTGCTCAAGCTCAAACGCATGCCACAAAGACAGAGCCCTCCAAACAAGAGGAGGAGTCGACGCTTTCGACCACTCCTCTAGATGTGTCCAACTACTACACGCTCTTCCCGTCGACACTCCCCTCGGGTCCCCCACCAACGGGCCCATTCGATATCCCCCTCCCGCAACTGCGCCGTGAGTTCCTGCGACTGCAGTCTCAATACCACCCGGACAAATTCCCGCCGGGCACGGCCTCCCACCAGAAATCCCTCGCCCTCTCATCACTTTTGAACAATGCCTACAAGACCCTCTCAGACCCGCTTTTACGCGCGAGGTACCTTCTCCAGCATAATCATGGCATTGACATCACCCACGAGGATAATGCAACGCATGCGGGAGTAACGGACCAGAGTACGTTGTTGGAAGTCATGGAGGCGCAGGAGACTCTAGAGGAAGCGACTACTCATGACGAAATCGAAACATTAATGGAAGAGAACATAGCAAGGATAAGGGAAACGGAGAAGGCCTTGACTGATGCCTTTGAAAAAGACGATGTCGAGAGTGCGAAAAGGGAATGCATCAAACTAAATTATTGGCGCAGTTTGCATTCTGCGTTACATGAATGGGAACCAGGAAAGCAGGTCAGGTTGATGCATTGATTTTTCAGAATGACTGGAAGATAAGTATAGGTTTCTGGCCTTGTGGAAAGGATTGCTGCGAAAGATTGTCTATGCAGCTTTTCTTATACCCAATCTACATGTTATCTAGCCTTTTTGGCGTACCGAGACTGGATCTCTGGTCCGATTGATACTTGCAACATGCAATCCAAGAATTCGCCTCACTCCACCGAGCGTTCCCTTAGTTTGTATTTGATGTTCCGTACAGGAGGAACCACACGTCTTTGTTTCACAGCCCAATCTTGTCGAACCTCGGACTAGAACCCCCTGGAAGCATCTTCGGTACGTTACTGGCTCTTTCAGGCTCGCTTCTGTTGTGCTTTTGCGGCTCCTTTGTGCTATTCGGGACCAGCTTCTATTTGGTGATCTCTCCCAGATTGCTCTTGACGTCTCGTTTCAAACTCTTCCTCTCGTTCTCGGCGATTTTCTTCTTGTAAGCGTTTTCCACGCGTGTGGCTTTCTCTTTCATGTCTGCGGCAACGACGCCATCCCATTTGTCCTTCTGACTCTGCGGCCAAGTCAAGCTCACGGAAAACACTTCTCTTTCAGGATCTTCCAGCATAGGGCTGCGTCCTTGATGGTTCTTTGAGAGCACCAGTCGATCCAGACCACAGAAACTCTCTGTGTAACCCCAAGGCTTGAAGATCTCCTTGTCACGGAAGAATAGGTTGACGCCAAACTCGGTCCATGTGTGCTCATAGTGTGCGGCAGGTACAAAATAGATGTCCGATACAACATTGCAGAGCCAATCGGGGACATGCAAAACATTTTCCAGAACGATAGTGTGGTTCTCCCGACTGCCCGGTTCTCGACAGAGCTTGAGTTCGACTGTCCCAATGCCTCGAACCGGGACTTGGCGTCGATCAGAAACCGCGAGGACATATGACTTGAAGGAAACGTATGTCTTGAAGGAAGCACGATCGATGGCGATGTGGACATTGGAGGCTGTCGAGAAGATCCAATCATAACATTGCTTTTTCTTGGTCTTCTTTGCAGACACAACATAGGAAGTGGCTCGTCTATGGCTTCGCGGTTGATAGTACGAGCTTGGGTGGATTGTGGGAGGCAAGTTTCCACGGGGGTCAAACATAACGGACATGTTGGTAGTTGTGTTTGAACTGCGAAATGAAAGCTGGAGGGGATAGATCTGCTGGTTTCAATGAGTGGAGTTTGAGCTAGTTGTGTTGTCAAGAGTATTTGCTCGCCAAAAGAGTGAAAAGGTAGCCAAAGTTTGGGGACGTTGATGTGAAAAGGAGAGGCTGCAAGAAGCAAGAATCAAGAATGAAGAGAGTACAAACTGAAAATCGCTGAATATCGATTGAGGCACCGTCAGCGATGTCCTAGAGTCTGGCAAGTGCGGCTTTCTCATTCCAGGAGAGGCAACTACAGGTTGTCCGTGGACGGAAGCTGTCGATTGTGAGGAAGCAGCCACTTCAAGCGACGGCATCGCTCTGAGCTCATTCGACTTGCCTCTTATGGCGCAGGGAGTCTTCAGCGGCGTTGAAGCAATCATCACCGGTTCAAAGCTGCAATTCTGTTGACACGCCGACCTTATCAAAACGTCATGAAGAAGGACAGTGTCGGTGACACTGGATTAGTCGTGAGACAGTGTGACACTCTTTCCAACGCGCAATTTGTAGACTTACAAGGAAAGAAAGGAGGCTGGTTGCACCATGCCTGTGTCACTTCTCCTCCAACTCCTCCTCTATCAGACCTTTTACCTCTCCTCTTGCACTCTCACCTGCTGACACTTCATATACAAAAGGGGTGAAATTGTTTTAACCCCTTGAGCGTCTAGTCAATAGCCCCAGTTCCTCCGCATATTCGTCGCAAGGAGACCATAGCCATGGCATCCACACAAATCGCCATGCTGCCAACTACACCGGCACCTCGATTCAAGCATCAGTCCGTCGCTTTGAGATCAACATCGAGCTTAAGAGGGGTGTAAGCACTGACGAGCTTCCTAGGACCGAGAACCCATTCCACAACGATCCGATGCTGTTTCGCCCCAGACCACGACCAACGAATCCCCTCCCTGACCCTCCCCCAGTCCCAAATTGACAATCATCATCTTAATCATGGCTGTGGTAGATGGACACAAGAGCGGATACGGAGGGGTTGACCGCAGAATGGACCATAATGGGCAGGTATTAATCTGATGGGCATTACTGTTTGTTGTAGTTGGCCTCTCTCCTGGGAGAACGAAAGAGGAGGTGCGTCTCTCACATCTATGCCTCACCGTGGGCGGAAATACGGCGCCACAGATCATACATAATACCTAGCCTCTCGCCTGATAGAACAAAACTAATAGGCCCTTGGTTAAAGTTGCTTTGCCATTCTCTCATGATTGTTTGAGATATTACAAGCTAATGTGAACCCGTTCGTGCAACACTTGATGTAACACGCGCTTCTTCTATCACGGCTGAAATGCTCCAGATGCGCACTCCCTCCTGCCCCATGTCTGGCAATCGTCACTCCCCGACATGGCAGTTGGTTGGTTTGCAATTCGGCGCAGAACTACCCCTGTGCCTTGCATGCAGCACAATGGATTCCACGGAGACGATCTCTCAAACGAACGTGACAATGTTGCCAGATCATTCTGCCAGACATGGGCTCGTCCACTGGAACCAACCAACTTTCATCGGGACAAACACTTTGCTGCAAACTGTGACACAATGCAGCTACCTTTAGGGACATTGACCCAAGGGAACTACAAGAGTTCCAGCCGCGCAGAAACTTAAAGCACAAAATATAGCATCTATAAAAGTTTCATGGTGGCCGACCGCAAGCTGCTTAGCTACAAGGATGGTACTTTCAAGGACATTTTCGTATGCAGCATGGCGCAGAGAAGCTCTTCTTGTGTCCGGTATGTTATCCTGCTGACTTTGAATCAAAATTGTGAGCCTTCACAGCAACGTCTCGCAGTGAACCAGGTGCTTCGAAACTCGAGTTGCAACGATCTAGCTAGCCACCAAAGAAATGCACTCGAAACAAGGTCCTCTAAGAAGGAGACTGTGGTTCGAAACCCTCGCCTGCGTCCCTTGTACTTTACTCCAGGTCTTTACGATTTTGATTCGGGTGATGTCCCAAGTCCCAGAGTTTGACCGAAACAACTAAACACTAGGTCTTGGTTCGACGTAGAGATGAGGACCTCAATAGGACCTTTGGGGCACATTGATGGATATATATGTGAGTATGTGTGGTGTATCTTAGTTCTCTTGCATCAACTGGCACTGATTGTGACACTCTCTTGACCGACTGCTAAACACCCATCCCCTTTCAGATAGCATCCTTCAACAACACATTTCTTGCCTACCTTTTACGCACTTCGAGATGTCCTCTCAATTCTCCAACAACGACACCACAAATGCCTCTATTCCCATTTCTATCGATCAGGCGCGCTCCTTCCCTCCAACACAGGCCACAGTATCTAACGCCAACTACGTCGAACCCTTTGTGCGCCCGATGTCTCCTCTAGTCCCAACAAATGTGGGCCACAACCAATGCCGCCGCATACCGATGCTCGAGGTCGACGAAGATGGGATCGAGGATATTCAGGTTACCTTGATCCCAGCAATTGGACGGATCGAGGACTTGGTTCGATACCCGCCGACGGCCTCCTTGTCGCCATCTCCACAAACACCAACTATCACACCGGTGCCCGACCATGGTGAGACGATGATACCTGACTTCGACTTAGAAAACCTGTCCGGTAGTGCCCCGGTGAACGGGTTCGTCATTCGCTCGCGAGAGGATATCCTTTGGCGTCCGTACAATCGAACTGGTAGCTCGATTGGCGTTCCACTTGAACGCACCACGACACTTATTCCTGTCGTGCCAGACGAGGAGGGCTCTCCGCTGCCCCTGAGACGGCGACAACAAAATCCACGGCGCCGACCCGTGTCGGGAAATCCCCAATATGTCGAATTACGTCCACCATTGCTGCATTCTGCCTCGGTCACACGCACAAGACCATTGACCGAGGAGGGTGCGCTGGAGACAACGCTGCCGATGCAGACGAGTCAGACTTCAGCACAATGCAGACGTGTTGAGAATATTGGGCACTGGGTAGACTCCTTGATTGAACATGTTGCGCAAGTGAGATCTTGGACGCATCAGAACGGCCTAGATGGGGTTCAGGATTGAAATGATGCAGCATCCTAAAATAGGTCTCCAAGGGTGACAGTTCAGGGGCGTTTAATGGTTGATCCAACGCAAGGCTATGCGTCTTGGACAATATATGAGTGCTACCGAAATAGAACAGGATAGCCAAAAATGATACTACTAATCAAGGTGACGTGCATTTCAATTTCCATGCACGCGTCCTAGATAGGAGTATATACTTGTAAATTGTATCTCGGGACATATGACCTCATTCGACAACTCGGTGGCAAATTACTAAACGAGGTTAGCGGAAAACCTGGGGCTTGGCACAATCAAAACTCCACATTCGGGTTCTCGAATCCTTCCTTCGCTTCTCATTTTGCTTCCTCATCTCTCTGTTCCTTACCTAAGACCATCCCTATTCCCCAAATGGTCGACGGCGCTCCTTTCTCAGCATTTCTCGAGCTCAGCAGGGGTTTGACCGCTCAGATGGGTACCGAGGGAGAGATCACATATCGGAGATGGAGGCCTTGTTATTTTTGTATAACCTCATGGGCAAAGCTGTGCATTCTCACGCAGTTCAGATCGGGACGAGCCGAATTCTGACCCGGGACTCTCGTCTGATCCGCTCAAGAATGCGGAGCGACCAGGTGTCATGCTTGTTATCTTTTGCACCCGGATGCTTGTCGCAGTGGACCGTCGTCCGGCACCCCTGTGTACTCGGTATATCCACTACTCTCCACATACAACATCTTTGTCCTCATCAGCTAGGGTGATTCATGCGATGGAATACCAAGCCACACCCTTCAAAAAGGAAAGAGAACAGTTTTCCAACGAAATGGCGAAGTATTAATGTGCGCAGCCAAGAGCACAACCTCAAAGACGGTCAATTGGTCGGTCAGGAAAAACTTGGATTACTAAGTTTGTATTTCAACTTCCCCTTCTGTAGAACCCGAAACGGGTAGTGTTTGTAAGTATTATCTTTGCGAGTTTGACCCCTCTTCTGGCCCATGTCGTGGACAATCTCTGCTAGTCCCCTCGTGGTTAATCTGAGATTCTGTCTCTCTCCAAAAATTCCATGTGGTCTCCGAATCCTGAACTTCATATCAAGCGTCCTTGCCAACTCGCCATGACCTTCATGCAGCAACACAACGTCTAAATGTCATCTGGGATTATTCATTTCGTCAACGAGACGGGGCAGGGTGATGACGGTGGACCGAGCAAGAGACGGCTGTCGCGGATCAATTCTCATGTCGCGCGCTTCTCACATCAACGGCGGAAGAACAACAGCAGCAACAACAACAATTCCACAACTGTGAGCAAGACTGTGAGTGATATGGCGCATCATACGCTGTTGAGAGCTGCCCGCTTAGCTCTACCACCATACTCTGCCACTGATGATACAATTCGAACAGCCGCCGTTGCTGCAAGTCGACTTTGTCGTAGAAGATCCCCATCCGCCAGCTTCTCGCTCGTCCAGCGATAGTCCCGAGCAGATCCCTCCGTTTTCATCTCGAGATAACGATCAAGCCACACACTCGACCGGAGTTCCCCGTCCGGAACAGTCAGAGCGACGTCGCAGTGCCGGGTCAACCGCGACCGGAGAGCCTAGAAGCAACAAATTGATAAGACATCAGTCTGCTCCTGTCCCTGTCAGTCATGTTAAGCAAGAGGAACATGATCTCCTTGCTAGAGAAATCACCAAACGGCACTCAGATGGATTACATCTTCCCTTCTGCTCATCTCCCGAAATAGAATCCATGGGAGCATTCTTCCAGCTCGCTGATTCTGTGGACCTTTACGAGAAATACCTTCTCAATTACTGTATGTGTCATCTAAGCTGACTCTTTAACTTCATGAATCTCTCTCTCTCCCTTCCTAAGTTTGTTGAATATTTTGCTGAGTCAAAGGTGCTGAAGATTTCACCGACCTGCAAACTCAGATGTTTGGTTTCCACAAAGACGCCCTGTACTGTCCACAGAGAGTACCTGCAGCTCGATCAATACAGCAATCTCGCGCGGCACTGCATTGGATTCTTATAATCGCCGAGGAACAAATGGCAAAACGCATCAACGAGGCACCAAACTCGCATATTCTCAAACATTCGATCTTAAAACGCCGAGCGAGCGGTTATAAGATGCTCAGATCGCTCCTAAACAATGCTGACTTTGATTTGGAGACAGCCGTCTTGGCTTTGCGGTATGCGATCTCAGCCGAATGTTACATGAACCACAAAGACGCTGCCATGGAGCACTTGAAAGCACTGGACGCTTTATTGTCACGTCCGGGGGCCCTGGAACGCTTCGTTGCCAATCCTGACAAGACTGCACTGTCGCTTGCAACTCTGAAGAGAATGTACGTGTCTGTACCTTGCAGGATAAAGTCCTTCAGCGACTTTGAAACCATCAAAACCATGGTCTTCATCAAGTGGAAGCGCTTACAGGCGTTGTCGAAGCAAAATCACGCCGACTTGGTCCGTCACGCTTGTGCCGCCTATCTAACAAGCACGAATGGGAACTGCCAGACTCAAACGATGCCAACAAACCACACGAAAGAAACGCCCCCGGAACAGATTCTTCTTGATCGGTACATCTCGATCAAGAAGTCCGCGCTCTTCTCGACCTATTCCTGTGAAACCATGAATGCGGCTTGTGACCCAAATTGGATGTACACTTATCAGGCGGGGCTCTTCGCGCTGTTTTATGATATGAACATGACATTGGCAAGTTTTGGGAGGGACAATCTTCGCGACAAGATTTTGTTCCTAGAACAGCTCAAGGTTGTCTTGGATGGCAGCTCTGCAAATACTCTCGGAGGCACCTCGACGCTGTCCATTGTGGACTGGGTCCGCGAGCAGTGTTACCGTGAGTGCTTCAAAAAGGACGAAGCAATCGTCAAGGAAATTGATCTATGCACCTATGAGATCAATGGTTTCAAGGTCTTTGCGTTACTGGATATCAGCCAGCGAATTCGTCTAACGGGCGCATTACGAGCTTGGCTGCTCATCGATATCAGCGTCGACGTTGACATGGACAAGGACGATTTGACCGAAGAGGAATTTGTCTCGATGGAGGAACAAGTCACCAGAGCTTGGTGGGATGAACAGCTGACACCAAACTCATCTCCATCACCTTGAGAGAACCCTTTGTCATCTTTTGATGTTCGCTAAAACGATTCAGCCTCGACGCATTCTTCCGACATCCCATCTTCTGCCATCTGGCCACATCGGGTCTCCAGCTGGAGGCTTTCTTGGTCTGGCCATACAGGGACAAAAGCATGTTTTCCACAAGCGGTCTTTATTTGGAGCCTGGTTAGGTCACCAACGGGGCCAATCCCATCAGTCTGCTAGTCAGAGAGCAGCCCCTGTGCCCCTCCTCCACGAAGCCTTACCGGTACCCAGCCGGGAGGTGACCGCGATTTACCGACGCTGACTAAACGTGGCATGATTACTCGGTATACACTGAAAAGTCCCTTCGCGTACTCAATACTTGGTTTCACCTGACTGCGGGCTCCTTTCGGCTTGCACACTCAAGGATCAGCGTGCGGATCCAAAATGGCCAACCTGTCTCGTGCGCAAGTCACGCCTTTCATCAACAAATACACTGTGTACGATATCTGCCGGGGGATCGGGGCCTATTGTCCCCATCTGCAGTGGAACAAGCTTATGTCGACGGTTTGAGATCGCTGCAACTAACGGCCGGGGGCGTGGATTCTAGGTCTTACTCACGAGTGGCATGTTCATGTGGCAGCTAGTGCCCGACTTGGAAAATGTTTTCGAGAACCTGCGAGGATTCTTGGAGTTGCTGCTTATCCTTTTGTTTTTGGTGTTGTCCCATGGGAACTTTTTCCATCCTCTTTCGAGTATTGACAGTCCCTAGTCAAGCATTCTGTTACATGCCACCCTGAGCCCGAAGCTCTTAAGATGCGATCAGAAAACAAATGGTGACCCTTTGTTGGCTGACCCGCCCAGACAAGCCAGTATACAGTGCGCAAAACTACCCAAGCTGGCCTCGCTCATACACTTTCCACATGACGCACCTTAAGCTACTGGTGGTAGAGGACTATGAAGCCCAGAACCCGACTAGGATGAGCTATCGTTGGAACGTCAAGCAGGAGGGAAGCGACACAGAAAGAAGGCGTGTCAGATGAAAGTGGTCTCTGCTCAACAGGATCGCGATGTCGGCCATATGGCTGGAATATATGTGTATGCCTTTGTCAAGTGCGGTCGACATGAGCAAGTCGTCAGGGCTTACAAAATTGATAGTGGACGATGGACGAAGTACAATCCGGGATTTCAGGGAGGATGCAGTGGTCCTGGTCTCTTGTGTCACTAGGAGATAGTACTCGCAGCACCGGCCGGGCTACTGGGAGCTACTGTCTCATTCCCGCAGCAAATCGCCTTCTATCAAATGAAAGCACGCCTGCTCTCGCGATCTGGACGATCATGGAAACGCCACATCCTGATTTCCTGCGGACTTGACATTTCCTTTAATGTCTTCTCAATTCAGAGCTATAGCTACAGTCGATACCGTCACAAAGGCCTCCTATATCATGTAGCTTCCTATTTCACTCGTACCACTGGAGAGGGATTTCCGAAGTATCGTTCGTGGAATTGATCTCCCCGACTAGTCGCCATTACTTTCTGCCCCATCGAACACGACCAGGGACCGATCTCGGAAGAAATCGTTGGCTATTAACAAGACAAGAATCGACAACGGAGGTCCCCGTCGCCCCGCCCGAGATTGGGAGTTGGGAGCCCCAGAGCCTCTGGAGTCGACCAGTTATCACTAAGGCTACTCGACTGTCTCCATCTGCTACGCCTTTGGTATGCCTTTGGTACGCCTCTTCTCTCACCGTCTATTCTCCCCCACTTGCGCCCGCAGGAGCACGGGCGCCTAGAAAGCAAAGCTTACATAGCATTGAGACAGGTACGCCTTTTGGCCTGCCCCGCGCCAGTCAAAGTGCTCGCAACATTGTGTATCAACGGTAAATTCTCTCGCATGACGCAAGCCTAGTCCGAGGGTCGCTGGCTCGACATAAGAGGCAAGATGTCGTGTGCTTCAGCTTAAACATCATATTTTGCCCACCTCTTTGTCTGCTATTCCCGGGACAGGCTGATTGTCTGCTTAATCGACTATGCCACACACTGGAAGCATTGCTCTGCGCGAGTCGCTGCCGTCATACGATGGCGGTGCAGTAGGAATAGCCCGAGACGCTGATGCCAATGCCAATGCCAATGTCGATGTCGAGGTCGAGGTCGAGGTCGACGAACCCAGTCTTGACCATGCTAATCCGAGGCAGTGGGCATCCAGACGGCAGAAGGCTTGTGTTCTCGTGGGATCTTCAATCCTTCAGCTGCCGGTATGGGGTAAGGGACCATGAGGTATTGTTGCATGGCCGGTTACAATCTCTCTACTGACCACCGAAACCCCGTAAAACTGTGCAGGGTTTGCCATGAATTACGGCGTCTTTCAGGAATACTATTCCGGCAACTGGACGCTGGAGGGGAGTCGTGAAACCACCGGTATCATTGGCACCACCTCCAACGGCGTCATGTACCTGTCAATGCCTTTCCTCTTCGCACTTTTCTCCCGACGATGGGCCCGTCGGCGGCAGCTCGCGGCGCTGTGCGGCGCGGTACTCAGCTGTGTCTCCTTCCTCTTGTCCTCGTTCAGTACCGACGTCTGGCATTTGGTCGCGACACAGGGAGTCACGTCGGCGTTGGGGTGCGCTCTCATCTACAGCCCAACCACGCTGTCCCTGGGGGAGTGGTTCAACACCGGAAACCGTGCTGTCGCGTACGGGGTGGTCTTATCCTGCAAGAACATCGTCGGCTCGACCTGTCCGTTTATACTGCGCGCCCTGCTCGACCGTTACGGCTTTCGCAACACATTGAGGATCTGGACCGCCCTGGCAGCGGGGACCAGTGTCCTGGGGACATTTATGATCCCGACCCCGCCGTCGACCATTACCATGATCACCACCGCCACCAGCACCTCGAGTGCCCACCGGTCGCGCAGGATTCCCTGGCATTTCCTCCGCCACCGGACCTTTTACATCTACAGCGTTGCCACCGTCCTACAGAGCTCCGGGTACGGCATCCCGCAGACGTACTTGAGCACGTACGCGCACGAAGTCACGAAGCTGTCGCAGACCTCGGCCACGCTGTTGCTGACGCTCTTCAACCTCCCGGGGATCGTCTCGTCCTCGTTCTTCGGCTATCTCAGCGACAACAAGCGGCTCCCACTCTCGGTCACGACCGTGACGGCCATCTCGGCCGTCAGTTCGGCCCTGTCGGCATTTCTATTCTGGGGCCTGACCTCGCGGGGCGCCATGGCCCTCTTGGTCTTGTTCTCGGTGACCTTTGGCTTCTTCGCCGGCGGTTACAGCGCCACCTGGGGCGGCGTCATCAACGAGCTGGAGCGCGAGGCCGCACAGCGCAACGAGGCCATCGACTCGGGAATGCTCTACGGCCTGCTCAACGGCGCAAGAGGCATCGGCTACGTCGTCGGCGGTCTGGCCGGCGTGTCCCTCCTGAAAGCCGGAGCCGACGTGGCCGCCTCGGTGCCCGGTCCCGGCTACGAGACTTCCTACGGTCCTCTCATCATTTTCACTGGTCTTTGCACCGTGTTTGGCGGCTGGGGGGTGTTGTGGAAGATCCCGAAGCTGCTGCGCTTGGTGTGATGCGACGAGAGCATTCGTATAGGTAAATGTGGTCGTTGCGATCTCATCACTGGCAATTTAGACCACCCTTTTTGGAAGTGCGATTCTTCCCACTTTCCTTGTATCCTCAGGGCATCTTGTGTTCATGGACCACAAGAAAGCGGTGTTGCGGACTTTAGTGCGGAATAGGTTAGCTGACCGCACCAACTAATTTCTAGAGAGGGCCACAATCTTTGTCGTGAATGTTCAAAGGTTAAAGTGATTGGGTTTTCTGGCTGCGGTATCGGACCATGATTGTACGTGTGTTAGAACATACTCGGTACATACTAATCACTTGTGTGATGCGGAGTATGTCGAGTATCTACAAGTACTTGTAGTACCATGCAGTAGTTGGTGCCCAGAGACCCGCGTGACCCGTCAAACTCCGATGTGCTTCCCGGATGAATATTCTGCCGAAATGAATTTTGGTCCCTTGACGCACCCGATAATTCTCGGCAGCGCACCAGAACGATCGAGATGGGGACAAAGATCCTCATGGATTGAGGAGAAATCGAGAGCACATGTTTTTGCCCCAGACCACCAATCACCCAAATTGCAGGGAGTGGAGATGACATAAGAGCGCATGTGGAATGGGCGAGCATGTGGCAATTGGATCGAGGCACATGGAGCACATGGAGCACATGCTAGAGATAAGGATGGAAGTGGGAGTGAGAAGGTGGTTTCTCTAATGAACAAATGGGATTAATAATATGAGGTGAGGAACTGACCTGTCAGATTAGAGGTATGAAATGAAGTATGTACTTGTCCTCGGTACCGGCTGGGCCAACAGAACGACGGACCAGTTGAGGTCCAGACAATTTGGAGTAGCAAAAGCAAAAACAAAAGGGATTCCAGTGAAGCTTTGCAAAGGATCCAACAGCTTGTCAGCCAATCGGGGGGATTATGATGATGGGGGGAGAGAAGGGCCAAGGTACCGCGTACCTCATGTGCACAAAGCACAAGTACAAGTAAAATACTCGGTACCACAACCCAAAGCGGCAATTCGGCTGCTGGCCCCAGGAAAACCACTGACGGAGCATGTGATCGATTTTCCTCCCCCCCAATAAAGAAGATCATCATCACCGTCCATCCACCGCCGTCCCATTCACCCATGCCACGATCCGCCGCCCGTTCAATCATTGCAATTCCCTCTCTCTGTCATTCTTTCACCGACCGCTTGTGAGAACCAGTACCACGCTGCCACACACACACTCTCTCTATTCGTGCTCGACTTCACTTGTTCGCTTGCTCACCTGCTCACCTCCTCTCCTCTCCTCGCCCTCCCTCCCTCGTATTACCAATATACCACATTCACGCCGCATATCCAGCGCCGTCATTCCTCACAGTCCGACTCACCCTCTCCGACCATGTAGGAGTCTCTCAAATTACCATTTTACCGCCTCCAAGGACTCTTTCCGACTCTACACATTTGCCGACCGCCGACTGCTACAAACCGCATTCAACTCGCCTCACTTTTCCTCCGCGCGCAATGGACTCACAATCGCCAAATCCACCTTACGCCGTTCCTCCTCCGTTCTCACCTCCGCTTTCCGCCCACCGTTCGTCTGCTGACTCTCATAAACCCGCCTCTATCGACATCGACATGATGCGATCTGACGACCGATCCACGAGGGCAGGCAGTGTGCTCTCTGGCATGTCCATCGAGGACATGGAGGCTGCCGAGACCCTGAATAATCTCTCTCAGAGTAAGATGTCCCCCGAAAAGTCCCTTATACCCTAATCTAATATGCGCCGTATCAGAATACCACTCGCCGAGGCAATCTCAGCCGCAACAACCTCCTACGCTTGTCCAGTCTCAAACCAGCTTCGACTCTGACCAACCGGAACCCCTCCTAAGACTGTTTACGAGCCAGTATCCTTGGACCCGCCCTCTCATCAACGGCTCCTTGTCCGCTTATAAGACTACGCAATCTTATATACCAGGCGCAGAGTGGACTGAGCGGAATGTTGGCTTGCCTATCGCAGGGACCGTCGCCAGAATATCGGGTGTGGAAGGTGGTTTGCGCTGGGCCTTGCAACCCAAGCGCGATGGGAGATCGCCAAATAAACCCTCCGACATTGAGAAGGGGTATTCAGATATTTCCCCCGACGGGACCAACCGACCAACCTCCGAGACTGGTTACTCGGATTCTCTACCAGCCTACAACGCTGGCGATCGCTCACCACCCTATGTTGAACAGCAAGTCCTTCTCAAAAGCCGTGACGATCGCCAACCGCCACCAGGTTGGCGTCAACAACTAATGGTCTCTACCAGCGGTCTAGGCATTGCCATGAGCGACGAATCGATTCGAAGTCTGCGGTACTGTCTCAGCTGGCTCCGTTGGGCTAACGGCCGGCTTGGAGAAGCCATCCAGAATCTCAAAAACCTGCTTGAGCGGTGGGATGAAGGTGTCACTCCGGGTGAACAGCCCCCCACGATGTCTGTCGCAAACATGACTCAAACCCACGAAGAGAGAAGACAAGCTGCTCTGTCTGCCCGTATCGCCGCGTTAAGAGCCGACGTCCTCCAAACCCTCAAGCATGTCGTGGGGATTGTCTCCAATTACGCGGGTGGTGCCTTACCCCAGAATGCCCGAGATCTGGTGCATAGACATTTGGTCAGTCTACCCCAACGTTTCAATCTAGCCAGCCGAGCAGACGGGGAGGAAGACTCATCTAGTGAGACCGGGCCTGAGAGCTCTGAAGCGGTCAAGAGTGGAAGGAGAGTCATGGTTCTGGCCCAAGAGGGATTGGACATGATGACCCAGGTCAGTCGAGTGGTCAACGATACTCTTGTCAGTGCAGAAGGTTGGTGTGAGAAGTTGGGAAAAAGAGTCGATCGACAGCCCCAGCAACCTTCGCAACAGTCACTCGTGGACGAGAAGATGGAGACAGACAACCGCGAGGGCAGCGCAAGGAGTGAAACGGTAAGAAGCGAAACGCTCGCACCGAGTGATGGTGGGAGGGACGTCGAGGATGTCAAGATGACCATGTAACAACACGCGTACAAAAGGTGAGAGGCATATGTTTTCGTGGCGGGCTGTAAACGTTCCACCTCTCGATCTTATGGCACGATCTTGATGTAAGAAATACTTCTGGTTGGATACGATGCTTGCAATCTTGCAGACCCTGGGGGAGCGATACCAAGAAACAACGAACAATGCTATGAAAGATACTGCCTGTGCACTACCTTGGGGAGAGGATGTGTCTCAAACGATCAAAGAATTAGCAATGATTAGATGAGCCACGTGTTATGGCATAAAATAAGACAAGAGAGAGCTTCTTGACAATCAAAAGTTTGGAGTGGTCGATCAGGTAGAAGCCAGCGCTCTGGTGAAGGGCGACAGTTCGCTTGATCCATCACATCAACGAACACCTTCCCACCACGGGAGAAGGGAGGGGAGGATTCCTTCAAGAAATATGTTTATACCCAAAAAAGTCCATTACCATCCTTATGGTCTAAACCATAGCTTGGGTTCTCCTGCACATATGTGTCTTGCGACAATGTGAATTTATGGTTTCAAAGATAGAAAAGAAGGTGGACAAGGCTGACGTCGGAGTCGGAGGAATCTTTCTGCGAACACAGCGAAACGTGGTGTTGCTCCAACATCTCCGCAGTCCAGCCTCTCGACTGCTCAGCGTCAAACCAAGTTTCACTTACTTACTGTACTGTACAAACATATGTCCCAAGTCGGGACGCAGCTAGTCCTTGCTATTCCACAACTCTTGAACCGTGACCTCTCATCCGGCCGCACCATGACTGTCCCCAAGTGACAAAGACCATGGACCCCCAGCAATATCACGGGTCATCTCACCCCTCCGAGCAACCCACTAGCCGCACCATCTTCCCTAAAGGGCCTGTATTCAACCTCGAGGACTTCTCCAGTCGCGACTTCATAGCCAAAGACTTCATCGAATCCTTGACCGAGAGTGTGCAGTCCGCGCATCGCCGTTCGCACGGGACCACCAACGCGCCCTTCGACCCCAAACCCTTGATCCGCGCATTCGAACAGGCCTCGCGCCGCCTCGATGAACTGTCCGGTGAGCTCGAACAGCGAGAGAATGAATTGTCCGCCGCCGTGAGAAGAGCTGAGGCGCAGCATGCGGGCAACACCGAGACACTGGGCAGGAAGCTCAACTCGACGATTGAGAGCTTTCAGAAGCTAGACACGTCTTTGAAGAGCGACCGAGGGGAGAAATGGGGCGGGAATGTCGCGGTGGACACTGGGCGGAGGATCGAAGAGCTGGACCGACAGAGGAGGAAGGCCCTGGACGCGCACTTCTTGATTGAATGCTGGGACGAGGTCAGTAACCGAGGGGAGGTCACCCTGTTGGAGAATCTAAGGAGATCGGGCACCGGAGAAGGGAAGATCAGGTCGGCCAACATTGCCCGCCAGCTACTGAGGATCAGCCAACGACTCGACCCGAAAAGTCATGGCCAGCCCAATGGCGTATCGACGACCAAGCAGGTCGGCATCACGAACGGCGTGACGGGGAGCCGGAGTTTCAACACCAGAGAAGTCATTGAGAAATTCATCGAGACGCTCGAGAACGACATGCTCAAGTTGTTTGACGACTTTTATCGACGGAAAAACTTTGAGGAGATGAAGAACTGTGCGATCGTGTTGCAGGACTTTAATGGCGGCGCGTCCGTGCAAGCGGCCTTTGTCAACCAGCACCAGTTCTTCATCGATCGGAGTAATCTCATGACCGAGGAGATTGGCGGGGACCAAGAGACCTGGATTCGACTCTCGGATCCAGACGCCGATTTACCGGGCGTTGAACCTGGCTTGCAGTCGTTGATCGACGAAGTCAAGGTCGTGGTTCAGGAAGAGTCGGGGATCATCAAGAGAGCATTTCCCTACCCGGAACAAGTGCTGGGCAAATTCGTTCAGAGAGTGTTCCAGCAGTCTATACAGCAAAGGCTAGAGTTGGTGCTGGAGAAGGCCGAGTCCGAATCCACGCTTGCTTATCTGAGATCGCTTCAAGCCGCGAGAAGCTACATCGGCGTCCTTGTCGAAGATTTGAAGGCACATGGGTTGACAGAGCATCCTGACCCGGCGACTTCGCAGACGAGTCAACTACTCGACCAGCAACTTGATGAACTTTTCACCCCATACTTTGGCGGTTCAGCATACATCGACAAGGAAAAACACAACCTTCAAGAGCTCTATAAGTCTCTTCTATTCAAGTTCGAACTCTTCCACTCTCGGCGCCAGAAAGAACCAAAGACATACCTCGCAGCAATCCGCAATCGGGGCCAGGAACTTCTTGCATCCGCTAGAGAAGCCACCGACGCGTACGTTAAAAGCCTGGATTTGGAGAAGATGTCGCCTACGCAAAAGAGGATCTTGTTGAGTGTCGCAGGTCTTCAGAGCACGGGTGGCGACGACAAGGTACAACCAAATATGGAGCTCGACGAGGAAGACGGGCGGTTGAATGTCGCATTCGCCAAAAGGATGCTCAAGTGGCTCGCCGAAGGTGTTAGGCGGGGCCTTGAACTAGGGGGCGGTTCAGAAACGCCAAAGGATGTCGCTGCTCTCCTCAACCTCGTCTTGAAAAACTTGTTGGAATCCTACGTCGAAGTGTCTCTCGAAGCCTGTGCGGACCTCGCCTCCTCCTTTGAAAATACACGACGGGAGCCCGACCTCTCTTATCTCTCCAACCTTCGCACCGCAGTGCACATTGCGCACCTAGTGCAGTCCTGCATCAACACTCTTCTTATCCCCTTGGCTAGCTCGTCATTGACGACGCGGCGAGAGATGGAGAAAGCTGCCCGGACAGCGACGATACGCATCGAGGATCAAATCAATAACATTGAACAAGCCACCGTTGATGGCGTGCTTAACTGGACGTCACGATTGCTGTCCAACCAGAATCGTGTGGATTTCCGACCCCGGCAGGAGACGGAAGCGCCGAGCTTGGAACAACCTCAAACGTCAACCTGTGAAAGCGTGTGTAGATTTTTGGGCTCGTTCCACGAGACTGCAGTGCAAAGCTTCGACGGCGCGAATCTCAGTGTGTTGCTCATGGAAGTTGCAGTGGGATTCCGCAGTCAGCTCCTCCAGCACTTCACCAAGTATCAAGTCAATAGGATTGGCGGCGTGATGCTTGCGAGAGACATGTCCCGCTACGTCCAGCTTCTGCGGTCTTGGGAACTTGGCGGCGGCGCCAGCGGCGAGAGCGCCACCATCGACGCCGATGCAGTCAGCGGAGGAGCGTCCTTCAAGAACAGTCTTGAAGTGCTCAGTGAGCTTGCTAGCGTGTTTGTGCTGCATCCCGACGCGTTGAAGGAGAGACTAAGGGGGCCCGTCCTGGGAAATCTGGGCAAGGAGAATCTCAGACCGTATCTGCTCAAGCGGGATGATTATCTCGAGGTGGGCATGCAGAGTCTGCTGGCGTCTTTGTGATTGATTACAGGGGCAACCAAGGGGCAAACATCAAATATGGACGAACGCATATATGTACGTATGCATGTATTCGGAGTATACACCTACTTTGACATTTGTGCAAACGGGGAGAGAGTGAGTGGTACAGAAGCACCATGTCTAGACGTCCGGGACGCGGTGATCCAGGAGCAGTGTTCATATTATTCGTTCGTAGGTACGGTGGACATGGGAGCACCGCTATTGGATGGGGAGTACTTTTCCAAATATGTATTTGCGGGAGCAGAGATCTATCTATGCTGGGAACATGAACATGAAGAGATACCATCTCTCAGAAGACAATGATACCCACCACCCATATGCCATCGAATCCCATCAATTCATGTAGTGGTGTGTGTGATCGTGCGGAGGGCGACTTGTAGTATGGCGTGCGTCGACTATGCTTCGTTTCGCAAAGGGGCAAAGCCCTGAAAAAGTTGTATATATCCCAGACTCCGAGCAATTGCATGCTGCGCCATACCTAGCAATGCGATGTAATGCGATGCGCCCGCCCCTCCCAATGCTCGTGTCTGTACACCTCCCGAGAATACTGTACACCCCTCAAACAAAACCCGTGTTTAGGCTGGCGGTCCCTGTCGGGTGAAGAACACAACATCCGCTCGAAAGCAAGTCTGAGATTGGACGTCCAGGAGCTCGATCTGCCGCCACGGCGCCGCCTTTTTTTGTAGGGTGCTTTCTTTTTATATCTTGAACCCATACCCGGCCATGCAGTCCTTGTATTGCATGACCAGACTCTTGCAGTCCTCTTGTGGGTCGTCGGCGCGGGAGAAGAGCATGCACTCGTCACGCCGCGATTTCTCGTCCTTGCACACGCAGCATGGCTGGATGAGTCATAGAGGCGTTAGCAGACGATTCATCATTCCGTGGGCGGGCAGGTGGGTGTATGTATGTGTGTACGTCGCACGCAGTGGCGAATGAGGGACAACTGCTCTCGCGGCGCAGAGCAGACAAATGCGCTGGGAGGGAGCCGTTGTGGGAAGCGCGGTGCTGGGTGTTTTCGTACCTTTACTTTCTCCGTCTTCTCTCCTGCCGACGCCGTTTTAACATCGCGGGCGAGGTTGTCGGGCGTCGAAGGTTGCGTGACTGCAATGGAAGAATATATTAGTTTGAGAGGTTCCTATAGTCCTCTGCCCGAGCGGGCATGGGGCAGATCAACATACCTGCAGCAGGCTGCGCGGGCGTAGGCGAAGAAGACGAGGAAAACCAACCCATCTTGACTGGCAGACTCTGTAATGTAGAAGCTGTTCTCTGAGAGAGCTTTGCGGGTTGAACTTTGGCTGAGAAATACAAATTGTATTTGGAGATGATTGGAGATCCGGAAGACGTCAACTGCTATTCTGCCATCAAAGGATTCACCGTAGATGGACTGTACGGTGAACCACAAAGTGCCACTCCCCGCATTATGGGGACTTCGCCCATTTTGCAACTTTCCACTTTCCACCTTCAACCCAAGTGTCTACCTAGTCCTCCATTTCCTCACGCCCTACTAACCCTCCACAATCATGGCGACTGGTCTGTTCGCCTCATTGCCAAAACCCAAATACACGGGGGAACATGAAGAGGTGCCGATCCACGCACAGCCGAGAGGACCGCGGATCGTGGGACCCGGCGTGATTGATGAATCCCAGATTGTTCTAAAGGTCAGTACCAACCTTACCCTGAGCTCTGGTCTCTCACCCGACATACTGACACGTTACTTCTCTCGTCAGCGTTCTGGACCACCTCCTTACGGTCAGCGATCCGGATGGCGACCCCGCTCCGCAGAAGACTTTGGCGACGGCGGTGCATTTCCCGAAATCCCCGTGGCGCAGTATCCGCTTGACATGGGCCGAAAGGGGACGGCGTCCACCTCGAATGCGCTTGCCATCCAAGTCGACGCCGAAGGAAAAGTGAAATACGATGCCATCGCGAGACAGGGCCACAGCGAAGGCCGGATCATACATTCCAGTTTCAAGGACTTGATCCCGCTGAGACAGCGCGCTGACGCGGGCGACTTGAGCCTCGACAGGCCATCTGCGGAGGAGGCGCAAGCCACGGCTGAACGGACGAAACTTGCGTTGGAGAAGTTGGTGTCTGGGGCTGTGGCGGCACAGAAGCCCAAGAACGTGAAGGGTGTGAATCGGGAAGAGCCGACTTACGTGCGATACACGCCTGCGAATCAGATGGGGGACAATTCCAAGAAGAACGACCGCATATTCAAAATTGTCAAGAAGCAGGAGGATCCTATGGAGCCTCCGAAGTTCAAGCACAAGAAGATCCCTCGAGGCCCTCCTTCTCCTCCGCCACCAGTCATGCACTCGCCCCCACGGAAACTAACCGCAGAAGACCAGGAAGCGTGGAAAATTCCGCCTCCGATCTCCAACTGGAAGAATCCCAAAGGTTATACGGTTCCCTTGGACAAGCGATTAGCGGCAGATGGTCGAGGACTACAAGACGTGACGATTAACGACAAATTCGCCCAGTTCGCGGAAGCCCTCTTTACAGCCGACCGACACGCAAGAGAAGAAGTCCGGCTCCGCGCGCAAATGCAGCAGAAGCTAGCGGAGAAGGAGAAGCTCGCTAAAGAAGAGCACTTGCGAGAAATGGCGAAGAAGGCGAGGGAGGAGAGACAGCGTGCCACAGAGACACACACGAAGCGGTCACGGTCACGCTCTTACTCGGGCTCCTCTTATGATTCTCGGAGTGATAGCGAAGACGAGGCGGCGAGAGAAAGAGAACGGGCTCGACGAGAACGTAGGCAGGAAAATGAACGACAACTCCGCCAGTCGAGGATGGGCGCCGAAAAGAGAATCCAGATGATGGCGAGAGAACAGAATCGAGACATCTCCGAAAAAGTTGCGCTGGGATTGGCGAAGCCGACGCAGAACCAGGAGACGATGTACGATTCTCGGTTGTTCAACCAGACCTCTGGGTTTGATTCGGGATTTAATGAGGATCAACACTACGATAAACCCCTCTTCGCAGCGCACGATGCGATCAACAGCATATATCGTCCGTCAGCGGGCAACCAGGACGACGAAGAATATGGGGAAGAAGCGGCGGAGAGCGCAATGGGCAAAATTTCAAAATCTAACAGGTTTGAGGTCTTGGGCAAAGCCAAGGAAGGATTCAAGGGGGCCGATGTGGCGGAGCGAGAGGCCGGGCCTGTCCAATTCGAGAAGGACAAGGACGATCCTTTTGGGATTGACAGTCTCATCGGAGAGGCGTCCGCCAGGGCTGGTGGAGAAGGGAAGAAGAGGTATGGGCTCGAGCAAGCTGAAGATAGGGATCGGGACGAAAGAGAACGGCAGAGGAAGCGGGCGAGGGTCGATGATGATTAAAAGGTGCTGCTGGAATCTGGCGTTGGGTGGAGGTCTAAGCGAGCTGGATATCAGCTTTGAACCAGACAGCGTCATAGCATGGCCTGGTCTTGGTATCAAAAGAAGAATCATTTTGATATACCCTTCCAGGCATTTTTTTTTGCTCAGTGGTGTTGAGCTGAGCATGTCCTATCATGTCCTGTCCTGTTCTGTCCTTTTTGTCCCTTTCCCCCTTTAGCATTGCAAGTACGTTATAGGGATTCCGCTCTGCCCTTTTTGTCAGTCCGTGGATATCCCCAGAGATCTCCCAGATATGTATATCTTTCGAGTCCGGAATCACTTCTCCACCACGAGGATCCCGAAATGCGGCCTCTCCTCACACCCGTCCCAGTAGTCGAAGCCGACGCCGTAGTCGGCGCGACTCTCGTCGTCGGTTTTGGGGAGACGGACTGTACGCCATGTGATGGGGCCGCGCATGCCGGCCCGGCGCGCGGCGTCCTCGTACACCTCGCGGCGGAGGTGGAAGTTGTCGAACGAGATGTCGACGGGTTGGACGTGCGCGGTGATCCGCGTGTGGTAGCCCTCACCCGAGGCGAGCGGCGGGGAGAGGTACGCGACCGAGACGCCGAAGCGGCGCATGGTCGCCTGCGCGGCGGGCGTGGCGTGCGCGGCTGCAAACGCGTCCAGGTCCGCAGCTGGGTGCGGTGTGATCCCCACGAATCGTCCGCCCGGTCGCAGCGCCGCGGCGATGTTGGCGAACATGCTCGCCATGTCCGCGGTCGAGGAGGCGTAGTTGAGGAGCCACGCGCCCAGTACGATGTCGAATGAACCTCCGCTATCTCCACTTCCAGCACTGCCTCTACTGTCATCGTCACCGTCATCTGCTGAGAGGAGAGCCAAGGGCAGCGGCTTCGTCGCGTCGCCCACCACAAACTTCAACCGGCCGTCTCGAAACGCATCCAGCTCGGCCGCGGAGCGCTCCGCGGCCTCCACCATGGTCGGCGAGATGTCGACGCCGACGACGCGGCGCGGGGACGCCCATTCGAGGAGGAGCCGCGAGTAGTAGCCCGTGCCGCACGCGAGGTCGAGCACCGAGACGCCGCCACTGCCGCCGCCATGGCTCTTGTCGTCTGGCGGGTTCGGGTTGAGGTACGGCACGACGGTGTCGCGGAGATTGTTGCGCTCGAGCACCGCGCCGGGGATCTTCTTCATCGACTCGTACGACTGGCCGATCTGGTCGTACTGGGTCGACGCCGCGGGTGCGGTGTCCGGTTGTGGTCGCTGCGTCGTCGACATTTGGTGAATGTGTCGGCAATGAAGCTGTCGGAGAGAGGATGAGACGAGACTAATGTGATTGATTCCTTGGAATGGTCGTGAGAAAGTCGGGTGGATGGATAGATAGATGTGTGTGTACAGAATGGCGGGGTAAGCTGCTGGAATATGTAGATGAGCCCCGAGCAGTATTGTGTTTACGGGCTATTGTCGTCAATATCCCGGTTTTGCCTCTCTCTTTTCTCATGTCGATGTAAAGGGTCAGAAACCAGACAAAAAGTGTATACCTAGACAGGAGGGTTTAATGTAGAAATACAAACTACCGAGTAGAGAAGGAAAAAATTTGGGGGAATGTTGATATGTACGAGGTATATCTTTGGCATTGGTAGCCAATCAATCAATCAATCACTCAACCATACCTCTCTTTTGTTTTATAAAGTCGTTATTACCGGGAAATCCGCCTCCGGTTTAGGTGGTCCAGCCGTTTCGGGTATAGTCGCGGGCTAGGGGCGCCGCCGCTTTTGACGTCTCAGAGAACGCATGGCCAGATACCACCACGACTATGGTGGTCGAGGCGGGTCGGAACAGGAACGGTGCTGCCAAGGACACGGCAGCCAAAAGAGGGGAAGCTTCAAGAAGGCTTTGGAGGCCGAAGTGGACCGGAGAAACTACCCTCCTCTTCCTTACACGTTGAGTCGTTGTCGCAGAGAGCCGCCCCTGGCGACATAACTATAACAGACGGACCGTCCCTTCACAAGGAACGGCCCGTAGTCGATATCAGTTATACTCCGACCCCTACCTTTGGATACAGGAGTGTTGTTCTACCTTGACGCCGTTACAAGTCACCACGTCGTTATGTCTTTCCATCACCCGCATGATAAGTATAGCTATCTATACAAGACGAGTACTCAACAGGCTCTAACACCGTACTCGGGTGAAACCGAATAGGAAAATCCCAGGAAAAGCAAAAACAATCGACAGCCAGGATTCCCAAGTGGTCTCCCAACTTGGTATTAGTTGGGTGACCTCCTGGGTCAGTGGTGAGGTCGGATGTCGTCGCCGCTGTTCCTCTGGCACAAAGGGTGAGCGACGGTTATATATATATATATATATATATCAAAGAAACCTCACAGCAGCCGAAAGAGTCCACCGATGCCGTAAGGAGAGAGCTGAAGAAAATGGCCATCCAATTTCCCTTGATGACGCTCAAGATGATAATCGAACTTGGCAAGAGAATTCTCAGTTGAACCGGGGAAAAATGTTGAATTTATGGGAATTTTCTACCACCCTTTCTCAGGGATTATTACTAAATATTACTACAATCATGTAGCTTATAAGCTCGTAATTATAGATAGAGAATAAAATCTACAGTTTCATACCTAAATCTTTGAGTAAAAGACAAAATAAATTAAGGGTATTCTGGTCATTACTTCGCTGTGCCACTTATTTTTCCACAAGGCTCGCTGGAAATAGCATCACGTGTCGCTATTCACTGTGGCTCTCGCTTCACCTTCCCTTAGCTGGCACCCAACTGGTTGTGCAACTGTGCCCTTGACGCGCAGATATTACACGCGCCTACCTAGGTTGGCACCTTCACGCTCTCCCGTCTCCTATTCTCTTGAGAGAACCCATCGTGCACCTCACCTTGCACCAACACTTGTCACCGTACAATTTGACATCTAAAGAAAAGCTCGATTACGTCATGGCCGGACGCGCGACCTGGGTAAACAACGACGCAGAACTGATGGGCGATGACATTGTGGGCAAGTTCCTTTCGCAGCAGCCGCAGAACCATTCGAGCCCGACGACGGGAGACCAGTTACGGCGCTTCATTCATAGCCAAGAGAATTTGCGAAATCCCCGTCGTCTCGGCTGCGGGAACCATGGCGTAGTGGTTCTAGTAGAGATTAAAGGCGTTTTATATGCTCTCAAAGTGGTCTGTATAGCATCTTCCCTTGCGTGAGTGTTTCTAACTTTCACTTCAGTTCAAGAGCTGGAAACAAGTCGGTCCTGTCATCTACCCATTCGAGCACGCTGTTTACATGTCACCACTTGCCAAAGAAAGCCAAGCATTCGCACGACTCGACGCGCTTGGCGAGAATGGTACATGGAGTTGTAGGTGCTATGGATGGATGAAGTTGTCCAATCAACAAATCGGTGTCGTCGGAGACGTCTTCGATCCTCGCGGCCTAAGCCGGTGGGCTATTGTAAAAGAATATCTACCGATGGCGACGACAGCTTCTCACCTTGAAACAATTTTTACGAACTTTCGGATTCCCCGAGAAGCGAGAATACACCCGAAGGATACTCGAGTCGAAAACTATCGAGGGTCGAAAATTGTTGATCTCTCGAGTGCATTGACTGAACCATGTCCAGAATGGTCGCCTTTCGAGTTTGAACAGTTCTACGAGGATGCTATTCATTATGTATTCACGTGGTGTCAAGCTGATCCAGAAGATTGCCCCCTTTCGACACCTTTTCCTTTCCCTCGGCTACCTAATTTGGTACCTGCAATGCTTGGGGACGGATAATTCGTGACAGATAATCCCTTGCCGGTCTCCATATGTAGCCACCATAATGCCAATTTCACTGTCATTTTCGAATTCCCAGTGGCATCCCACGGAATGCTTTTAAACTGGAGCGGCCCATACTCGATATTGAGACTACCAACTTCATCGTAAACCGATCCTGTATCGAGAGACATTGCCTGAACTCCTGAACTGACAGTTTCGATGGAAATCGTTCGCGAGTGAGAATTGTCATATCTCGCCTGCTGCGTTACCGTTCGAACGCTTCTCGTAGAAGCAAGACCAGGCCCTATCGTTTCTCTCGAGACTTTGACAACAACAAGTTCTTTTGTTGTGATGATGTACCCATATCGGGTATTCCACTGACGTCCACAATAGGTTTGAATCTGTTTAAATGGTTCCGCATAGTCGAAATCCTTTCTCGAGCTATTCCACTTTGATTCGAGTTTGGTCTCTCCAGGACAGAGATTTCTGTATCCAAACTGCGTTACAACTCCTTCTCGAATACCAGCCCAGTCGGGGTAGTATCGATCATCTTCATAGATCCCTTTCCGAGCTTTGTCTCCCTTTCCGATCTCGACGACGTCCTTCAGATCATCGTTTGAGTAGTGAATTGGCCATGCAAGACGCAAAGCAGAAGAAACTTGAGGCATAATGGCCCGCTCCAGCACGCTCTCGAATGTTCTCTCAGTAAAGATCATCCTGTCTAGTTCGGTCAAAGATGGACTGGTTTCTGCCATGGATGGAAAGTTTCGGTGTAAGATGTCTCCGTACGAGTGCATCAACGTGCTGTAGTTAAATTCAGCCCAGTCTTCAAGCCCCGACAATTTATCCCAGCTGGGATTAGTCGTATTCGATCCCGTAGACGAATGTAAACAATCTAGGACCGGATTGGGAAGAGTGAGATATTCTAGAAGAGTAGTAGTGGCCATAACATTCATCTCAATCAGAAATTCAAAATCAGGTGGTGCGAGAGGGAACCAAAATGAGAATCCGGATGCCTTCCATATTTGCAAACACAGGAACCCAGCATCAACATCAGACAAATGAGTGCTAAGCCAATTATTGATTGCCACGTTCAGTCTGAGGTTACCACCTTCCTACACCCTCGCAGACTTCACAACGCAGAATGACGGCTGCCATCATATGCCTGAAGTCCGCTTTCAGTTGGAGCGATACCAGTGACTGAAGAACACCATCGCCTGACGCAACGTCATTGCTACAGAGTCGAAAACCCTCATCTAGGATCGAGGAGCTCGTCGGCGTGGACTGACCAGCGCAATCTTGACAGGCGGCTTTGAAGTTTGGACACATGCGTGACTCTGAAATCGGCGTGATAGGTCGTTCGCTCCAAACATAACGTGCCAGTGGAACAGAAGGGATGCTCCGACTTCGTGAGGGTTTTCGTATTGGCTGGTCGACACGGCATTCCACACAAATGGACGTAAGCACTGGAGACATGGGGCGGATCTCTGGTTGGTGTGGTAGGTTTGATGTCGAGAGAAGCGTCGGGATGGGCTGAAGGGAGAGGCAGAGGTTCTGGACATGTGACATGGCCAATACGAGCTCTTTAGCTTTCGAGTCAAATTGTGCAACGATCAGTGCAAATGGGCATCTGGAGCAGCGTATTTGTACCACCCACCCCAAGCCAGAACCAAAAATCCCTGCAGTCACAGCTGGTGCCCCTCCTAGGTGGCCTCCCACATGCTTTGCTTATCAATGGTTTAGCTTTTGGTGACGGCCACTGTGACGACCAGGATCACAAGTTGCTTCGCTACTTTCGGCTCCCATCCCTCAAGTGGTCACCCAGTTTTAGTACTGACTGGCCGGTACTGGGCTTAAGTACACGTCTGAGCAAACGGGAAGACCTGCATTCCCAGTCCTGTGGTCGGTTGCGGGAGATAAATGGGCGGGAATGAATCAAGTAGTTTGTACCTTTCCCCCATCGTCTCACGTGTTGAAGGCCGCAACAGCCAAGGGTCAAAACTCTCCCCACAAAGTCATCAATAGCATTCATCACACATCGTGTTATCGCCACGAATCTATCCCATCAATGATCCAAACAACAAACACTGAAGCAAAGGACTCTGTTCGAGAATCAATCAGCCCACCTGAACCCCCCTCCCACGGACCAAGCGTCTTTTTTCGCCTCCAAACTCGAAACTCCTTCTCACAGCCCCTGCTGTCACAGCCCAGCTCGATAGATGTTCCACACATTCAGCATCCTGGCCCCCTGACCCGGCGTAAACCCCGTATAACACGCGTCACTCGAGTAATCCATAAACTAAACCACTCATCATTGATCAGCAGCCGGTCTCATAGTATCCAGTGTCCAGTACCTGGTAGAAAGAAAGAAAGACCTTGCGGCGACGACAAAACGTACATTGTGGATCGGGTCGAGACCCGAAAACCCCTGGGGCCCGTACGGGTTCGACCCTTGGCTGGACAGGCCGGTGTACGCGCTCGACGAGATGCCCGAGTTCGGGCACGAGTCTTTGTAACCCGGACATCCGTCTAAAAAGGGGCGTTCGTTAGAGCTTAGTCGGGCTGGATATTCATTTGATGGCAAAGGAGGGGGGGGGGGGAGCACGTAAAAATTGATTGGTGTCATGGAGAGAGACGAAGACAAGGACCTCAGGGAGAGCATGGACAACAACAACGCTATAACACAGAATATGAAATTGAGGACGAGGGGGGAAAAGAGGCACATACTCGTACTGGTCATCTCTTGCGGCGTATCCGCCACATAATCTCCCCAGTCTGAAGCGTCACAACTATTCCCATTGAACGTGTGCAGCAGCCCGTTCCAGTGGCCCACCTCGTGTGCCGTGGTCCCTCCCAGGTTGTACCCCTGCATATTTCCTCCGGGCATGGTCCCGCTCAGTATATTACATCCGTCGATGTGATACAGGCTTCGGGGAGTCGTCGAGGTCACTCCACTCGCAGGTAAGGAACAGAACCCAAGCAACGTACTCCCGGCAGGGACTCCGGGAGTGTTACTGCCTGCTTGCAGAAGAGACTGATAGTAGATGTTCAGGCTCGAGTATGTCCCTGCTCGCAGCACCCACTTCATTCCAATGTCGTCCCCATTGCGCGCCCATGTGTCGTTCGTCGTTCGGGTCACCCCGGCCAAGCGGAACCCTATAGATGCGTTGGTGTAAGATCGGGCGAGATAGATAAACTGGTTCTGGATCATGGTATCGGTGATGTAGTTCGGTGAAGACGAGGATGAGCTGGCTGTGTCGGATACGATGTGCATGTACGTATCAATCGTGAAGAGAGCTACCAGGCTTTGGCGGCGTTCATGGCTGGAGGAATGACGGGCAGCGATGAGAGAACTGTTCCAGAGGTCGTTCTCGAGGGGTTCGTGTGTTTGGAGATATCGATGTGTGGAGAGAAGATCTTTCGACGGCGCAGCAACACCGCAGGACCGATGAATTGGCCGGTATTTGGGAATCCCGGCTAAACTGGATGAGCAGAAGATCGTCAAGATGACAAACAGTAAAAACACCAAACAACGGGACGATTTCTCAGAGAAACAAATCATAGTACAGAAAGAAACAAGGTACTTGGCAATGCAACAAGAAGAGCAGAAAGCAGAAAGCAGAAAGCAAGACAATAAAGCGCAAAACAAAGGCACAGATCACCATCGCAAGTTTGCCATGTGGGTGCCGTGGAATGTGGGAGGAATCGCATCAAATACCCGTCAATGACATTCTTTGCCACGCCACGTCGAAATCGGAAAGAGACGCTCGAAGAGAATGTTTGCAAAGAAAGAATAGCGACCAAGGCTGACTGGATCTTTATAGAGCTGCACCAGTGGCCCCTGCCCCGATAACCCGTCTCAAATTGCATTGTAAACGCCGGCTCCGTGATATAACAAACACTATGTCGCCCGTGTTAGAAGAATCATACAATCTTGTCATAACGATTTCAAGACCCTCCAGGTCGAACTTCGCGACCAGTGGCGAGGATTCCAGTCGCCGGAGCGTCGTTGTTCCATGATAGATACGTATGGTCACCGAGTTTTCTGCTTCCTGGTAAGCGAATTTCGACATCCCAGAACGGGTATAGGGTCTTACCTGGGTCTGATCAGATGTGCAAGAGTAAACAATGCACCCAGAACGATGCATAATCCGCCAATGGCCACGTATGCAATCCCCAAGAACGAGTTCTTGCCACCCACCACCGACCTCGTCGAGATCAGGATGCTCTTGGTGCCGTCATACACTGAAACTGGGAAGACTTTGCCAAATATTAGATTTCAGGCATGCAGACCACTGTGGAGCGCACTCACAGTCATATATCTCCATCTGGTAGATGCCCGCCGTCATTTTGTCGTCGTCATTGCGCAGGGCTAGTTTACTGAACGTGGGCAGACCAGCTGTCCTCATCCAGACTTGGAACTCTTCGTATTGCGACAAATCCGGGATTGGGTGCTCGTCGGTGTAGTTCGGATAACGCTTGATCCAGTTAGGAGGTGGAGCCACCTGTTCGTTGGTGTATTTTGTCTTTTTGTAAAGAGATGCATCGGAGCCCCAGGCGATGCTCCGGTTGGTCATGACGTATGGTTGCGCAGGCGTATTCCCTGCTGCGTTCACAAGTTTTGGAGAATTCAAAGTGTCATTGAAGATGGAATTGGCAATCAACCCACACGGGTAGTAGGCCTTGCCTTCGTGGTTCAGTTTGAGCGGATTACAGGCGCTGTTGCTGATCGTGTGATTGCTGAGAGCATCTCCCTTTAGTTGATCCGTATCGAGCGACTTCACATATCTCCGATGATTTTGATAGAAATTGGTGAGGCGATAGTACAAATAAACTGGAGGACCGATGTCGTTGGGAATGGAGAACTGAAGTGTACAAATAGGAGTGTCTTCGATCGGGACGCTCCACGGCGGGGTCGTCCTGTTTGTTGATCTCTTCCATTCCGCTCTCACCGCGTTGCTGGATGTTTTGAACGACGAGTGAACTTTGGATTCGGGGATCTGAGTGAAGTTGTTGTTTCCTGCAGTCGAGATGCAGTCGGTGTAATCAATCCTCAATTCTTGCACCTGAGACTGTCTTAGTATCCACACAGTCCATCTTATAATGCTCATTCCCACTCACACTTGCGCTCGCCCATAGAAGAAGCCCGCCGATGGGGGCAAAAATGATGCCCACGACGAAGAGGAGGGGGAGGACGGTCTTCGGCGTCAGAATAGGCCTGCAAGATTAGTACTTCCAGCGGTATTATCAAAAGGTTGAGCGAAACTCACTGCCATGCCTTCAGCCTCTGTTGCCGAAACGCGGTATCTGTGTAAAAGGATCCTCGTCAGCAAAACTGCGATTCGCGATCAGGGTGTTGCTGCTGCGTACTTGCGGGGCGTCTGCTCTTCTGTTTCTTCGGAGGTTCGTTGTGAGGATCTTCCTCATGTATGGAATCAGCTTGCTGGACTTCTGTCCGCGACATCGTGTCTCGGTTGGTTCCCCTGCAATATTGACGGGACAAATGGAGAAAGGGGACGCCGTCGAGGTCGCTTTTGAAACCGCAAAGGTCAAACTGGGGGTGGCTGCACACTCAGCATCTCGGCGCTGCATGCGCCATTCCGGGCCATCCTTCACACTAAACCCTTTTGGGCGTGTCACAGCCCCCCAAAGATTCTCTGTCATTTGATTCGTATATCAATTTTCTCTCGGCCTTTTCCTTTTTACTCTTTTCTTTCTTTTTCTCCCATAACTCATTCGTGGACATGATTTATTGTAGGAGCCAGGGTTGCAGATTCTCTACTTGCACAAATCTCTTTCTCCTCTGCTACATGATCCCAGATCAAGATCATGAATCGTCGCGCCGTAGCTGGAGCGTGCTATGAAAGAATCAAAATTTCCATGATGCTTCGGTTCCCTTACCGACGGCTGCTACATTACCCCCAAGTTCGAGTTACAATGAAAGATTCGAGCGCAGGCTACCGTCCGTTTTCGTTTTTCGTTTTTTCGTTTCTTTCCCTTTTTTGGGCATGTTGGTCGTGAGCAGCCACGTCGCCCAGTTTGTCTATATCGCTCACCCAAGAACAATGTCTCTTTATCCGCAAGGCTCCCGGAAATCCAGTAACACATTGTTAGCCGACTCCAAAAAACACCTTCGCTATGTTAATCCAGTGGTGGTACATCCATCTAGTTATCGCTTTTCATCTTGGTCCCCCACTGCCCAAGTACTTTCTTGTTTCGTTCCAGGAGGAAGCCACCCAGAGATGTAGCTCGGATCGTATTTTCGACTGCGACTATCATCTCTTTTGGGATGTGAATCTGACATTCCGGTCACATAGTCGTCATTAATTTGGGAGCCGTCATGGTGGCCTGGTGTCTTCACTTCGGCAACAGGCAACAGTGGTGTATGCTTGTGACGAAAATGATCGGCACGAGTCCTTCGTTCGGCGGCGTCTTCCATACTCGTCCGATCATACAAATAAAGGCCAAAACATGTGAGACCGATACCGACAACCTGAATGGGGGTGGTCGAACTCCGGAACCAGATAATCGCCACAACAATAACCCATACCCTTTTTATCAATGAGGCAACCGAGTACGAAACCGGGGACAACATGGAGAGCAGGACAAACGCCATGATGTTCTGGAAGAAATGGAAGATTCCATTGAAGACAAATTCCAGAGCCAACTGCCCGTGATCCATGGCACCCCTCTTTTCAGTGAGATCAATCGACCCATCCTTCCAGAAGTCTCGCATGATTTCCAAGCCTTCGGTGTAAAGCCAGACTGGCGCCGAGAGCATGAAGGCTCCGACGGAGCAGTAGCATAGGAGATTGAGCTTGTCCAATTTGCGGGGGAGGTGCACCTGGCCTTCGGCTTCCGCGCGGGCCGATTCGGTGAATAGCTTCTTTGAAAATATATTCTGCGTCACGAAGACAATAGCTGCCACTAAGGAAGCACTGATCCCCCAGAAGTTTGTCGAAAAATCGGTAGAGCACGCCAACATGACTCCCACGGTGAGTGGGATAAGCGACATATATGTGGCTTGTTTGTAACGTATGCGGAACACTAACCGGTATGCCAGCACAGTGAATAGAGGTGAGAGACCTTTGATTGTGTGAACCAGCGAAACCGGGATCTTGGATGTTGCATATGAACTTAAGAGGTGGCCGAGCAACTGGAAGACTGAAAGAGGAAATGCCGTGTACAGGACGTCCCATGAAGGTTGTCGGAGGCCGTTCCTCAGCGCAGGTATACTTCTTTTGATCGAGGGGAACAGAGAGGACAAGCCTGTTAGAATCAGGCACCAGATCGAGACAGAGGCGAACTGTAGGATCGTGAGGGTCGCCGGCTTGGGAAATGCGTTCAATATCGACTTGGAGGACGTGTTCGTCAAGGCAGAGGTCATGTACCAGGTGATGCACAGTGCCTATCGTTTGTTAGACTCTGGGTGGGATCACAGTCAGGCTCACTCACAATCAGTTTGTAGGAAACTGGGGCTTTCAGCGCCTCAGCCAGTTCTTGCGCATTCTCGCTCACACTACCTTGTCGTGTACGAATCCTGTGAATGGCATCACTGACGCTTCGCCTGGACCTATGTGTGTACACTCCAGAGGGCCGAGCATCGCGCAGCCTCTGGCTCATCTTTCTGATCGGCCATTTCAACTCGCCATTGAGATGTGGCGTTGGAGTGATTTCTTGTGGACTTTCTGCGACCACGGAAGCATTGACGTGGAGGTTTGGAGGAGTGCTGTTGTCAAAAGAGGGGAATCTTTCATGGCCAGAGGATTCGTTTGCGCTCTTCAAGGGAGATACAGATCGGTGCGTAAATATCCGGGGTTCAGGAGTCTGGGTCATGGTGGTGGTCATAGTCGATGCCAAAGTGGTGTGGAAGGAAACAGGATTGAAACAGACACAACCACTCTGCACTGCATTTGCTGGTGTGCTGTTTCAAGGTATCCTTGTCGTGTTCGCCATTTGCATGGAGCGGACGTCGTTTTGTTGTTGTATGGTAAGATTGTTCAGTGATTGGATCAAACCTGGGGATTCATGATGCATAGAATCTTTCAATCTCGGACAATACCTACAGTAGCATGAGCAGGGATGGTAATCCTCTAGCGCCACCGCAGCTGCGCCGCCATCGCACGGCGAGATAACGCAAAGCCTATCTTCGGATAAATTGCTTTTCTAGATGTCGGTCTCGGATTAACTGGAGCTCCGACACCGATATCTTTCCGACCATGCGACCTCAACCTGACTTTCTTTGTTGTGCAGATGAGGGCAGTTGATCGCCATGTAGTAGAATGGGGCTTGTGAAGCTGTTGAGCCTCTGGCCCTTTGTTGTCGCTCGTCCGTTTGCTTCTTCCTCTGCCACCACGTCTCAGGATATACTGGCGGCCGAGGCTACCGTCGACCAGAGTCCTGTCACTATCCTTCCCACCTGGGACGTGATCGGCCCATTCAGATTAGGAACTCGAGGTAGTTGGAACAGCTCTGTTGAAGTGCTTGCTGCAAGACTAACATCCTGGTAGAAGCGGTTTGGGGCGCTGACCCTCTTGAGTTTTATGGAGGGATCCAGTACAACACTCCGAATGGATCGACCTGCTTCCCGAGTCCGTTGGCGAGAAACGCGACAGTGCAATGGGCTCGGAAGGAGTATAGCCCGAGGGTATCGAACGGTGAACACTCACTGACTCTTTCTCTTGACTTTGACGGGATTGATTGGGAGTTCGCTCAAAAAGTCTATGGATGGTCAGCATTTCAGTATCAAGCATGGGCGAAAGGGGAGATCTTCAATTGGGACATGGTGAGTAGAGTTGTCAATGTCTTCAGCGACAATATCATTGAACTCTGGATCAATGATATGCATGTCTTTGGTGGAGACTTCTTCGGGTTTGGACGAATTCCCATGCTGGTTCAACTCCACCCTGGGGTTAACAATATCAGCGTACGACTTGTGCGTGAGGTTCGCTCCATGGGGGGCGGTTTCCCTCCAACAATCCAAGCAGGTCTGAGGATAAAACCTGCTTCTGAAGAGCTCGCAGTTGTCACAGATGGCTTGGTGATGCCCAATGTGGTCAATGGGAGATTTTGCACACGATACGGTAGCATCCCGGTCCGAAACCAAGGTGCGACATGGATATATGTGCGCCGGATAGCAGCCGTGTCTGCGGAATGCAGTTATGTCGTTGCCAGTCAAGACATACTCCTTGCGCCTGGGCAATCGCGTCCAGTAAAGATGGTCTTCGATCCCAACTTCAGATTGAACAAATCATTGGAGCTCGTTCTGGTTTATTCAGGTCAGGACGGGAGGCTAAACGAGATCACCTTCACTGCACAGCCGGAGCATGTAGAAATGTCGTCCTTACAGAGGATTACATACACCCATCCAAGCGGCACAATATCTTACGCGATGTTGAAGCCGCCACCTACGGCCAACAAGTCAAAAAGCCACGACTTACCTGTCATCGTGAACCTTCATGGAGCTGGCGTGGAGGTAGATGGACCCCTGGCGCGACATATGTTTGACGATGCTCCTCATCTGCCGGCATGGATACTCACCCCCACAGGCATGAGTCCCTGGAGTGGTGATGATTGGCATACTTGGGGATTTGCTGATGCTCAGTCCGCAGTGGCCGCAGTTGCTGATTGGATTGACACCACAGGATGGGACGGTCCACGCGTGTATTCTGAGAAGCTTCTTGTTGCCGGCCACTCCAACGGTGGGCAGGGGACGTGGTATTTTGCTTCCCATCAACCTGATCGGGTTATAGGTGCCGCCGTTGCGTCGGGATACTCTTCGATTGAAAACTACGTGCCATACGTCTTGTGGAACGAAGCATCCCCTCTCCAAAACGCTCTTCTCGAGAACTCAAGAAGCAGCTTCCGCCATGAAATCTTGACTGAAAATTTGGTGGGCATCTCGATCTTACAACAACATGGATCAGCTGACGACAATGTTCCGGCTTACCACTCTCGGCTGATGAACGTCTTGTTGGCAGAAGTAGGGCAAGTGGTGCAGTATGCGGAGATGTTGCACAAGGGACATTGGTTTGACGGCACAATGACCACCAAATCAATGATGGAATTCTACTGGCGACATCTGACTGCATGGCGTATTAAGCTCACTGTACCCGTATCTTTTGTTTTTGCCATTCCAAACTCCCATGACATGGGTTCCAGGTATGGGATCGTTGTTGACCAGTTGTCAACCCCAGACAGACTGGGGAGAATAAAGGTAACAACCAGTGTATGTGGATCTCTGGTTCAGTGGCATATACGGACAGAAAATATCCACCGATTTCATATAGATCCCAACGCACGGCTGGCGAATGCTCCTGACCAATTCCTCATTGATGATGTGCCACATGTTTTTGACGCCGGAAGTGGATTGCCTCCTTTTGTCAAGACCGCTTCCAATGTTTGGGGCAGGGAGGTCACCCTGGATTGGAGGACGTTGGACCAGAGATTCGGTCGTCAAAGAGGCGCCTTGGACGCAATACTTCGAACAACTGGACCATTTCAAGTCGTCCACGACTCCGACCAGACACTGTCCATCGCAGTACAAACAAGCCGAAACTTTTTGCAGTATTTTGGAGCCGATACAACAGTTGTTCCTTTCTCCGAGTATGGACAAGCATTGGATAATGAGGGAAATGTTCTCACAATCTGCCTGGGACTGTCGATCCCAGAGGCTCGCTTCCCAGGATTTCCGATTCGACTTGCTAATGAAAAAATCCTCATTACTGCACCAGGGTCCGGATCGATATCGTTGCATTTGGAAGCAGGAATGGGTGGAGTGTGGCTTCGACCTCTTCCGAGAGAGCGTTTGGAGCTTGTCGTGTGGGGGTTCGACGAGGTTGGTTTGCGACAAGCTGCAAGGCTGATACCCACGGTAACTGGAGCTGGTCAGCCGGATTTCGTGCTTTTAGGTAATGAGGCAAGATGGAAGGGTCACGCAGGTGCTATCGCAATGGGCTTCTTCGATCGCAACTGGAAGATATCATCTGCTTCATACCTGCCCTGATGACAGTTGGAAGTCGGGGTCATAGGGCGAGAGAAGCAGAGAAAATTGCAGAGAGATCGCGTAAGGCATGTCCGCTCGCTCCCTGGTAGGTCAACTGGCGAGGGAGCAGACAAGAGCAGAAATCGAGACGCAAGAGGCGAGGTTGTGGTGAAGAAAGAGCGTCTTCTAAAAACCCACTTCAGTCACTTCTTCACTGGCCCTTGACTTCCTCTTCCTCCTCTTCCTCGTCTGCCTGCAACTGCCATCACTCTCTTCCTTCTTTCCCATCACATCTTCCCTTTTTCTTCTCATACGCCCCTCTCTTTGTTCTCACCCCCTACACCCTCAACTTCTCCAGCATTTCGCAAGTCTTCCGCATTTTGCAGGCAATCTCTTGTCACTGTCGCCGCTCTGACGGTGTGCTTCTCTCCCTGACTTCACTTGATCTAATACCTGGATATCTCTGCATGTTGTAAAGACCTCAGTCAATCAGGCTCTTTGGTTTCCGGACTTTCAACACCCCCATGGCCACGCTTGTCTCAACTGGATCTCCAACAGGCAAGATGAGTCGCAAATCTACCCCAACAGTCAAGGTCAGAGAGGAAAGTGATGATAGCTCTGCAGCCGTGGCAAACACGCTCACTGTAAGGTTGCTTGTTTTTCTGCTTCACTTTGTCACTGACACGCACTTAGATGGCCACCAACTCTCACTCCGCAACTTCTAACCGTCCTTCCTACACTATTTTGCACAGTGACAAGCTCAGCAACGTCCAGCCTCCAAAGGCAAAGGACAAGGTATGCTGCTTCATTCGCCCTTTCAGAACGACCTATCTTCTACAGCCGGCTAACTCCCTTTTGAGCAGACCGTCTCCAAACCTTCTGAGCCCAACGTGATGGGTGGCGGTGGTATGGAAGACATTCTCTCGCGCCTCAAGCTCAATGACTCCCGTAAACCGACTGCTACCCCAACTGGCGAGGTCAAGTCGCGAAAGCCTGATGATTTCGGCAATCTCGACAAGCTCCTGAACAATCTCCAAGATTCGAGCAAGGCTTTGAAGAAGCAAGAGCAGGAACTCAGAAGCGAGATGCAATCCGAGAACCACAAGGGCCACCCCTCCAGTGATGACAGCTTTGAAGCTGCAAAGCCTACTCAACACTCAGCAATTACGAGCAAGGTCGATGTGGCCGAAATGATGCGTGTCAAACAGGAGCTCGAGGCTGCCCGATCCGTCATCTCACGCCAGGAACAGGAGCTCGCCGAGACCCGCACTCTCAAACAGACCATCGATCAAGCCATGGGGCCTCCATCTGAAGTCGACTTTGGTGCTTCCACTGATATCTCTGAACAAACCATAGGTCACCTGCAAAGCGCTTTCAATGCCTCTGCCCGTCCCTTCACATCGCAGACCGACGCTTGGGCTAGTCAGGACGAACACCGCAACGATTTCGTCCGTAGCCGGGGTATCTGGAACAACCCGTCGACATCCATGACGAATATTTTGGCTACCAACCCTACTGCTCCAGCATACAACCACCCTCGTGATGCACGTCTCTCTGGACAGGCCTACAATGGGGTCTACGGCGCACCCTTCTCCCCGGCAGAGACCAATTTCCAGCCACGCAACTTCTCAGGTACTGGAGCTCCGCTGGGATATGACATGAGGTCAAATAGTGACATGATGCCAATTAATCCTACACTCAGCATGAGACGCAATGGTGGACAATTGAGGATCAACCCAAGCCTCGCTGACCCAATGTCACAGCTTAGTAGCTTCCCGCCAACCGCTACCACGTTGACCCCCCCACCCATCAGCCCTGTCGGGTTTCCAGGACAGTACAACTACCAACGAGGTATCACCACCCCAATCACTCCTGCCACAGACTTCAATACCACCGGAGTTCAAAGTGCTGGAAATCCATGGCCTCTCTCGGCTGGTGGGGTGAATGGCCAAACATATGTCACGCCCCTTGAGCCAATGAACTATCGCCGTCTCCTCGACAAGTCCGTGTCCTGTGATTGGAAGTACATTGTCGACAAGATCGTTTGCAACAATGACCAGCAGGCCAGCATCTTCCTCCAGCAGAAGCTCAAGGTCGGTACCGCTGAACAAAAGTTTGAGATTGTTGAAGCCATCGTCAACCAAGCTTACCCACTCATGATCAACCGGTTTGGCAACTTTCTCGTTCAGCGATGCTTTGAGCACGGAACCCCCGACCAGGTTGTTGCCATTGCCAATGCCATTCACGGCAATGTACTTTCCTTGAGTATGGACCCCTTCGGTTGCCATGTCATCCAGAAAGCATTTGATTCGGTTCCAGAAGACCACAAGGCTGATATGGTTCGAGAATTGCTTCGCCGCATTCCGGATACGGTTATTCACCGCTATGCTTGTCATGTTTGGCAGAAGCTCTTCGAGCTCAGATGGAGCGGAGAACCACCACAGATCATGCTCGAGGTCAACAAGGCGCTTCGTGGTATGTGGCATGAAGTTGCATTGGGTGAAACAGGCAGCCTAGTTGTTCAGAACATTTTCGAGAATTGCATCGAGGAGGAGAAGAGACCCGCAATCGAAGAAGTGATTGCCAACATTGACCTCATTGCCCACGGTCAGTTCGGCAACTGGTGCATCCAGCACTTGTGCGAGCATGGCTCTCCCCCTGACAAGCGCCGCGTCATTGACCATATCCTTGCCAACTCGTACAGCTACAGCATTGACCAATTTGCTTCTAAAGTTGTCGAGAAATGCCTCAAGATCGGTGGGCCGGAATTCTTGGATCGCTACCTTGGAGTCATCACCACTGCTCATCCAGATCGTCCACGCATTCCGCTTATCGACATTGCTGGCGACCAATATGGCAACTATCTGATTCAATGGATCTTGATGAACACTCACCACCATCAGCGAGAGCAGGTGGCCATCCACATTCGAAAGCACATGGTCTCCTTGCGTGGTTCCAAATTTGGTTCCCGAGTCGCCATGCTCTGCTGCAACCCGAACTCGGTCACTCGTCCTGGTCCCGGAGCTGTTGTCAACCCATTCGGAGCTCCTGGTCAGCCACGCAACCAATGGCCTCGTTTCCGCTAGGTCAGAATCTCGATACGTCTTTACGGACAGAGGTCTAGTCTTGCGCTTCGTCATCTCATCTACTTACGCGTCATCTTGTTCAAGATGAGGGTATTCTACAAGTTTGTCAATACAACAAGGGGCGACTACCCTAAAACTTGGAATACCGACCAAAACTGCCACGACCGATGGGGAGGAGGATACTACTCGAGCCATTGAAGTCAGTATCTTATCTTGGCTCGGACCTCTTGGTTTGTTCATTTGCACCTGCCTCTTATCGGACAAAAATATTCAATTGTATGTGTTTCTTCATATCGACAAGGAATGTTTCATATCTGCCGACGATACGAAAGACCCGACAAACATCGGCCGCGTGTGGGTGTTTGCTTTGAATCACAACTTGTTGACGGCAATATTTCAGAGCTAGCAGCATTATCGGCGTCAATGTTCATCAGTCATGGCGGGTGACTGTGCATCATATCGTGTCTTTGACAGTTGTCCATGGCCCCGCCGGAAGAAATGAAGGAGAAAATTGACAAAGCATGTATTTACCAGTGGCATGATGAAAAAAAAAACCATCCAGAATGGAAAGAACAATGTAGCAGATAGTGAACATCATAGCTGAACAAGCGTGCCAAAGAGTCTATGCCTTCCTTTTTTTCCCTCAGGGGTTCCCTCTCTGTCCCAGGAAAGCTGGTATAGGGATTGAGCTCCATCCATGAGCACGTCACTTTGCAGAGAGAGCGTCAGGCAGAACAGACATCACTAATGTGCTGTACAATACGGTTCGAAATGTCTCGATCCTGATTAATTGCCTTTCTCCGGCTGAAGACGTTCGCCTCTCTCGGCTGTACTATCTCCGTAACTTGAGCACCGATACTTTGCATGGAATCTCAGTGATAGCCGTAGTCTACCGTGGATGTTGCGAGATGGCGATAGCAAGTTTCCATGCATAACTCAGCGTACTTGTTGCTTCTTCATCTGGCAAATAGCATCGTCACATATGTACGTGGTAGACCTCTCCGTCGGACATTGCAACTATGGTTAACACGGTGCCGCAGGAATGTGTGGAGTCGTAGCTCGGATGGTGATGGAGGGTGTGCGTTGCTTTCTTTTCGAGTACCTTTGTTCAGTCTCTACTGAGCAGCCCACTGTCCGGGATGGCATTGGGTTGTAGAATCTTTACCACGCCTTCGCCGGCCATTTTGTGTCCGTTGATATCAACTTCTTCGGTCCCAGACTCAGGTTCACGGCCCTCTTCACTCTTTGTCGTGGCTTGTGTGTCGCTTGCCTGGACAGATGTTCCATCCTCTTGCGACGGTTGTTCTTCCGAGCCAGACGTGTCGGCATCTTTCTCCCAAGGTTTCCTCCTCCGAGGTGTCTTATCGATCTTGCTCGATCCTGGCTCGAGGACAGTGGGCGGTATCTCTTCTATCCCTGGAACGGGGATGTTGCGCGTTATAAGGTCCACAATAGCCGCGAAGGAAGTGGGGTATGGTGGGTCTTGAGCTGCTTCCGAAGGAGCTGTACCGGTATCGGTTGAGGAGGTGGAGGCGGTAGCGGCCGTTTGAGGGGGCTTTCGTGGCAGCGAAGACGGCGCAGATGATGTCGGTGGTTCTGAGGGGCTGGCTTCAGGCTGGGAATGTGGTGAGAACAGCTGAAGGTGTGGATGTGGATGTGGTTGCGATTGAAGCCACGCTGAGTATGCTTGCGGAGCTACAGGCGGGGTGATGTGAAACTTCCTTGAGAAATAGAAGCATTGGGCCTGGAGCACCAGGTCTGACTTGTCGCGCAGTTCTTCCGGTGTTACAGGCGTGTACTGGTGACCTAAAATCGTTGCAAGGCCGGCTTGATACTCGGAATCAGTAGAGAATGGGTAGCGGGACAAGTGAGTGTAGATGGCCTCAAGATCTGGTGGAGAAGAAGAAGAAGGCGTCGGTTCGCCGGAATCTTGGGTGGCCATTCTCCTGCCTCCAGTCTAGGAGATGGTGAGCTGAAGGATATGGGCAAGTGTGAAGAGAACTGCGGTGCCAGCATGAAAAACGTCTACCAACATTGACGATGTTGTTTACGTCGTTCAAGGTTGGATGGTTGGCGGTTGAACTTCGGCACAGTCACCACATGGCAAACGGAAACAGAAGCGGAGTTCGTAGCTTCCCAGCCATCGTCGAATACTATCGGGCCACGAAGCAAAAAGAGCAACAGACCGTTGATTATGTGCAAACAGACAGCCGGACAATTTCGTGGCTCTACCTTGTGACCGCCTTCTGTTCCTCAGACAAGGCTGACATCTCTGCAAATCAGCCAATCGGAGTGGCTGCCAGACCGCAAGGCTGCCGCGAGGCTCGAGCTTGCTTAGCGCTGCTGCCCTCGCATGGCCTCGTTTTGATTTCACATCGCAAAAGTCTACTGCTCACATTGACAATCTTCCTGCTCCGCCATCTCTCTCGAAGACCGATTCACTGAACTCTATCTCGGGGCCTCATTTTGCCAATGTATCACTAAACCGCCCTCATCCACGCCAGAGAATATGCCGACGCCGGTATCTGCTGACGCAAGGCGCGATCCACGGCCTGATGTTTTGACCAACGGCAAGTTAGACATCGGACACGATGAGGGACCTGGGCCTATCGACAGCCCTCCAGTGAGGCGGCTTCTGCGCTCTATCGAACAGCACGATAAAGAGTTCAACGAAAATCTCGCTGTCTTGACTAAATTTGTGAAGATGCTGGCCTCTGAACATGCAAAGTCCATTCTAGACTTGAAGAAAGACTGCATGAGATATGCCGGCGGAAACTATAGCCACCACCAACAGCGACTACCCACGACAGGACCCAAGCCCACGGTTGAGGCCTCCCCCTCGGTTGCTCCACGACAAGGAGAGGAAGCTACTGAAACGTCCGTTACAAATGGAACGTCGGAGCAGTTGGATTCCGGTACAGAACCCCGACACGTGGAAACTTCCACGCTTGGATCCACTCCTCAAATAGGAGCACGTCGCGGTACCAGCGAGCCTCTTTTGAAAGACAAACGCACCGAGGTTATCCAAATACCTGACCCAGAGGAGCCTCCTGGACAGGAAGACGAGACTTCAAGTGTTGATGAAGCCAACAACTACCGTGCTCCATTCTATTTGAGTGACGATGACAACCATGATCAGGATATCGTGCATGAGGAATCTCCGGTCCCAGATGAAACTGCTTGGCGCACCACTCCGCCCATTGACAATGGCAATCGTGATCAGGACATTGTACATGAGGAGTCTCCGGTTCTAGATGGAACCGCATGGCGCAACGTCGGGAATGCTCAACCCACTGTCCCTCCGAAAACCCCCAAGGCACAGAATCGACGAGAACACTCATCACTACCTAAGAAGAGCTCCCAGTCGCTGCGGGACTCATCTCGTCGGTGGACAGACGAGGAAGAATCATTTATGATCGAAACCATCCATGATTTGATGCAAGGGGAAGATCTCGGACCGACAAAGTCACACATGTGGCAACGGGCAGCCGCCATTCTAAGCACACGTGGATATGATCGCACGTACCAACAGATGATGGCGAAATGGTCTTACGATACTCGCCACAAGTGCGAAAGTCGTGGTCTGGACTGGGCAGCTGCCGTGATGGCCAAAGTTCCTCACATGACCCGGAAGCGCAGATCATCAATGAACGATAACCCGAACGGAGAGCAGACTGCAACACCGACAGACCAGCCGAGAGTCAAACGAATCAAGACCAAGTCTCTGAAGCTTCGTACGTCCGTTTCATCATCTGCAAGATCGGGCAGCCATATGTACCTTCGGTTTGCCTGGGGTCACGCCTCGAGCGACATAGTGCAAGTGGACTGGTCCCCAGATTCCAAACACTTTGCGGCTGCCAGCAACTCGATTGTTGAACCTTCGAAAAAGTTCCGGAACAACCGACGTGGGAACTTGATTTATGGCTCAGTACCTTCCAAGATGCTCCGAGATCTTCCTGAACATCGGATCTTGGGCAATGCCGCGGCTGGGGAGCCAAAGTATATTTACCAGACCGTCAGCGCGGTTCGATTTACTCCAACGGGCAACAGGCTGTACAGTGCTGGGTTTGACAATAAGGTCCGCGTCTGGGACGTGGGGGATGAGGCTTCCATCCACTGTAAGACGGAAATACAGTATTCTCAGCGGCTAGAAGTCATGGACGTGGCTGGGGAGCAGAGCACATTGTTCGCGACAGGTACCGAAGGCGGACTCCGATCGATCCGAGTTTTCTTTATGAATTCTGAGGTAGATGTCCGGCCTCAGGAGATCAGGATGAACCGGGAAACAGGAAGGAAATCGTTCCCGTTTTCACCGACGTGTCTCCGGTTCGGACACGCTCGTAGCCGGGATTGGCTCCTTGCAGGCTTTGGGAATGATATCAACGGCCATTTTGGCGGCGGATGCACCGCCATGTGGAAATTCCGTGAAGGGTCCTGCGAACAGTTACACTTTCCGCAGGGAGATACATATGTGTTTGATTGCGCCTGGAATTCGACAGGCGACTTGTTCGCCGTTGGGAGCACAAGCAATGCCTTGACGAGGAGAGAGCCAGGAGAGCATTCTGTGGTTAAGCTGTACTCGCCCAACCAGCCAGACTCGATCTCGAGGTATAGCTGTCGCGCAAAGGATATCAACGATGTGACCATTGACTACGATCTTGTCACGGCCTCGTGTACCGACGGTTCGACGTACGTTTGGGATCGGCGTCAGCCTCAAAAACCCTTACACAGGCTAGCTCACGGTCATCCCGTGATTCGGATCCCGCCCGGAAAAGACCGAGAGGTTGAGGATGTGGGCGTCCGATACATCGAATGGAGCCATACCCCGGGACAATTATACACAGGGTCTAGTGATGGCATCCTCAAGTATTGGGACACGCGGCGCTCACCTGCTGATGTCCTTGTCGAAGACCTTGTGGACATCGGCAGTGAAATACTGTGTGGCCGTCTTTCGCCGGATCATTCCTCCTTGCTGCTGGGCAGCGAAGAAGGAGGTCTTTACCTGTTGAGCAAGTCGAACGGTCCATTTCGAACGGAGGACCTCCAATACCGAGTGGCGGAACAGTGGGACAATGACAAATAAGACAAAAGTTTCAACTCATACGGACGGTGGAGGGCGCTTTGGCCAATGCGTGTAAGGGGCCGGTATGGAACAAGAAGACCGATGGATATCTACGACAAGAGTAATGGGGGATGGGTTGCCGAAAATGGCGACTTTGGGCTCCATCGATCGACAAGAAAACAAGTCTTTGGCGGTGCCCGCTGGGGGAGGAGAAGACGTGATGGATACTAGGTACTAATGGCTCTGGTAAATTGTCGACATGGTGGCACATGGGGAGGTACAGGTATCGGCGCTCCTTTTTGGTTTTTCTCTTTTTCCAAAACCAACTACCTTTTCTGAGACGGAGTATTGAAGAGAGGAAGCAAGCAGGCAGGATATATATAATACCCAGGGACAGCGATGATGGATGGACAAGGCCAGGGATGAATTTTGGGACTTTTTTTTGTCTTCCTTCTTCGACAGGGGGGATTTGAAGGAAACTCTTGAACTCTGGGATGGATTGATGGAGGATCGATGGGGTTTTACGGAGCATTGTACATTTCCCTGCTTGAAGGGTGCTTTGATCGGAATCTTCTTCTTCCTCTTTTAATGGCATTGAAGTCATTACCTACCTTACCTACCCGAGTTATCACAATACAGGTTTTTTTGGGAAGTTACGCGAATCGAGGCCTTGTCCGTGTCGCCTAGAGCATAAGTGCGAATAGGGACTTGAGAAGAGGATAACCGGGTGGACGAGATGAGTTGCGAGGGGTCTGGGAGGAGTCTCGCTGTCGCTGTCGAAGCAGGACCTTAACATAACCTGATCTTCTACAATGACAAACACGCCGAGAAATGGAGAGAGAGACCGGGCGGTTGAGAATCATCTGCCGGCCAAATAGAAGGGAGAAAAGATTGTAAATTCCGACAGACCAATCAATCAATGGATGGATGAGTGAATGGAAGGATGCATAGATAGGGACGGGAAGCCAGGAATAAGGCTAAAATAAAAGGGCCTGGAACCGGTTCAATGGTCGATTTTCAGGGAGAAATCTATATGCGGCACGCCCTGGTGGACGGCGCTCGTTGATATTATGTCGATGTCTGCAACGGTAGGAGAACAGAGGAAGTTAGTAAAGCGAAAAAAAAAAAAAAGGATAAGGTGAGGCGCTCAAGGGGGGAAATAGAAGAGATCATACAAAAGTTGACGAGCGAGGAAAACATGACTCTGCCAACCGCCTCGCACAAGGGACATGCATATACAAAGGAAGACAAAGTAGGCAAGCAAATGACAAGAGACGGGGAGAAAGATTGACGCACCGTTATTGATGTAGCCCTTGACGTTGGCCTCGGTCAGGCCGCCGCTGCTCTCCAGGAGCACGTCTGCTCGGCCGCGGGCCCTCCATCTCTCCTTGAGATTCCTCGCCGCGACCTTCAAGCCCTCGCCGTCAAAGTTGTCCAGCATGACCACGTCCGCGCCCGCTTCGATGGCCTCGTCCGCCTCTGCCTCGGTCTGCACCTCGACCTCGATCTTGAGCGCGAAGCCCCCCACCGCGCGGGCCGCCTTGACGGCGTTGGTGATGGACCCCTTCGCCCAGATGTGATTGTCCTTGAGCATGATCATGCTCGACAGGTCGTGGCGGTGGCCGTCGATCCCGCCGACTAGCATGCCGTACTTCTCGACGAGTCGGAACCCCGGTGTGGTCTTGCGGGTGCCGGCCAAGATACCCTGGTAGCCAGCACTGCGCACCAGCTCGAGCATCTTTCGTGACCTGGAAGCCACGCCGCTGCACCGTGCGAGTGTGTTCAATGCGACTCTTTCCCCTAAAAGTAGTTTCCTGGTAGGTCCCTTGACGGTGGCAACCTTGATCTTGCCCCCAGCCTTGTCCGGGTCGAGATATGTTCCCTCGTCATAATGCCATTCCACGGCACAATCGAGCTGCCGAAATACCTCGTTGAAAAAAGGGACCCCGGCGAGTACCCCGGCAGACTTACAGAGGAGCTGCGCACTACGGGGTTCCGATCCCACGACGAAGCCGCCGTAGTCAAAAGACGGAGTGTCTTCGGCCAGCCAGCTGGTTATTTGGGTGGTGAAGTGAGAGGGGAGGAGGTCGGCGAGGGTGCCCTGGTGGGATGTGCGGGACGACGTGGACATGATCGCTATATTCTAGTCAATTTATACGAGACAATATAGACCCACGGAATGAGTAGAGAGAGGATGGGTGACTCTTCAACAAAGTTCGGGAGAGACCACGAAGGTGGAAATAAAAACAAATGGCATGAGAAACGCAGGTACAAGAAGCTGGGAATTGTCTTGAACCCCGCATTCGAGTGGAGAAGAAACCAGGCACGACAATACGATGGCAACAAGGCTATAACAAGGCTCCCGTTTCTTCCATTCTCTCCCTTGCACTACTATAAGAATCAGTCTCTACACAATGTGTCGGATAGACCCTGCAGCAACATCTAGCCTGCAGTAATGGTCGCCCTCTTCACTGGTCAAGTAGCCCAATTACAGGGTCGCGGATCCAGTATGGTCAAGAGCCTTGCTTGTAAGTCATGTGTGTGGTGCCGTGATTCTCTCAGGTCAACTTTGATATGTAAAGTCTCAGTCTTATTATTGAAGAAGCAGTTCCTCTGTCGAGGCAACAGCCTTGAGCCTAGTGTCGTTGTTCCGGAGGTTGCGGATTGGCACAAGGCCACAACGGCTTGTAGCACCGCTATGCTTGCTTGCTTTGACCCCTAGCAGCCTAAGCTAGGACATTGGCACCGTGACTGGCAATGTGATATCCTGGATCAATCAATGCCTAGGAGTTGCTGACTGCAAGAGACATATCCGGTCCTTGCATCTCAGATGAAGCCAGCATCAAAGGGGTTGGCGAATGCTTTCGAACTCTTGATACAGTGTTGGCTTCCCGCGGAATCTTCATATCTGACATAAAGTCTCGGCATGAAAGTGATTCTCCGTCCAGGTTCCAGTCTAGCACGGCGGCACCCGTTCATATAGATGACCCCCGAGATATAGTAGTCGGGTTGAATAGCGAACCTGCCGAAACATCAGATGCTTAAAGTTGCATTGTAAAGAGCACTGCATTCATTCTGATGGCTGTCATATCAAATTGACACATGAAAATCTCACATGCCCAAACTTCTCTGCCTCCGTCAAGAAGTAAGGCCTTGCATATGTCTTACCCTTGCTCAAGACTTCAGTATCGCTTCGTTGTCCATTGCAATGCACTTGCTTGCATATATTGCTCCCTTGGCACTGAACTGGCGGAGCATCGTCCAATAGCTTATCGGCACACGTTCAAGGCCAGTATATGTCGTGGAAGACCTTTGCCTTTGTGTCCGCCTTTCCTTTGCTACCCAGTGTACGACTCACGCCTCCCCGGGGTGGATTACACGCCCACAAAGGAAGGGAGCCCACATCCAGCCCGAAAGTACAGTGTATTGACCCACGAGAAGCGATTGGGCCAGATTTCAGCAGGGCATTCGAAAATCAACGTGGCAGAAGGCTGTGGACCGGGCATTCAGAGGTCAGAGTCTCGACAACTGTTGGGGCTCATCTAGAACAGAAGGAGCCATCAGTTCCTCAGCATCATGGCACCGCTGAACCGAAGAAACCTTGCCCCGGAATGGGTTTGCCTAGGTAGAAACGTGATGCATGGAGCCACTGGCTGTGTTGCAGAGAGGTTAGTACGAATGAAGCAGGAGATTTGGGACTGTGTACGAGCTTCCATTTGGGACGAGGGGCCCGCACACCGCCTCCCCTTGAAGAATCACACTGCAGGACGTTTGAATGCCCAGGACTCGCGACCTGAGTCATTCAGAACTTCCTCTGCAATGATGTCGCTGAGCTCCGTCCGATGTACATGTCAATCATTGTGAGCCGAGTTCTGGCGCTCCAAGAAAATTCAAGGTGGATCTCAGACACATCATGGGAGGGACGCCAAACAAGGCCAGGATCATTTGCTGAAGAATCGCACCAACGGTCCAATCAATATGGTCGGTTCTCTGGTATCTTTTGTTGGAAGTTGCTGAGGATGTGAACCTCCGCCGTCATGTGGATACGCTTTTGAGACCCTTTCCGGGGAAGGAGGATGACGACTTTGGGAGGGCCAAGAGCGAATAAGAGACGGCCGTTAGTGGCCTGGGTGGTCGATCGTCACAGCTGCTCATCGGCCACACAGGGCAATGGTTGCTTGGCTAGTTGTTGAGTCCTTGTGTTGACCTGTGGAACAATCATGTCTGCCTGGGTGGCATGTCTCTGGTTGGCTTCGTGTCCGTAAGTACGGTTCTACTTCCGATTAGCGAGCTCAGCGAAGGGACTACGTCTGCATTTCCTGGACGAATCGTGGTTAATTACCCTCGAAGAGTCGCAGTAGAGAAACAGGCGCCGAGGCGGTCTTTGCAAGAGTGTCAAAGAGAGGGGGAGCGATACAGTATCAGGCTGAGACGGTGGCTTGCCCACCGGCCTAGAGATTGGAGATCCGGGAAGAGGGATCCTCGAAATCGCAGGAGAACACCAAATCGTCCTGTACCTAAAACCAATTCAAGTGACAAGCATCCAATGATTTGGTTGGCGTAGATCCGACCAATCATGGCGATCATTTCCACGAGGAGATGCAAAGCGGGCTATCCGTGTAACACGAGCTCTGTTCATCGCTGGCGATGCTCTCGCCGCAGTTGTTGTCTGTCCACGTGGCAGGCACCAGTGGCGATACCGGACCAGTCTCTGAATCGGCCAGGGACCACGGGGTTTGATTGGCCACCCAGAAAATTGTCTGTTTGCTATCCGCCTTTAGTGGGCCGAATACAAAACTTGTCAGTTCATATGAGTATGCGTACGAGGAAGGGAGAAGGTTAGTGCATTCCCGTTGTCGGTTAGGCTGGAATGGATCTCGGTAGGAAATTTCGACCCAAGATCCGAAAACATCTTCAGGTGTACTGAGGGTAGAGAAGTGGAGGTTATGTGTCTTGACCCGACCAGTGGTGGAGGGTTGAAGCAGCAAACAAAGCTGGCCAGACCATTGGCTGGGAAGGGGACCCAGACCAAGCCCCAAAGACAGGGGATCGACTTGCAGACAAGTCGGGCTGAAAGCCGGCATGCATGCGAGCGCAGGTCGAAAGACATGCGTCAATCACCGGAGATGACCAGGTCTGAAATCCTGTTACTGCGGTGAGCCTTGTTTGGTCTAGACACGAATTCGGAGGGGGGGGGGGGGGGGGTTTGCAGCCACTACGAGTTTTTGCAGGAGAAGATGGGGTTGGTGTGGGAGCAATGAGTAGAGCATATCTCAGCACGGCTGCAGCCCTGATACGGGACTGAGCAGATAATGTAGTTCGGCTGAATGCAGCGCGACATGAGATGTTGACAGAGGGAGTGTTGTGTTCAGGAGAAGTTGAGTGAGGGAGAGCAACGAGGAATGGGAAGAAGAGAGCGCAGGCTGTCAAAGGCTAAGGGGGACACACGTGACTGTTCGCCGTAGTCACGTGTGGGTAGTCAGAGCCTTGTGACTCGTTCTTTGGTATCGCCGCCTGCGATTTCGACTCCTGATCTTCAAACCTTGCATACTAGCAAACAAACATTCTGCGCCCTCATCTGCATGCGACGCACCATCTCGTTCCGGCGATCTCTCCCAATCTGCTCATGGACACTGCTGCCTCTGCTGGTCCCGCTGAACAGCGTCAGTGCTCAACTCGTGGTGGCTTCACCTTGCCCGAGTTGCTCTCATCAGGTTGGCTGGGGGCTTCGCCTCTTTCAACGTCTCACAGACCAGTGGACACCCCTGCCCCGGGCCATCAACGTGTCTCGCAAAGAGAACCTGGCAACCCAGGGATCGAACATGTCGGTCCGAGCGTCCCTTGGACCTACAGGTACCTCTACCAGGCTACCCAAAATGGCTAGTTGTCTCGATCTGAACAGGGGCATCCTTCTCACGCGCCTGGTTCTCTTGGGGAGCAAACCGTTGCAGTCTTGCAGACCTGCACGCTCGCTCTCCACTCAAAGAAAATACTCAAAATTGGTTCGACGACCTGAAGTAGGTGTCGCTGAAGAGCCCGAGACTCCGGTCACCACATACTTGCAATCTTCAAAGCCCAGAGTCCAGACACCACCAGCCAGCGTTGTTTCTGTACCGGGGAGGCTCTTCCTAAGACTGCATCAACCTCAACAGAAGATGTTTCTGTGGTTGCCCCTGAGCCTCTCTACGATAATAAACATCTGTCAAGCATAGACATGCACTTATGATGTGCATACGGCTAAGCATGGGTACCGAGGAGAACGGCCACCCCACGATCCGAAAGAACGACAGAGAGATGAACGGCCTCGAGAAAGGGCAGGAAGTCAAGGCGGGTGGGAACTCAACGGAACCCAATCATGTCCACAGGCGAGTGACCAACCGTTGCCACTTCTGATGCTGGCAACGCCTCGTTCTCTCTCATATGCGTCTTACTCCAGACCCTTTTCCTTGCCTTCACGGTTTCGTTATCTTCGCCATGCCCACCCCCCCGCCCTGCTCATGGATCCTGCTCATTTCCAGCCAGACCTCAGTCTTTGTCTGCCCTTGCTCGCCAGTCCTCGTATCTCCACAACAGCACGAGAATGGGCCTCTTAACCCATTTAGGCGGGTAGGTGTCCAGCACATTGCTTTTGCCACTAACTTCTTCTAGCCGGCCTTTTCTGTCTCGAATATCAACTACGCGTGTTGCCGTGGTTAACCTTTCGACACCTTACCTCACCTTTTGTTTTATTCTTGAATTCATATGAGAGACCCAACAAGCATTTTGTCTTAAACTCTTCAAGTTCTAATCACCCTTTGCCGCAGCTCTCTCCTTCCATCTCTATAGCGGACTGACTGCCTTCGTGCTCGTCTAGCTACACTCCTCCTCACTCTTTTGCCTCCCGTCGAGTCACTCGAGGTATCTCAAAGTACTTAACAACAAGGGAAAAGCCATCAGCACAGTCCAAGAGCATCGAACTTGTCATATTCCTTCTTTTTTGACAGCCGTGACAGATTCTGTGGTGTGAACGCTGTGCCTGTATTCATCCGCTGCGATCTCGTTTGACTGGCCTTCTATCATTTGTTGCACTTCCAAGAATGACCGACTATGCGCCACGAAGCAGTCAGGATTACAATTCCTTCTTTCAAAGTCCGCACCTCGCCATGTCGCATTATTCCAATGGAACCGGTCTCAGCTACCTCTACAGTGATGGTCAAGTTCAGTATCAGACTGTACACACCCCATGTTCGACGTACTCAGCAAACTACGCACCGAGTCCAGGAACGTCAGCTCCTCCTCTCTATTTGCCTCCAACATCCGGATCAAACCTCAATTATTCATTTGTAGGCCCACGAGTTCCTACGCTTCCTTCTCAGTCTCGTGCTTTCCCACAGAGCTCTTACTACAGCACGTCCTCGGGGAATCGGACAAGTTCACACCATCAACGACTCGCTCCTCCACGAGAATACACTTCAATGGATGGCACAGAGTGTCAAGACTCTCCAAATGAGGACACAATGCTGTCAGAACCTGTTCTTCCCCCACTCGAGGGCTATCCGGATGTACACGAATTCGATGAGCTGATGAAACGGTACAGACAGTGCCCGCCTCTTTTTTTTTGAGCATTGCTAATTCATTATCCGTAGTTACGTCCAAGACCTCTCTCCCAAGAAACAGGACAAGGCTCTCATTCATGCGCGGCGAGCTGCCAACATCAAACATGTGCTTATTGACAAGAAGACAACGGCCATAGAGTCAGCCCAATTCAGGTCAGTCCGATTCTACTCCAAGAGGACAGCTGTGTTTGAAGTGTTATAGAATGCTGACCGCCGCTTAGGTTTTGGGTCAAGAAGATGTTTACACTGCAACCTAACGACAGCAAAATCCCAGAGGTGAGATAGGGCGCATTTTCCAGCGTTAATGACTGACATGGTCTAGCATTTAAGGAAGATTTGCCATGAAGGGAAACCAGTGGCAGTGCGGGAGAAGTTGTTTAAGATCCTGACCAAGGCACACAAACAGTGTCAACACGGCGGCCGAGACAAAACATCTGCGCAGGTCAGAAAGGTGTACTCATGGTTTGACTCGCAAGCCTTCTTTATGGTTCGAGAGACTAATCATGCATGCTAGGGTACCCAAAGAGCTCATTTCAAGATTTGTCAAACTGTGTCCCACTTGTCAAGTCAGACGAGGGGCCAGTCGTAACTCGCCTCCAGATTCAGTGAAAAGCCCCGAAACGAATGCAGAAGCTCACTCTCCAGAGGCATTATCTGTGGCCGGATCAAGGAAGGGCTCTACAGCAATCAGGCAGGCCACTGTAAACACATGCTTGCCTTTGCAGACAGCGGGATTCAAAACGAGCTCGGCTTTTCAACAGCAGAACCGGTGGATGACACCGTTGCAGTCTCATTCAGAGGTCAGCCATGTCTCTGCTGGGCTGAAGCATGACCCTCTCAATCACCGCGACCACTACCACACCGGACCCGCCATGTCCATGAATTGTACCAACGCAACACCGCCGGGTTTGAACTTTCCATCTGTCAATAACTTTGGAAATGCCACAGGACATTCACCAGCATATAATTCATCTTCACTGCCCCAAAATGTGCATGGCAATGTACCAACAGAACCAGCATATGGAATCAAGGTCGAACATTATATTTGACTGCTCGGCCACGATGTGCACTAATGTTATGACTGATGAGCCAGCATCGCTCCATGTGCGACTCACGATGAGCAGGAAACGGTACGGAACACACGGCGTTAGCTTCGCTTTAAGACACGACGTCACGGACTTGCCTCTCTCAGGCACTACGAGGGAGCTGGACCACCTTTCGCTGCCACAGAGTTGAAGACGTCCCATTTTCTTAGGCCCAGTTGGCGCAAACTTGCTGGTTTATCTATCCTTTCGTCACTTCTATGTGGAATTTTGGCGCAGGATTGACGGTTACAAAAAAGCCTTGCGATTTATATAACGATGAACGAAGCAGCACTCCAAGTGTTACAGAACGACGGGATAATCTAAGTTCAAAGGCACACCAGTTGCTGACATGTTTCGGGCTGACATTACTTTGCCCCTTTTCTTCATCACTGGTGCGTGGAGTCCGGATTAAGTGCATGGGGGAGAGACAGGTGCAGAAAGGGGATGTGAAAGGACTTGGAAAGACAAAAGAAAGGGACTACAATACTCGCCAGTGGTACAATCCTGTGTGCTTGACTGGGTCGAGGCTGTGTTGACCAAGATGCCCATGGCCTACATATATCACAGGTCATTGTGCCTCAAGGCAAGATCTCGATTCTCTACCACCATGAATGAATGAAGTTTCCCCAAATGAGCACATGCTGAACGCCCTAAATGACCTTTGTGGTAAAGTTCATAAACGTCCCGATCCGGACCCGTACCCTCACCAGCCAGTCTCCCATATATTTGCGCGTGGTTACACTACATTCTCGTCTTCTAAGTTCCAAGTGACACACCAAGAATAAGCTCAAGCTTACAGCCGCAGTAATGGGGCAACCATTTAGACAAGCATCTGGACAAGCCATTCACTTGACGGAAACACATTTATTTGTGTATTCAGCCTCGCCATGCAAAGTTTATTCGCCCGACAGGTCCTCATCCTCATCCTCTCCTTGTGCCCGTGAAATGCTATATGTATAGAACACAGCTATGGATCTCTGCTTTTCAACTCCAGGATACTTGCTTTGTGGCCTACCCTCTCGAGGTATTTTTGTATTCATTCGTCTCCCGTCTCCCTCATCTAATCGAAGGGTTTCATCAGACTATCTAGCCCGAGCGCGTACACGACATCTATTGGAGTCCGTCCCCTCTCCTGCCCTCACAAGTCATGGGCACCGCCTACTCATGGATCCGGGCAGTGGCCTGGGCGAAGGGGCACTGGTATCATGCTGCCACCACGGCCAGCGTGTTGGGTCTCACTGGCTCGTTTTCGGTCGGGATGGCATGCGGCATCTTCCGCAAGTGCGACAGCGACCCTTGCGGGACGCCCATGAACAAGGACTTTTTCGACAAACCGGCTTGCAACTACTGGGAACATGGCGGAGATAATATGTTGCCCATGAGGAAAAGAGATTCGTCAGGGACCACCGTCACGGTGATAAACGGTATGAAGAGGTGGGGTCGATCGAACCAGGGAGACTATGGCCACGACGAAGTCCCCGGAGTTACGATATACAGCAGCAATAATGTTGGCGAAGGCGGCGGTGCGTTGGATGTGTTTGGTGAAGAGGAAGAACTCGCCGTCACCGTTCCTGGCACCACGGTACCGGACTGGATATACATCACCAATGCCGGGGAAATGCCCCTCTGTATGGCCGGCGTGCGCTTGACGGCTCCTGACGGCTCCGAAATCACCATGACGGGCAACTTGGGGAGGATCTGTGGTGCAGATCACTATGAGTCTGCGTTGACGGTCCTCCCCAACGCCCAGGGGAAAGCTGCGTCCTGTGTTTGGATCGATCGCCAGGGGTCAAACGGTATTCGACTGCCCGGTATTAGCTTCAACCTGCAGACTGATGAGAAGGACCTGGATTTCTACACTATTACTTCGGTAGAGGACTTGTGTCGGGCCCCGTTTATAATGTTACAGGACGATCAGCCTTCAAGTCCTCTTTCACGACGGCAGCTGATTGCGCCCACATTCTCGCGCGACGACAGCATCACCCCAAACCTCGACTTCGACTCGGCGCTTGTCAAAAGCAGCCTGAACCTCTCTAGCGCGGTACAAATGTGCCAGAGCGAGTCCGCCAAGGGTCCGCATTTCGTGAGTCTCTCCGAGGGGGTTTATTGCGACATGTTCACAAGAGAGCTTTATCCTGTGTGTCAGAACGGTATTGGCGGCAGGGAAGAGAGGGAGATCTGTTTCGACCCGGAGCAAGACGAGCTGGTGGAGAGGGATAGGGACGAAGATGGACTGCCTTCTCGTCCTAGAAGAAGGTTTGTGGAACGCGATCAAGGGAGTTCAAGACCTAGACGAGTCAAGGTCTTGAAGACGTTCCGACATGTCGATACTTGGAATTAGGAGTTGGGGTTGTCAGGGGGTGTTTTGGTGGCGGACGAGTTCCCCATATGTACCTACATAGGGCTCAATTTTTATATATTCATACATATGTAGATGATACGGGTACATTGGTTGATCATTATGGCTAAACCAGATTACTCGTAGCTCCGTTATTATTATTGCAACCTACAACTTACAGAGTTTCCCAGTTGCGTATGAGGTGCACCTCACTGAACAACTCATAGGGCTTAGGCATCTCAGGGGGGGGGGGGGGGGGTTGCCCAGATTTCCCCCTTGGGTGGGGATTCTAGGCATAGAGGTACCCAGAGTGGCACGGATAGGGGCTCTCTATTGGCGCCCTTAGGTGAGTTACTTGCAGCGTCTCCGGCGCTGACGGCTGCTAGGGAGCCTAACGAAGCTTGACGAGAGGATTCTGGAGCCTTTCATCCGCCCGCTCCGCCAATCACAGCCTGCGCATGAACATGCGCGTTCGTCGGTCCCTTTTTGGCCCAAAAAGAATCTTGAACAGCCTGGCATGTTAACGATTCTCTGCGCATCTTCAATCATCTTACATCCGGGGACTGCGCACTTTTGTCCCTCCTTTACCATTTTACATTTCGTGTCTTGAAATCCAGTCTCGCTTCCTTTCGACAGCTTTCCATTCTTCTAATTGAATTGTTTGCCCTCAAGATTTCTTGCAGCTTACCCGCGCCTTTCGGTCAACAAATAACCACCCCCCAAATTCAATCTACGAGGTTGATACTTACTTGGCCTTGTCGTCGACATTTCGTCACTCCCATTTGCGCAGTGCCCAGCTGCTTCATCTCCTATTGAGTGTCGCCCACCATGAATCTTTTCAGGCTACTCGGTATGCGGACACGGACCTCCCCATAGAGAGTCGCCAGCATGCTAATTCAACTCTTTGTCGCGCAGCGGACCTGTCGCATCTGGTCTCAATCTTCATCCTCCTTCACAAGATGAAAGTCTCGAACGTATGTCGAAGAAATCTCCCTAGCGCAACGACACGGCGTCGGCCACGAGCAAGTAGGACCATTGATCGCTGACCATCTGTCTGTGCCATATGGAAACAGTCATGTTCAGGAATCTCGTTCAAAACTCAAGCGTTATATTTTCTCGTCTACGTGACGCGGTATCTTGGTTCGTCCTGCCCCCAGAAGCTCCAGCGCTGCGAAAGACCTCTTCTCTAATATAGCCAATGCTCTGCGCAGACCTCTTTTGGACCTTCACCGACAGTGCATGGAACACCATCTTCAAGCTAATCTTCCTCTCGTCCTCCCTCTATACCCTCTACGTAATGTTAAACGACTACAAACCGACCCACGATCCGAATCTGGACACGTTCCGCGTGTCTTACCTCACCGGAGGCTCGGCCGTTCTCGCTTTGCTGTTCCCCTACCGCTACACCATCCCCGAAGTGCTTTGGGCATTCTCTATCTGGCTCGAAAGCGTCGCTATCCTGCCCCAGCTGTTCATGCTTCAAAGGACGGGCGAGGCCGAGACAATTACCACACACTATCTGTTTGCACTGGGGATATACCGTGCTCTGTACATTCCGAACTGGATCTATCGGTGGTTTGCAGAGGCGCATTTTGATCCGATTGCTGTGGTCGCCGGTGTGATCCAGACTATCCTTTATTCCGACTTTTTCTGGGTTTATTACACCAAGTGAGTCTTGATGTTTCTCGCGCGGACCAACTTGCTATTGGAAGGTGGCACGGATTTGTTTTCGGGAGTTGCAGCTGACATGTGTGTGAAACCAGGGTCCTCAAAGGAAAGAGCTTCAAGTTGCCTGTTTAGAGGCCATGTGGGGTGAGAATTTAGGGAGCCCATGATACGCTCTGGATCGAAAGGTGCTCTCTTTCTGCCTATCCTCCAAGCTGGCGCGTCGAGTGGATATGTATTCGAGAACAAAACCAGGCGTTCAGAGGGGTATGGGATAGAAAAAGGAGATTTCTGAAGGTGAAATCCATGTATATTCTACATCTGCCGCGCGGATGGAAGTTGTATCACCCAAGAGGACTCTCTCATTGGAGTCACGCGTGTGGACATGAGCCAGGGACGAGTTGCCTCGCACCACTCTATCACGGCCTCAATGCCTGGTGAATGGCTGGAAAGGTCCCAAAAAGCGAGCCTGACCCAAAACTTCAGGACTGATTTGCCATGCCGATTTGGGAAAATCCAGAGAGAAAGCCAGAGAAGGTTGTGAGGAAGAGAAGAACACTGGAATTCAACATCGAGGACACCCACACCAGGCTAGGCATGAATGACTTATGCAAAGAAGATGGTGTGTTTGGAGAAGACATGGTCGGAAATGGATGATCCCTATTTCGTCCTGTACACGGTACAAGTAGAAAGGAAGAAAGCCCACTACTCGGGACTGCGTAGTGTTTGTGGCTTTGCTTGCCCGAAATGCCATGATCTTCACTTCATACGGGATTTTCAACTAATAAAAAGAAGAAAACAGCAGCCGAAAGAGCAGATGGATACTTTCTCTGTTCGTGCTCGGTGTGTATCTCCTCGCGTCAGGAGTAAGGATGGATTGATTGGTTGATTCTGCGCTCGCCCGTTTATTCGGGAATACAAGAGACTCTCTCTCTCTCGCTTTCCCGACCATATGAGTTACTTACAAGTATGATACAACGTACCTAGGACATACATACGTACCGAGTACAGGACATGGGTACAAGGTCTGCGGTGTCTGGTGCCCAAGGGGGCGATCCTCGATATGTATGCGATGTGTACCCGGTATGTAGGTAGGCACGTATTGTACCCATGGATCCTCGAACGGATGGAAATACATATACGTATCCATTTACACTCTGTATACATTCTAGACCCTCCAGCTTTCTGGTCTGCACGGGACACAAGGTGCACAGAAATGGAAGAGAATACAAGCACGTATAGAAGGAAAAGCGTTGGAAGATAGTGGTGCAGTAGAATAGGATAGATGGATACATAATATTTGATTGATAGATTGATTGTAAGAAATCTCTCCCGTCGAGGGTGCTCGGAACGCTGATAGTTCGCTCGGTGTGTGAGTATATAAGAAGAAATATGTGTGTAGTAGTAGTAGATATGTGGAGTGAAGTAGATAGATATGTATGTCTAGGTCGAGATCATCAAAAGGATTTCGCCTTCACCCATATCCTCTGGTGCCCTTTATTCCCTGAGATGGTGCCTGTTGGTGCCACTCTCGATTCGGTATATGTTGTAAGGTCTGTTTGGATCAAGACGCCCGTCGCTAGCCCCCGGCTATGTCTCGCCCCATTTGTGTTCTGTTCCCAAGACTGCCAACACTATCACCAGGACGAAGACAATGACACCGACGGCGCTCATCCATCGGTTCAAATTCCGCCACCATCGAGCATTCTGGAATTTGAGCTCTGCCACGCCAGCGGCGTGCCGTTCATAGCGGAGTCTGGCCAAGATATCCATCGTTTCCCCCTCTCGTTCGTCCAGGGAATAATCTGAATTGAACTGTTGGGATACAGAATACCGCTGCGATTGCTGAAGTGGATATGACTGACGTTGTCTCTGACGTTGCTCCTGCACCACTTGCTTCTCAATGTCCCCAAAGCTGGCGGGTCTCGCGGGAAGGGGTAGAAGAGCACCCATGAACCAAACCGCAGGCACGAGGAAACCGGCAGTGAAACATATCACCTGGATAGAGCGAAGATCAATGTGCAGCGGCGACTGACGCTCTCCGCCCGAGACGAGATCAGGAAGACCAGTCATCCAGCGGGACTTCGCGTTGAACGGAAATCCAAAGCCACGGGAGACCGACGAACCCGTACCTAGACGGGCATCGTGGTGGAGATGCGGAGAAGAGGACCAACGATGCCAGGACCGACGGAATATGTTGCCACTTGGGCTGACCTGATGGTGGTGTATCACGGACTGGTCATTTTGGGAGTCAACCTGGGAGGCTGAGATACTATATGTGTAGCTGTGATGGTGGATCATGTAGCGGGAGCCTCGTCCGTCTTCGTATGGGTGTTCATGGATCTCGACTACCCCAGCCCAATGGGCCCGAGGATCGGCAGGGCTTAACGGCAAGGAAACTGAGCGAGTGTGAAGATTTGGATTAGATTGTGTTTGTGGGTAAGATTGTCGTCGGCCGGGCAAGGCTGGGGCGGCGGTTGGTAGAGGGCGCACTGGGTTGGAGACCAACGGTCCAACACCCGGTAGAAGATGTGATTTCCGGGCTTCGACCTTTGGTCGTTTCCTCGGGCGGAAAGGGCCTCCAACGCCATCCGTCATTCCCTGATGGATATTGCGAACGCCAGTGCTGACGGCTGACTTGGACGTCTGGGGCCGCGAAGGTGGTTCTAAATGTACTGGAATCGGTGCTTGGGCTGCCGCTCTCTCCCTCAAATTCATGTATGAACCGCTAGAATAAAGGTACTGAAATGAATCCCTGTAAAACCCCGAGTAATACCTTCGGGCCCATGTTGGAACAGGGATGACGCTCGTAATGCTGCTAGAAGAACCTGGGCGGAGGGAATTGGAAAGGGATCTGTTTGGTCGTGACTTCGTAAATGATTTCATGGAATTAAGTCGCGCAATTGACTGCTGTGAAGAGTTATTTGAAGAGTACATGTAGCCGATGCTCCGGCTTGACCGAAGGGGTGGTGATCTATACGGATACTCTGTCCAAGGCAAAGCTGAGACTTCGTCCGTTGCCTCGTTTTGGTGCGCATCCAAATCTTGATGGCTGTATTCTGTTTCCCACTCAGAGTCGCACTGTGGCTCGTCCGGTGTTTCCGCTTCTTGAACGAGCCGGATTTGTGTCAGGTTTGCCCCTTCATTGATGATGTAGGTGGATGCTGGGGCCAGGTCTTCAGACAACAGATATTGGTCGAGATCATCGGGTACTGAAGATGCTTCACTGGTTGGTCTGGTTCGAACCCACGAGCCCTCAGAGGGGACCGCTGATAGCCGTGATGAGAATTTCGGCAAGGATCCTTGGGTGGACATGGACCTCGAAGTACGTTTGGGGACTGCAAGGCCAGCCTGTTGGCTTACAGCAGGAGCTCGAACAATGGGGTATTGAATACGCGGTGGACTTGAGCTTAAGGCGGCTTGAAGACTGGCGTGAGTGTCGCCGACAGAAATGCTATCGGAAGTTCCATCATCTCTCTCCAAAAGTCGGACCACTGGGCTAGATTCATCGACCGGTTCGTTGATTTGTTTGATGCTTTGCGGCGCGGAAGACGGAATACCGGGGTCAACAGGAGAGCTCGCGCTTCCTGCAGCAGACGATGGAATGTAACGGTGAACTGGGGGACTCGATGCCAGTGAAATTGTTGCTCCACCTCGTTCGGCGAAAGACGTCCCTCCCTCAGACTCGGACCTCTTCCTTTTCTTCGATGAGCTTGACGACGATCTCGAAAGTGGAGAAGAGTTGGGCAAGTCAGGACGAGCCGCCGTCGGGGATGACGGGCCTAGTTTTATAACATTTGGACTTGACGACTGGTCGGTGCTTGGAAATTGCTCCGTACTGGATGTATGCGCGAGACGCACAAGATTGGGACTGGACGACTGATCGCTGCTCTGGAACTGATCCGTACTGGAGGATTTCGCAAGACGAACCACGTTTGGACTGGACGACGGAGCGATATTTTGAAATTGCTTGGGGCTGGACGTGTGTGCGAGCCGAGTAACGTTGGGACTCGAAGAGACATCATTCTCGGACTCCGCACTTGATACCTCTTCGAACGCTTCAAGCAAAGGACCTCTCAAGTCTCTGAACGATGGCAGTCTTGGACTTGACGTTACTGCGTGCACTTTGTAGTTTGGAGTCGAAGTGGCAGCAACCCTCTCCGGGATCGACGTGAAAGAGGAACGAGACGAAATCCTTTTGAGGGTAAGAGGCCCAGGTGGTAACGGGGGTAGCAGCGCCAGATCATCGGCCGCGATCTTTTGCAGCGATTCCCAAGCATACGCGCCCGATAGACTTTCACTCGAGCTGAGACTTCTCAGTCGAAACGAACTGCCGGTGCTTGGACGAAGGGCTGGTGACGTTGCGGTGGATGGACGGGACGCTTCTTCGGCTTGGGACTCATACAGGTCTCTCAACGCTTTGACCGATCGCTTCAGCCTAACAGTCGGCTTTGACCCTCCTCCTCCGCCGCCGCCGCCGCCTCCTCCTTGCGAACTCCAGGAAGCATCGCTGCTTCTAACCGATGGACTCTCATGCAGAAACCCAGTAGTGTCGGCGAGTTGGCTTGGCCCGAAGCTCTTCTTCCTGCGGATGGTACTGGGTAGGAGAACGTGAGCGGGTTTCGTAGGGAACGGAGTGCTTTTGTATATGTCCGAAGTGCCTTGGTCTGATCTTGACTCCGGACCTAGACGAGCCGAGAGCTCATTCGTCTCCGAAGATGTTCTTTCTTGTAGAGGTGTCCGTTTAGGAGCAGTCCGCTTCGGCGATATGAGCTTCACCGACGAAGGGGACGAGGACATAATTATCTCATCGTCGCAACAAGCAACCGGCGACGCATTCGGTGACTCGCGAGTTCGATCGCAGGTCCCAAGGGTGTGCTCGGTCAGGGTAGTAGGTAGGGTAAAGAACGACTGAAGGTGAGATGTGCGAGGTCGAAGAGAGCGACAAGTGGGCGCGCGCGCTCAATGTGCGGTATTATTGAAGTCTCATGCCAGTGGAATAACAGTGACGAGTATTTTCGGAGATATTTTGCACTCAAAGTACTTGTAGCTCAGGTTAGGGCGACGATCAAGCGGAGCTGCATATGCATGCTTCAGGGCGAGTTAAATTGAGATATCATCAGCTGCAGGAGTGGCGGAGTACGATTGAGCGGCTGATGTCTGAGACCTCGTTTGGTATGTGCAAACGCTGCTTGTGTATGTACATAGGAAAAGAATGTAGGATGCTGTGTAGTCTCTGGATTCGACGAAGTAGTTGAAGAGTCGCAGGTTGGTTTTGGACAACAGTCGACCACCACCTGAACCTGGACGGACCTCTGGATACCCGCCTCTCGACTATTCGCGATCAGGGGACGAAGCGACTTTGTGATCCTTGTTCTCCTTCTCTTTTGGAGGCTGAACCCATGTAAGATTGGAGTGGCTCCCAGGTCTTTTGGTGCCAATCCGGAGTATTATTGCGCAAGGACCACGCTCAAAGGACTCATCTTGTCGATTGCTTTTGTGTCAAGGAGGGTCTCGGGTGTTGGTTGGCAGGTCGCGTCTCACGCTTTTCTCCATCTTGATCGCGTGGCACACTGGAAGTATCGAAAATCCCCGATTGGACCATGGTGTGTCACGAAATTAACGCGACAATCTGGCTGCATACAGGGGGATGGAAGAAGCGTTTGTGGCGCAGCCAGCAACAACACAGACGGAGTAATTCCAATTTTCCGGGTCCGAATTCTGGGGACTTGAAGTCAATAGCGTCGCCGCTCAATCCCCAGAGAATGATTTGATTCTGGATAGCGGAAAAAAGATTGCTGGCGGTGAGTCGGTGACAGCCACAGTGGCATCGACTATTATTGCTGCCTTCACCGACTGTTGGGTGTCTGATCTCATCGTCGCCCCCTCCAAGACGCCACCATATCGATTAGGGAATTCGTCAAAGCCCCCTTTATCCAGAGTCCACTTCAACCTCACCACAGTCTGGCCCTCTGGCCCAACATCCTCTGTGCTCATTATTGGAGTTTAAACCACTTGCCAGCTGGCAGCCTGCGCCTGGCCTCGCCATGGCTCCCGTCAACTTCTTCCTCCAGCTGAAAAACACTTATTTTGGCCATGCAGGTACGTTGGCTCTTCATTGGTTCGCAGTTGTCGACATGTCGGCTCCCCTGAAACTAGTTCTCTCACAGACCTTCATTGTCTCTGTATGAATGGGCTGTCAATCCAAACAATGCTCTCCCGAATCCACCCATTGATCAATACACGATCCCAATCGTCGCGTTGTTTACGGATCTATTGTCCTGGCCCCGACTGATGCGGTTACATATCGATAATGTCGTGACTGGCCCCGATCGTTGATGCTTGTTGCTGACCCGAATGACGAAACAGACAAGGACAAGCCCATCATCTCGCCTACCACAGCAGCCATACTATCGGTAGGCCCAATGGTGGTGTGTACACACTGACCACGCGCGGATTGCTGATCATCCCTCCACCAGGTTCTTTGCACGCTGATCTACGTGGTCCCTTTCTACCTTTTCTCCTCCACCAGGCCATCGCCAACGCTAAACCGCGATGCTCCCAGCGTTATTCGCGCGCGTATCCGGACCGTCACATTGGCTTGTATCATCGGTGCCACTGGCACTCTCTATCTGCTCGTCGGAACAGCGAAGCTCTCGGTAACCGACGCTCTGCATATGCTGGGCTGTTGGCCGGTTCGACCATGGGACTTGTTTAGATGCTTCGCCCTGACATTGTTGTTGTATGTCGGGCCGCTGTTTGAAAAGGTTTTCGTGGAGGGAGAGTTCGATAACCTGCGCCAGCGTGGTGTTGCTGCGATTAGCGAAACTCTTAGCAGCTGGCAGGGCTACAGGAACTACGTCGCTGGGCCTATCACTGAGGAGGTTGTCTTTCGATCCGTTCTCATCCCCATCCACCTGCTCGCCAAAATCTCCCCGGGCAGGATCGTTTTCCTGACACCACTCTACTTCGGCATCGCCCATGTCCACCACTTTTACGAGTTTCATTTGACCCATCCTCACATCCCACTTTTGCCGGTCTTGTTGAGGTCCGTACTCCAGTTCACCTATACCACCCTTTTTGGCTGGTTTGCCGCCTTTGTTTACATGCGTACGGGCTCGGTCTACGCTTGCATCATCATTCATTCATTTTGCAACTGTGTCGGTCTTCCTCGTTTCTGGGGCCGCGTGAGGAGACCGGAGGACTACTCGATCCACCCTGTTGTCATCCGTGGCAAAGACGATACGGACCTCGTTCAGGCTGCGACACAAGGTCAAAAGCTGGGGTTGCGGTGGACGGTGGCGTATTACCTGCTTCTGGTTGCGGGTGCATATGCTTTTTCGCGTGGGCTGTGGCCATTGACTTTATCAGAGGCGGCTCTGGCCGAATTCGCGCACAACAAACACAGATAGGCAAAGTTCCACCTTTGTCCATGTGGGTCGCTGCATAGAATTCCTGAGCTGGGATCACAGGAGGCGTTCTCTATACACTGATGGAATTGGGCTCCTCAAATCAACTCAGGGTGAAGGAATCAATTTTGGTGGAGGACCGCTATTGATTCTTCAGACGGGAGGCCGTCGCTTTTCTATTTTTTCTCTCTTTCCTCCTTTCCTCCCATCTTCCCCAACCAGCGTCCTGGATGTCTTCTGTGACAATCAAGTCTCTCACTCGCAGTCTCCTACATATCCAACTCTCCAACGCCCAGTCCAGCCACCCGTAATGCCGTAAATAGGAGGTGAATAGAAACCAGATGACGGCAAAAACTGCTCCCGCAGCAACCCCGACCCAGACTTGCTTTGGTGTATGGTAGTTCAGGTAGACGCGGCTGGCAGCAACAGCGCCGGCGCCTATACAGGCGAGCATAGACAAAATGACTCGCTCGGTCAAGCTGGTGGGCGAATAACTTGCTGAAGGATCAGGGACGTGGCGGAAGATCAAGAAGAGACTAAATGAGATGGCAAAAAAGGCCACGAATTGCGAATGCGAAGAGGGCATGCCATAGCCCTTGCCTGTCATTTCTGTCCAACCACACAGATCAATAAAATACGACTCTTAGAGCTTCGACAAGGATGGGTCCATGGCTGAGGAAAGGCACGACGTACGTTTGGGACGTTCTTCCCGTATCAGCCGTTTCAGACCGAAATTCACCACTTCACACGCCATTTGGCCGGCGAACATGAGAAATATCTCGGCTTCCCGCGATGCCCATATCAGAGTGACATAGATTACACATAGACCCTGTGGTACCAGAGCCAGCCATGCTGATGCGTAGGATATGGGGTCACCAGGAGTCTGGTGCTGTCAGTTGTGCCACAATAACGGTCAATTTTCCATGGTGGACAAGGTAGGGACTTACATAGCGAACGTGGGTGAGCGACAACGAGGCGAGAGGCGGATCGTCCATCCCTGACACAAAGTTGGTATTTACCACAGGTGGAGAGCAGATGACCCAATGACTCAACCGGTGAGGAGAATGAAAGAGATATCAAGGATGTCAAAAGGAGATGTGAGTAATGAGAAGCGAGGCTGAACGCAGTGTGGCGAGGCACAAGCCACCAACTGTGCCACCAACCCAAGTAAGCTGGCCCCTCAAGCTCCTCAAGCCCCTCCAAGTTGTCGTCTAGCGTCGACAATGTCTGGGTGCCTCATCGATAACTTTCCATCAATCAGATTCGAGGCCTTTTCTCTTTTTTTCCTCTGCGCCTGGTGCGTCATTGTTTGGTTTGTTTGTATATATGCATGAATGAGTCGAGACCTTTTGCCGAGGACCAGAGATCCATAATGCGTCCGTTGTGACTTGCTTTGTCTTTTTCTACAAAGGCCCCTTGAACAAATGATCCATTGTGTCTACTGGGTGTTTACTGATTCTACTGACTTGTGGCGGTATCTCACATCTCGTCTTAATAACTCGACCGTCGACCCTCGCAATTCTTCCGTTTCCCCATATTCTCACAATAATCGATCTCTACATACATGTAAAAGATGGATGATGACCCATATGCTACCGAAGATGAAAGAGCTGGTGAACTCTCGACCATCGCCGCCATCTACCCTGAACTCGTGGTCGATGATCAAGATCCATATACTGCTACGCTCGATCTCGCCGTAACACCGATTCAACCCCTGCGCATTCTCTTCAAACCCGCTGCGGACAGTGCGCCACCTTTACTACCCACACCACCCACCTCCCCAGAACAAAGTCAGAATGAGGGCGAGGCGAAACCTGAGTTGCAATACCCTGTCCTCCCTCTTGACGCCCATGAACTGTCTCATCTGCCTCCACTATCACTCCGAATCTCGCTGCCCGAGGGCTATCCAGCCACTAAGCCTCCAGTTGTCTCGGTGTCCGTTACACCCCAGTGGCTACCCCGACCCCTCCTAAAGCGGCTCAGAGATGATTGTCATAGACTATGGGAAGAGCTGGGAAAAGACCAGGTTGTTTATGCCTACATAGACCATGTCCAACAAGAGGGGGAACGAGCTTTTGGTCTTGCGGGCGAGACCGATGTTCAATTATCTAGCGATTTGAAGGTGGCGATGCTGGATTTCGACCTCAAGACAAAGCGCGAACTTTTTGAGAAAGGGACCTTTGACTGTGGAATTTGTCTGGAACCTAAAAAGGGGATACAATGCCACCGCCTGATGTCATGTGGGCACGTCTTTTGCATCGCATGCTTGCAGGAATTTTTCAAGAGTTGCATAACGGAGGGAGACGTTGACAACGTCAAATGTCTCGATCCGAGTTGCGGCAAGGACGAGCCTGTACAGGTGGGCGCCAATGGTAGGCCCTTGAAGAGACGGAGACAAGATCGAACTCTCAACCCCAGCGAGCTGTTACAGATTCCCCTGGAACAAGCACTGGTTCAGCGCTATGTCCGGCTCAAGCGAAAGAAACGACTCGAATCAGACAAGAACACCATTTACTGCCCCCGACAATGGTGCCAAGGAGCCGCCAAATCCAAAAAACATCCCAAACCCATTGACCCAATGAATGATATTGAGGAGGGGTCCGACTCGGAGGAGGAAGAAATGCCAGAGCCAGCGCCTGGGCAACAGAACAATAACCAACGCGACCCAGAGGATGTTCCCGTGTCTGAACGTCTGGCTGTGTGCGAAGACTGTGACTTTGCATTCTGCAGTGTCTGTCAGAAAGGGTGGCACGGGGAACTCGTAAGATGCAGCCCTCGCCGGCAAAAGGAGATCAACGAGGAAGAAGCTGCGTCAGAGGCATATCTGAAGAAATACTCCACACCTTGTCCAACCTGCAGCGCGCCCGCACAGAAGACCATGGGGTGCAACCACATGACATGCTTCAGATGCAAATGCCATTTCTGCTACCTATGTCAAGCATGGCTTCTGCCTGACAATCCTTACAGCCACTACAACGACCCTAAGAGCAAATGCTACATGCGTTTGTGGGTTATGGAAGAAGGAGACGGCGAAGACGTCGAAGCAGGACGACTCCAGAATCCTGATCTTGCGGAATGGCACGAGATAGATGTTCCAGAAGAGGAGTTGGACGACGAAGAATTGCCCCCAGAGAACTTCGCCGCCTTTCGAGGAGACCATGGCCGGCCCTTTGCCGACGAAGAAGATACAGATGACGAAGAGCCAGCACCTGACCAACGACGCAACCGGCAGTTGCACATCGAAATCGTGAACTTTGCACGGCCTGGAGCACCAAACGCTCAGCGAATAGACCTTCCTGAACGACCACGAGCTCAAGCGCTTGTACCGCCACCGGCACCAAATCCGCCCAGAGCCAGACCTCGACGAAGAGGCGGTGGTCAGCAAGCCAACCGTCAACGTGCGATGGTCAACGAACCTGGACGCGCAGACCGGGCACGAGCGCAACCTCGAGGTCGATTGCGTCTTCCTGTGGCGCCAATAGCTCAAGATGTACGAGCAGCCGGAGATGACCAGAATGATGCGAACCAGCAAATTGACAGAGATGAACATGCCCTACCAGATGTCAATGGTGACGGAAACAATGATCCTGCAGCACGACCAGCACAGCTTCCGCTGGCAGCTCCTGGCCAAGGAAATCACCCAGGCGCCGCCCATGGTGCACATGCAGGCCCCGTTCGTGTGATGGGTCTAGAAAGATTTCTGCAACTTGCTCAACAAGATCTGGAGGATGAGTGGGATTCAGACGAGATGGAGGATGACGATTTCCAAGCCATAGAGCATGAGCATGAGCCAAGACGAAGAGGACAGGAGAGGGTGGTGGGCTGGCGGTGACATGCAGATGGTCTAGGCGAGGAACTGCTGCTCGGCGTATATAATGGAAATTATGGATGGAGAGACATGACTTACAGTGGCTGTGATATGCTTGTATAGAAAATGAACATTTGAATTGACGACTGCATAGCTTGTCTACACCGCATAGACGCCGTGAGGAGTTAGTCGCCAAGCTGGTGACCAGAGGCAGTAGGATCTGAGAAGAGACTTGTTTCCTCCACGCTATACACATATACTGAATGATTACAATGACACGCAATATAGCCCCGCAACGGATGTTTCCATGTGACAAGAAGTGTTGTTGCATCCGAATAGAGGCACTTCAGATTGCTCGCGCATACGAGGCTTAGGTTGTAATCTGTTCGAGTCTAGAGTAGAAATTCATCACAGGCAGCATGTTCGTCTTGCTTCGGAAAGGGTTTCTATTGTAGTGCAAGAGCAGCAAGTGTCCAAGCAGATCAAACCCCTCTTCAGGAAGTCGCTTCCTCTTACGGTATTTGTCAGTGTGCGCGCCGGTTTCCAGGTATCCTGCTTCGCTGCCGAGTACCCAGACTGGGTGCATAAAACTGCGCACATCTTGACCTTTCGCATCTTCCCGTGCCTGTGGGATCATCAATGCCCTCTTGGATCAAATTTTGAATCCCACAATCCGCTCTCTTGTGCCCTCGTGCCTGAACTCTTGTGATCATAAGCAGAAACTAAGATTTCGAGCTTCGACGTCGAGTGGATAAGGAGCTAGAAGCACATCGAAGATCGAGGCGGGAACACACGTGGTAGGGCTGGACTGTCGCCAATGAGATGGGGCTGGTGGGCAAGGAGGAATCGACTGACGCAATGATCGGCTTTGCGCTGCCAAGCGGGCTGTTTGGCGGTGTCCGGTAGTGTTAATGATGTCTTTGTTGCTTGATGATGTCTTGAACACAAGTCAAAGATGAGCGGGAGGAGCAAGCCGTGATGTCACTCACCCAATGCCAAGTTGCGCTAAACGCAAATGTGACGTCGATCTTTAAGGTTAGAACCAAAGCCAATACTGGGAGAGTCGCCGTGCTCTTGACAAGAATCCTTCCCAGTATCCACGCAGCCACGGCGGGCTGGCAACTCACGATCCTCAATTCCCTATACCTGTCATGGATAGACCGTCTGACCTTTGCTCAAGCGAGAACCATCCTTGCCCCTGCACTTTTGGGTCCACTCGCCGCGTGCCGAACTGTTATTCGGTAGCCGATGTGGCTTCCTTGGTCGCCACCTTTTTTTCCACAGGAGAATTCCATAGGCTAACCCCAGGTTTTCTTTGTTCGTCGCGCAATGATATCAGAGCCCAGGAAGTATTACCCATAGTCGCCCGCTGTATAATAAACCCCCTTTCTTCCCCACTGCTGAACAGCAACCGCCCTTCGAGGCTTGTTGAACTTGTAAAGGTATCCCGCGATCATCCTCATCACCACCGCCCAACATGAAGGGCATGAGCACCAAAGTATACTTTGATAAGTACAACCCTAATTCAGAGAAGGGAGAAGATGTCAGGCGCTCTCTGGCTGGCCTCGACTACTCACCCCTTCCTCGGGTGACGGGTCGCTCGTTGGCCATGGGCTGCTTGGTCTCAATGGGTGGCTTGATGTAAGTTGCACCTACTCTACGGCTCTGCAACAGCTAACATGCCTTCCAGCTTTGGTTACGATACCGGCCAGATTTCGGGCTTCTTGGAGATGCCAGATTTTCTCAAGCGGTTTGCACAATCTCACGGAAATGGAGAGTATAAATTTAGCGATGTCAGATCCGGACTTATAGTTGCCATGGTACGGACGAGAGTCATTCTTGCCATTCGTTTCGAACCCTGACTAACGTGCTTCAGCTATCCATTGGAACTCTTATCGGGGCTTTGTTGGCTGCTCCAATTGCCGACAGGATTGGGCGTAAATTCTCGATCAGCTTCTGGTCTATCATTGTCTCGGTCGGATTCGTTATTCAGATTGCATCCGTCGATGCATGGTATCAGGTTATGATCGGTCGACTTGTGGCTGGCCTTGGAGTGGGAGCCCTATCAGTCCTTGTCCCCATGTTCCAAGCCGAAACTGCTCCGCCGTGGATTCGTGGTGCCCTCGTGTGCACCTACCAGCTCTTCATCACACTCGGCATTTTCCTTGCCGCGTGCTTCAACTACGGGACGTATAAAGGCCAGCAGAACAACTCGGCATCCTGGAGGATTGTCATTGGCCTTGGCTGGCTATGGACACTCATTCTGGGAGTGGGTATCTTGTTATTCGACGAGACTCCGCGATATGCCTACCGCAGAGGGAGGTTTGAAGAGGCCAAGCAAACGCTTATGAAGGTGTACGGTGCTCCTGCCAACCACTACGCCATCTACACGCAGATGGAGGAGATTGAGAGCAAATTCCGTGCCGAGGACCAGACAAAAGGAAATCCTATCCATGAGTTTGTCGTCATGCTCAGAGCACCAAGGATGGGGTAAGTACCAACACACAGGACGCTCATAGAAAGTGGAATGCTGACTCCGTGGGTCCAGATACCGAATTGCCCTGGGTGTGATGTTACAGATGTTCCAGCAACTCACCGGTGCCAACTTCTTCTTTTACTACGGCACCACGATCTTCAAGTCCGTCCAGATCAGCTCTTTCGTTACTCAGATGATCCTAAACGGTGTCAACTTTGGAGTTACCTTCATCGGTCTCTATCTCGTCGAGCACTATGGGCGAAGGAAGTCGTTGATCGCGGGGAGCATGTGGATGTTTGTCTGTTTCATGATTTTCGCATCAGTCGGTCACTTCTCCCTAGACAACCAGGATCCAGCCAGAACGCCTAAGGCTGGTATTGCCATGATTGTATTTGCGTGTTTGTTTATTCTGGGCTTCGCTACCACATGGGGTCCAATGGTCTGGTAAGTAACCATGTATCCATCTGGCCCCTGTTGACTTCCGCTAATTGTTCAATTCTAGGACTTTGATTGCCGAACTCTTCCCATCACGATACAGGGCCAAGGGTATGGCCATTGCAACTGCAAGCAACTGGACATGGAACTTCCTCATTGCATTCTTCACTCCGTTCATCATCAGTGCGATCGATTTCAGATATGGATACGTGTTTGCCGGCTGCAATTTGGCTGCAGGTCTCCTTGTGTACTTCTTCGTCATTGAAGGACAAGGACGAACGCTGGAGGAAATCGACACCATGTATATTGAACATGTGTCCCCCATGAAATCTTCCAAGTGGGAAGCACCACCTGCGGCGGAGATGGCCCGAATCAGAAGACAGGCCGGCACTGAGGTTGCTGCATCAGAGGACGTCGAGTCCCGGGGCATCTACAGCGGAGAGACGGAAAGGGGGCATGATGGTGACAAAGAAGTCGACCAGACCAGGGAGATTCATGCTGAGAGGGTGTAGGTGTGGGAGCACCAGTGATTGACATAAACATGTACAACACTTCTGTACCAACAGTATGGACATGTGAGGAAACGAAAAGTGTTTGTGAGGTTGAGGTCCCCTTTGGTCGATAAAATAGTTCACAGCAAAGCAATGGGTAATAGTAATGATGACAGTAGCCTTTGTTCAGTTTGCTTACTCCTGAGTACCAGAGTAGCATTGATGCAGATTGTGTGGGCAGCATATGCTTTCCGGATTGGGCGATGCCGAATCTCTCCTTATCAAACAACCAATCACACCCGCCCAGTTTGTTATCGACTTACCTAGACCTATACAGGCATGGCTATCCTGCATTGTCCAGCTAATCAATCCCCAAGGCCTTGGTCCATCGGCAGCGGCTCCCGGGCCCGATGCCTCCACCTCCGCTATCAATTCAAAGTTCTCTCCACATTCACCCTCGCTGACCCTCCCACGGACGGCGACATTGACACAACAAAGTCGTTCTCTTATTGCAAACGGCCCATTTCTACAGAAGACTACGCCATCCCGCTTGCCCCTGAATGCGCCGAGCCCAGCATCTGCCCCCTCCATGTCCGGAGCCGAACGCCAACCGACAGATGGTCCTCAGGCAGCCCGATTCACGAGCAGTAATGCCGAGCAGAGGCAGGAAAACACCATGTCGAAGCGTAGACAGCCAAAAAGCCGTACGGGTGAGCTACACCTCGGGTTGAGATTGCCATTTGGCGTTTATGTATCCACTGTTCTGGGTACAAGTGATAATGAACCGATCGCTAACTTGTGCATCTATCATCAGGCTGCAATACCTGCAAAGCCCGACGCATGAAATGCGATGGTGAGAGCCAACTTCTTTGAAAGCGAAGACGATTTCTGTCAGAACTACCCGTTGCACACGAGACTGTTTGGTTCTGACCGTGAAGCCACTTATCGTGTTGCCTATATTATTTGTTATTGCAACCGGCAAGCCTGCTGACCGCTTGTAGAAGCCAAACCGTCCTGCACACAGTGCCTCGACAGAGGTGTCGAATGCGGCGGCTATGTCAGAAACCTCAAGTGGAAGTTGGTGGGAGAGCAGCCCAAAAAGCGCAGCCGGCCAGAGGGTACGATCGCATCATTCGGTCTTTATCAATACTGTTGCCAGCTTATCAGACTGTGACGCTGACTAGCTGGCAGAAAGGCAACTTCAAAGCTTGGAGAACATGTCTATCGAACGGATATCGCCACCATTTTACAAGGATACAACTTCAGGTGACCATGTTACAACACCACCTCTCCAGGCTGAAGCGAGTCTGGCACAGGGCATCGCGAGCACCAATAGCGCATCATCGGCACGGACTCGAGAAGAGCCTCTTTGGCAATCTTTACCGCAGGACCAACTCTTCGACTTTGGTGATGTTGATTTCAGCGTCGACTTCTTCCTGGGCGAAGGAAACATCGATCTGAATGTGCCTAGCGCCCTGGGCTCTCCGACCAATACCTCCCCGGGGCCGTCACTAGAAATGACCGACACTCATCTTTCTTCCTCGAGACATGGGATAGATATAGATATGCGGAAAGAAAAGGCCCCCGACTTATCCGACCTGATTATCTCACCACCCTACATCCCACGGGACTTTGAGGGCCAGAGTGGGACTGCAGCTGATTCTGGTCAACCTAGCCTGCGACGCGGTAACATAGCAGACAATCATGTCCTTCGCGAACGGCCCTCGCCATTCTCAGACACTCCACAAACAGTCAAGCAACTTTTTGACAGGCATCTCTGTGATGTTCTTTCTATCAAGGACGATCCATTGACAAATCCTTGGCGGCTATATGTATGGCCACTGGCTGATGAGTGCCCGGCACTCTACCATGCTCTTGCAGCGATGACATATCTGTACCTGGGCAACGCACGGCCCGAATTCAGTGGGGCTGGTTCAAGGAATTTCCACGCCAGCCTCGAGGCTTTGGCACGGGGTCAAAACAAGCCGGACACCAGTCTTGAAGCCTCTATCGCCGCAAGATTGGCCCTTGGTTTCGCGGAAGCATGGGACGACCAAGCAGCCTCTCCTGGTGTCGAACACATCAAAACTGCTGGAACGCTACTTCGAGGCGCCTTCGATAAAGACAGGATTACGAGGCTAACGAGTGACGAGCTAGATCGTTTGAACTTCCTGGCGCGCACTTGGGTGTACAAAGTCGTTATGACTGGCTTGACAACCTCTGACGATGGCGAGTTCCTCGACGTCGAGTCCATAACAACCTATCTTGAGCTTGATCGTCTACCGGTCGAACAGCAGCTGGATCCGCTTCTTGGCTGTGCAATTACGCTGTTCCCGCTGATTGCGCGTCTAACCAATATTATCAAGGCTGTCCGGCGGAGGACCGAGAAACACAACTCTCCGTCCATTATCTCCAGAGGCGCCGAGTTATGGACAGCCATCGAGGACTGGAGCCCATCATTTGATCCACAGCAGTCAGAAGACCCCCCATCTCACGTCTCTGATATCATACAGACGGCGGAAGCATACCGTTGGACAGCGTTATTATTGCTCCGGCACGCCGTACCAGAGCTTCCGTGGGCTCATTCAATGTGGGCGCTTGCGGAGAAAGTGTTAATCTATCTTGCAACTACGCCGGTCACGTCTCGAACAATGGTCATCCAGATATTTCCGCTGATGGCGATCGGTGGCGAGGCATTTGACGAAGAAGACCGCAACTGGGTCTGTCAGAGATGGGATGCCATGGCCAAGCGCATGCCAATTTCGAGAATGGACAAGTGCCTGAAAGTCACAAAGGAGGTCTGGAGGAGGAAGGACACGTTTGAAGCACAACGTGGCGCGTGCCCCAGCTGTGGTGCTTATCGGCCGAGGTTGACCGGGACCGGCTCCCCCATGGACACCTTGACGGACACGGACTTGTCTGTCGCATCCTCCAAGAAATCCGAGGAAGGGAGTCGCCGATGTCGATGCAACGCGGTCAAACTCAATAATACCCCGTCATCCAACTTCCCGGACTCGTTGGCCTTCAAGAAAGGAATCGACAACATCACGAGGGCGGGCAATTTGCATTACACGGTGAGGGGGGAATTACATTGGTTGAAAGTCATGGAAGACTGGAAATGGCAAGGTGAGTTTTCCGGGAGTGGGTCGTCACGAGTCACGGCCCCGAACCATGTTACTTTGGTACTGACTCGTTGCAACAGTTGTACTTGGGTGAGACAATACGAGGACCATTGATTCCCGAGACAAGTGATTGGGGCGTGTTTGTTCTGGTGCGAGGTTCAAGCACCTGATCGGCCGGACACGGCGCAAGGCTGCCGTCTGACTCTGTGCGGGGGCCCCACCCCCTACAGAGAACTAACCCAACTTGGAGAAAAAGTACGGCAGCCTCGACCTATCCATCCGTTCTGGGTAGTCTTGGAAAACTCACATCGATCAATGAGTGGGAAAGGTCATATCGGTGGCTCGAGGGATCGGGCAGCAAGGGAAGATCTATCTTACCAGTATCTACGAGGTACCTCTACAGCTGGATCAGGGACACTCCAAATATTCCTCCTTCCAGCAAGATGCCAGCAGATCCAGATCCGAAACCGCTTCCACCTCCATCTCTTCCTTTGAACAATGAAACCCCGAATCCCGTTCCGGAGTACCGAGTACCTTACCCCTTTCTTTGATTACCACTTAGTAAACTAGACTGCCGATATGGTATGGTGAGACGGTAGAGATAAGACGGATGAGATGATAAGACGATAAGCCTGATAAGGTAGCCGTGACATCTAATGTACCTATCTTGGCTGCCACGCTGCCAACATTTCTTTGTTCACATGGATGGCCCTTGGCAGCCAGTGCACGGGGTTTGATTTCAAAGGCGACAAGTGTACTCGCGGCATGGAGGAGCGAGGAGGTTTAAGGGCATTTGGCGTGGAATTGAAAGCGATGTGATAGGGACGTACTCGGTACGTATCTCATCAGGGCAGTCTAAAGAATTTTAGTGCAGCGTTGTGCAGTGAGGCGTGGTATCTAGGGTTTGTATAGCGATAGGTACAGGTACAGGCACAGGGATTTCGATGGCGATAGGGACAGGTATAAGTATGCACAGAAGATGCCAATGTCGATTGAATGTTGGTGTGTATGTGTGTATGTACATGCCTGCTGTCATGTCTCACGAGTACATACTGTCTCCTTACTAGTCATCAAGGCCCAGAACAGACAGAGATCGGAACGCCGACAAACGCTCATGAATGGTCCATGAAATGCCCACAAATCTAACAGTACGAGATAACAACGCATGCAAACACTCTGATCGTGGTCGATGTGTCGATCGCTTGCTTTCTTTCCAACTCCTTTTCCTCCTTCTTTCTTTCTTCCTTCCTCTTGTTCTCGTCTGGGATCTCAAACGCACCTCACCTCACCTCACCACGCCAACCCCGCCGCCGGCTCGGCCTGACAGGCCAGGCCGGAACACAGATCGACGTCCGACTGACTCACGGCCGCGGAGCCCGGCAGACGCTGCTGCGCGGGCCAGATCTCGCGCCGCGCGGCCTTTTCCTGCGCGACGTGCTCGCGGATGGCGTCGCGCGCGCGCTGCTGGAAATACAGCGGCCCCTTCTCGAGGCGCGGGTGCATCTCGCCGTTGACGAAGACGCCCGCGTTGAGGTTCCGCTGCGCCAGCTCGCACAGGATCTTGTCCTCGGACACCACCTTGGCGTACAGCTGGTGGATCCGCTGGAAGTCTTCCTCCGACGAGTTCCGGTTGCGGTAGATCTGGTAGTGCATCGACGAGCTTTTGGGGCCGTTGGGCAAGAAGCGTTGCAGCATGATGAAGTGTGGTCTATTTTCCCCCCCATCACAAAAGTGATTAGCGCTGCCGAAGTTTCATGATGGAAGTAGATAGTCTGGATTGAAATGGTGCGAGGGAACAAGGACGAAGAAAAAAAACTTACAGGACGGAAATGGATACGTTGGGAAAGAAATAAGTGCTGGCAATGGCCATGCCCAGCTTCTTTTGCTCTTCGGTCGGCGTCGACTGATGCGTAATGTACCCGTCAACGCCCGTCACGTCGTGCGTCTCGATGTCCGCCAGTGTAGGGATATCCGGATGGGCCGTCGGGCAGTGGTAGCACTCGTTGAAGTTGTCGGCCAGGATCTTCCAGTTGTACGCGCCATCGAGCTTGTACTCGTGGTCGAGCACGTAGTCGTCAAAGTTGTACACCATGTACCGCTCCTGGGTGTCGACGTGGTCAAAGTCCTGCTCCCACGGCACTTCGGGCGTCTCGCTGCTGTCGAGATTGACCCAGATAAATCCGCAGGCGTCGACGCGCACGTGGATGGGGAACAGCCCGTTCTGCGTCTTGTCAAAGTCGTCGAGCTCGTCGTACTTGGGCGCCTTTGCGAGTTTTCCGTCGAGCCCGTATGACCATCCGTGATACTTGCATGCAAAGATCTTTGCGGTCCCCTGCTGGGCCTGCACGACGGGGAATGCGCGGTGGCGGCACACGTTGTGGAATCCGTTGATCTCTCCCTTGCGATCCCGGCACAGGACAAACTCGTAGCCGGCCACGTCGAATTTCAGGTAATCGCCCGGCTGACTGAGTCTCGTTCTGTGCGTGATAAGCATCCATCTCTTGGAGAAGATTGCTCGTCGTTCTAGCTGGTACATTTCTTCAGATGTGTACCAGCTCGCTGGAAGAGCACGGACGGCAGTCTTGGAGTCATCTTTTGCCGGTGGCGTTTGGCGGCCAAACCCTAGATAGTTGAGGATAGCCATGAATGCAAAGTGTCTGTTGAACCGAGAGTTTGATATAGAAAATTAAGTTTTAAGCTTCGAGAGTCGGTCTTCTGGTCAGTGCTAGCGACACGAATTGCTTGTTAGTTGGAAGTTGGGCATCGTGTTAGACTGGTATTTATCATTCATACTGGCTTGGGCGAGGTGGTCCAGCACAAGTGTTCCCAACCTGCCGAATTAGGACGTTTATCGAGTTGTCCCATTATCATTGATTGAGTGTTTTGGACTTTTTGGCGCAATTGGGTAATCGGCCCAGATCCCAAGACGCGCGCCGCCGGTGGCCAGAACCATCTCTCCATGGGGTCTTTTATCCCAAATCCAGTAAGGTCCTTTGTGGCATTACCTCCGTCTATGGGTGAGATTCGCCCAACAATAGAATCTTTGTATCAAATCAATCAGGCGGACTTGATTCTGTGCTCGTGTTTTATCTCTTTCATCTCGAGCGGATCGGTTCTTGACCCGAGTCGAGCTTTGGCTTGCTGGAGAGGGTTAATCATACAATGAAGTAGAGAGGAGCCTGCAGGTCCAGTCATCATCACCCGAAAATTCTGACGGATTCGATACTCCAATGCAAAAATATACAAAGCGAAACAACAACTGTCAAACACTCTGTACTTGTTTTATCATCAGGCTGAATCTCCTCTTCCTCCCTCCTCCTTGTGATGTGCTGTGTGCCAAGGGCGCGCGGGTCATTTCTCGCCGAACTCAGGGCGGCATCGTTCCTCGTCCCAATCCGGACCGAGGCGCATGCACTTTTTTCCTTTGGTTGACATCATTTATTTTATCGCCGGCACCTCCGGCCCTAACTACAACTGCTAATGAGATAGAGACTGTAAACGCGTCGAGGGAACAGGCACTTTCAATCTTTCACCTCCCTCGTACACTGTGTTTCTTCTAAAGTACCAACGTCCTCTGATGGGATGCCTCGATTGAACCCCTCGCTCTTCGGCTTGCCCAATCCCTCCGTGCCTGCGACAACCACAACACGCCCCTTGTGTCGCTGCGTACCTCTTTCATCCTCCCGCCGTAACCTTACCACAGCCAGGACTCCTCCGTTCCCTGTTGTCGAGACATGTCCCGAACCATCATGTCCATGCAGCTCCACCCCAAGGCTCGATCTCGAAATCGATAGAACCAGAAGTCTCAATGGCTCCATGTCCCCATATGCGCAGCACCTTCTCATCTCTACGGGCCAGTCGGATTGGACTTCCAGGATAGAAGACGAACACAATAATGGCACTGTATGGGGGAAGGTAGTAGGAGACGTCAAGGCGTTGCTGGGGAGGCATGGACCGTTTCACGACGTAAGTTGTCTTCGCACGGGATGTGTTTTGTTGCTGTTTCCAGAATGAAAAAGAGCCGGGAAACGCTAAGACATGCTCAGAGGCATACACTGATTTGGCGAGATATGACAAGACCTGGCTGACTTACACAAGGATTGAGATCTAGCCCTATAACAATATCCTTGTCAATACATCGTCGTTCACATCTAAACCAGAACCGACGCAAAGACAACAAGGTAATAGAGAGGTCAACGGTGTGGAGGCCCTTATTTTCCCTGCGTTCCGACGCTTTAGACACCTATCACCCCTCACTGGGAGCAGAAAAACGTCAACGAACGCACCCTCCCCATCAACCGCTGAATCAAGCAACCTGAACGACTTCATCCGCGGCTACCTCCTCCCGGAACCCAACAGGTTACACCCTATCTACAAAGACGTCCCGGAACAGGAGCGGGCAGCAAAAACCCGAGATACTACTGCAGCCTCCAAATTCCACAGCAGTCCAATCACGAATCCGACGATACTGATCTGCAGCCATCATCAGAGGGACAGTCGATGTGGGATACTAGGCCCGTTGTTACATGATGAATTTAGAAGATATGTCAATCAGCGGAAACAGGATGCTAAAGGCATAAAACTCGTCACTCCGCAGTCTCCGGGAGAATTTGTTGCCTCCGACAACGAAGTTTCTGGTGAATATGGTTCAGGAGGAAAAGAGAACATTCTGGCAAAGAGCCCGTCATTAGACACTGCCTTCAAGTCCTCCGTCTCGAACACGCATGCTTCGACTTCCGATTCCCTGCAAGCTCACGTTAATGTGGGTATGATATCCCATGTGGGAGGCCATAAATGGGCAGGGAATGTGATTGTATACATCCCTACTACCTTTACATCAACCCACGACGCGGTGCCTGACTCTCAGCATCCATCATCTGACATGTCTCAACGGGCATCTGGTGCGCCACCACCTCATCCACTGAGAGGTATGGGGATCTGGTATGGCCGGGTTGAACCGAGACATGTAGAAGGGATCATTGAGCAGACGGTTGTGAGAGGAAAAGTGATTGAAGACTTGTTTCGTGGCGGCATTACCGCGAGTGGGGAGATATTGAGGTTGTAAATGAGTGCCTCGATCAATACATATCCTGTCCACTCTTGATCAAGCAGGGATTCCTTGTTACCGTCCTAGGAGAGAAGTACACAGTCCAGAATCCCGAATGGCTACTCAGTTGCCCAAACCGACACTTTCGACCACTGTCTGCAGCAGTTCGACAAGCAGGTTAAGTGCCTCCCCCCTGCCCGTCCCCTCTTCTGACCTGTGCGGACCTAATGATTCGAAATCGGTCATCTATACTCTACAACTTGGAACTATTTCTTCTCGTGGTCGGTAAGGGGGACGAAGGTTAAATTAGGTAGGTACATGGATCATGGATACCTGTACGAGGGACGAGGTATATATATACTGCAGTACTGTAGACTACAAGAACAAGACTTGACCAGGTCTTGACCGAAAAGGAACAATAAATTTTATTGATTTCTTGCTCCAGAACCATTTTGCTTTGGCTCGATCTATTTTCGGGCTTTTGTTTGGCTAACAAGTTTCTTCTTCCTCCTCCTCCTCCTCCTCCTCCTCCATCAATGATAGCTTGTCTCTTCTTTATCAGCTCACGTAAAACAGCCAGCCAGCTCTGGTAACAAACGACCATCGACCTACAGAGACTAGCCCACATTGCCTTCTTTAACGAAATAGACAAGGGCGGGAACGCGAAGTGACAAGGAAGAGGTCGGGTGGGAGAACGAAAGGTTCAACTGAACAAACCCCAGGAAAGAAAATGGTCCGACTCGTTGCGCGGTTCTACTCCAACTCGTAGACCCGGTCAGGATTGAAGACGGCCGCCTGCGCAAAGTAGTAGCCGCGCTGATTACTGACCAGCCTCGTCTTGGTGGCAGGGTCCTCGAAGTCGCAGTTGAAATGCGTGTGGCCGTAGGCCCAGAACTTCACGCTCGGATTGACCCAGCACTCCTCCTTAGAGAGGTCGGTGGAGAAGCCCGAAGAGATGGGGCTGGACTTGTACGCCGGGTTATAGGTACCCTCGATGGTGCTCGGGCTGTGGTGGGTGAAGATGACGATCTTGCAGTTGGGTTCGCGCGCTGATATCTCGGCGACTTGGGCGTTCAGCCACTCCAAGTCGGCCTTGTGCTCGGCGCAGTGCTGCTCGACGGTCCAGTCCTCAATGTGGTAGAAGTCGTTCAGGCCGAAGCTCACGCGGTCGTGCTGAGACGAGAGCACCTGCGAGTACAGCGTGCAGCCTAGGATTGTCACTTCGGACGACAGGTCGTATCTGGTCTGGTCGAGAACGATCAGTTTGCCCAGCCGGCCGTCATTCCCTTTCTTTGCGGCACGACGTTGCTCGATCTTCTCGGCGAAGTCCTGGAGCTTCGTCTTGACCTTGGCCCAGCTGGAGTGATATGGTTCGTGATTGCCGAGCAGGAAGAAGACTTGCTCAAACTTGAGGAGTTGCGCCTCGAGGAAGTGAAAGAACCCCTCGTCCTTGATGTTGCCGATGTCGCCGAGGAGGGCGAGGTAGGGCGCTTTTGGAGTGATGGAGAAGACATCATACGCTGCTGGTGCCTCCAAGTGCAAATCGGACATGATCTGGAATCGCGCCATGGTGAATCGAAGGTTTAGACTGACCAAGCTAGCGCGGTCTGAAGGCTGTGTCTTGTTATCGTGACGTGCCAAGCAAGGGAGATAGATTGAATCTTGCCGTCGACGTCAGGTCAGGATTAAACATTCGAAGAACAGGACGGAGGCGGAAGGCCACAGTCTATTGAATGCCTGGGTGATAATCCATGGACAACCATCACTGCGATGCGCATTGTCCTCTGCCAAGACACTGTTGAACACGTCGAGGCTGCTCTTTGTGCCTGTGGCAACGAACTGGCGCCTGGCATATCTTGGTATTGATACGTCAGTGGAAGCCGTCTCTATCTGCTAGTGTGGTCAAATGCAGTCAAAGCAAGGTCCACATGCTCTAGGTCTGGGGGCCAAATGTCTGGAGCCGTGTTTCCTTCCGTTCGGACGCCGATAGAAACTTCTGTCCTGATTCTCCAAATGGAGTATTGGGCAGGTCGACTAGCGTCTGTTTGACAGATCTGGGAAGTCCATCACCTGCCACAAGGAAATCGACAACCTAATAAATACAATCAGATACCACTTGTTTTGCAGAACTGTACCCAGCCTCCAACACACATCCCTTTTGCTTGACCATCAAGGGATACTTTCCACACGCCATATTGCAAGAAATCGTAAGTTTTCAGCTGTTCTTCGAGCGAATTTCACCGTCACGCCGCTTACCGTTGTACCCATACTCACCCTTCACTCTGAAATCATGTAACACTGCCAGATATGACCGATCTATTCAACCCATCTCCCTCAGGATTATCTTCGTCCTAGGCAGCCATACCTTGAACAAAACTCCCGCGGCGTCCATTCAGAAACGCGGAGGTCTTTGAAGGCCGCTGTGAATGAATCATGAAAAGATATCATCCTTTGCTCATCTTACTGGATTTCTCGAGAATCGTCTTTTGGGAAACGCAGAATGGGCAGAGCGTGCAAGGAGCTGCTTCGTTTCAGAAGGATCTGAATTAAGTATTGAAGGATGATGGTCCATCGCGTCAACACTATTCCGGAAAACAGTTGTCACGTCCTCACGTGACACTCTGGCTGAGATGAGGTCATCAGGCTGCATACGAGGTACAGTGGGGTGATTGGTGGTTCGGCTCGGCTACTTTTCAACTCCGACAAAGGTTGTAAGTGGATGCCTTACTACTAAGGGGGCTGTTTGTATGTAAGCATCCGAATGTGGCGCAAGGCCCCCCCAGCCAGTTATGGACCCCGTCACCCAACAACTCAGCGCTGATCTATTCTTACGCCTTGCACAAAATATATACATCCGGCCACATCCGCAACACGCCCAATGAGGAATCTGGTGCACTGTCCATAACTCCTCCTTCCTGTTCGCCTGCTGCTCTTGTTATAAGCCTCTCCCTCTCGTTGACTTTTGTCATCTTATCTCGCGATTTTGTCCCCTTCAATCGTATCAGATTGCACCACAACAATCATGTATATCACGCCCGCGCTGGTCGCAGCCTGTCTCACCCTTGAGGCATCCGCATTCCTGGTACCTCTCGAGGTTGCCACTGCTGCTAAGCAAGCAAAGTCAGAACTTGCCTCGATTCTCGCAACAACTGGTCATACTGTCGACCTTGATTGCCCCGGGTGTCCGTACTTTGGCCCTGAAGATACAGCCGAACTGCGGGAAGATGTCGAGAACAAGATCGTAAGCACGTGCCTTCTCAGGCTGTGTCACCACCATACTAACGGTGACATTTGTATAGCATCTCGAGTTCGACATCGATCCTCAACTAGGCCTGACCATCAATGATCATGCTATATTCTCCTCCGAGACCGATACCGCCTCCATACCCTACCTAGTGTCCGCCCCTCAGATAAGAGTAGAAGACGGTCAACAAACAGACCCCATTCAGCTGGACTTTGCCTGGGAGAGGCTAACACCCATCGTCTCTGCCGATGAACCTGATAAATCTATCCTACCTGTTCGGTTTACCATCCTGGGGCTTCAAGGCATCCCTGTCAAAGTCGATACCATCGCCATTGACCTCCTCCAGACCCCTGACCAAACCTCCATTGCACGCATAACCACAATTCCCTTCGAGGATACACCGGGTGCCACAACCTGTGACACGACCTCAAAATGGTCTCTTTGCCGTCTGCGGGCCATCATCGCCGCTCGTCTCCAAGCAATCATGGAAGCAGCTACAGCACGTGCCTCTGCGGCGACCAAGGGCTGGCACGGTAGGGGCAAGGGCTGTCATGGTCGCAAGAGCTCTAATGGACTTGGTCCTATGGGTGGTGAGGGTCACCCTCACGGTCATCACAAGGGCGGTCACGGTCGCCAACATGGTCATCACCGCTTCCACCGCTTTGGCCACATGCTGCACCAAACGCTACGTTTCTTTGTCATCCCTGCCCTGTTGGGGGTCATTGGGGGTCTCATGGCCAGTGCCATCGGTATGCTCGTCGGCCAAATGATTTCTTACCTGTGGATCAGATTCCACCGCAATGGCCAACGGGGTCAAGCAAGCCGTGAAATTTGTGTTGTGGAGATTGTCGTTGATGAGGAAGAGAAGGAAGCCTTGATTGAGAATTCGGAGGTCGACGGCGAACTTCCTCCTCCGCCAGATTATAGGGATGTCGAAGCAGGATCGGAGGAGAAATTAATATAAGCTCGATCAACCAACAATAATCTCATTGAACAAAACAAATCACATTACCAGGGTTGAGGATGAGTTGGAAAACTATAAGAGGAGGCGGGGAGGGGAAGATGAAAAATCAAAGCCACAAATATACATTTTATGAGATACCCCAGAGCATTGCAGGTGTTATTGATCGAGCGTAAAGAGGAGGATCCCTGTGCGAGAGGGACCATGGACGATCGTCCCACTTATATGGGCGGTTCAATCCAATGTCAGTCAGTCCCTTGAGGAAGAAGTTCTTTGCCCAGATGTATTTATTTGACGCAATCTTTCGGTTCTTCGAATGAAGCGCCGTATCTCTCACCCGCGCACCCTTTCCTACGTATTCCCTGGGTGCGCGGCCTTGGTCAGCCAATCTGGAATAGGGGGGATGGGATTGAATCGGATTATCGATCATCGAACGTGCTACGACAGGGGACGGGATAACTGGGAATATGATAGGATAGGATAGGGATGTCATATAGGTAGGGGTTTGGGTAGTGTATCATTATACTATTATATACCTACTATCCAGGTATACTTGTAGGTATACTTTTGTCATTTTCAACCACGGGACACAAGTCCGTCCCATCCCCTCGTATGTACATATGCATATACGTACGTGAAGCAGGTAGTACTGACATAGGTTTCTACGGCGTATGAAGGGAGTATGGTGTATGGCGAATGTATGGCGAACGATGAGAAGAAATAACATGTACCGAGTACCTCATACGTGCACCATTTTTCTGGTCTGGTGAGATGTCTTTGTCTTGGACTTGGTTCCTCTATCTTCGTTTTGGGTATGTGTCTTGGTTCTATGTACGTCTCTATATGCAGATCTAGCCCTCAGCGGCGGCTCTTCCGCCCATGAGATAATATCTACCTGCTGGGATCGATATCGACCCTCTTTTGGGAAGAGCTGGTCAAGATCTTCACCAGGAATCTCTGAATCGGCCAACGACGCACTCTGATGCTTTGTTTCCCACGGCGAGTGCCAGTTTATGTGATTATGCCAGGGAACTAAGGAAAGGCGAGACGAATGTTCAGTCAGTAGTTTATCGCGCCCAATGTCTCACCCAACGTCAGCTCTAGAACCCAGTTCCCCAGAGCAGCTACCCATCGCTGAATGGAGGGCAGCAGACCCCAGTGTGTCGGACTGTTGTACATCCACCGCAGCTCCAGGTCGCGTTGTCGGGCCTTTGCGGCGCTCTCGTCGATCTCGTACGCTGTAGGCTCGATTCCTTTTGGCAAGGCTAAAGAGTGAGAGAGGGGTAGGGATGTAGCCTTGGGCTTCTCACATAGCTTGACCAGCGGAGTCGGACAGGAACACACCCAGGGTCTGTTGTCGTCCCCTAACACCTCTAAAGATTGTGGGGTTCTTAGAGATGACGATTGAGTACCACCGCAGCTGGTGCCATTTATGGGAGAGCCCGGTAGGCGAATCCGAATCCTGAGAGGTCTGGTGGGAGGGAGAGCGGATGGTAGGGCTATGAGAAGGGTTTCTGTTTGCGTCTTGATCGCTGCTTTTGTGTGGGATGAGGCGTCCTTCACATTCCGGGTCTGCACCATTGTCTTGATGAGCCACTCTGTCAAAATCTCCGGCTCAGGAGGTGCTGACGTTCGGACTTCCCCTGGCCACGATGGTACCGTATCCATCTTTGCCGACACATTGGACACTGCGTGAGCGGTTCTGTGGATATAGCCCTCGTAGACTATCGGACAAGGTCGACATGTTGGCGCCTTTTTGTAAAAGAGAGCTGGAACTTCCAAGGGCATAATGCTCGTAGTGAGTAGAATCAGCGCCCAAGAGCAAAGAGCCATGATTGCTGCCATCGTAAAAGTCTTTGATAGGGCCATTCTTCTGACCCGAGGTTTGCGACCTTGGTTGATGTCCCTGATCGAGCAATCGCAAATGGTGGTAAATGGGTCATAAACGTCCACGGGTTTCCATCTTGAAATACTTCCTTTTGCTCTTGATCTTTTCAGCTTGGTCTTCTTCATGGCCTCGGAATTCTCCATAGCAGTGGGTGAGGGAGATATAAATTCAGCATCGACTGTCGGAGGCAAGGATAGAGAATCTCTCGTTTCTTTACTCAATTCGTCAGTGCTCATTGCAGCAAGAGGTGGCCGTGATGCTTGGTCATGGGGGACAGATGGGCTTTCCGCAATCTTTGATGTCCTTGAGTCCTGTGTGGACTCCAAGTCCTCGGCCGATGATGTCTCCGATAGTATACCACTCTGCCGTTTCCTCAACCCCGGGCTAGGAGGATAATCGATGGCGCTGCTAATTCCCGTCGAGTTCTCGGGAATAACAAAACCAGTCGTCGGTGCCTCCATTTGGGGTATCGATTTTCCTGCTTTAGGTTGAGTCCATGTTACGGTGGTGAACACTCCCTGTATTGAAGCATAGCGTTGGGGCTCAGTCATGAACGAAGCAGGCCACGGAATAATCCCCTTTGTATGGTCGGTCTCCTCCATCACATCGTCAAACGACCCCGCGAAGTTCTCCAGTGCTTTCTGGACTGGATTTTTGTCCTCGTAAATAGTCACTGCGCCTGCAATATCATGCTCTGGCTCGAGAATTGCGCGACAGTTAGAACTGTCCCATATAATGCGCCATGGCGATGCAAACTGTAACGTCTCTAGAACCTTTATGAGCTCTTCCTGAACCGTTGGCACAGACAATGAACGGCCTGCCACGGTCCTTGACACGAGCGTCTCACCCTCCTCAGCAAGAGCTGGTAATCGTGGGCTGTAGTCTCGAGAAGCTCTATCAGGAGCTGATGGGTCCCGCCCCAGTGATGCCCTGTTGCGCCTGCTTTTCCAGTAATAAGGATAAGACTGCCGACGGTATGCGGATCCCGGGGTTGATCGCGGACTTCGATCGCGAGAGGGAGTCGGGACTAAATGGAACGAAACCTTCTTGCCCCATGGGAGCCGATCGGGTGTGGTGTTGGCAGGCCCCACAGGTGAAAACTGCATGCTCACTGGGGAAGGTGTAGTCATGGATGATGCTCCCAGAACAGACGGACTCGTAAAGCCGCTGAGGATGGCCTGGCATGGAGACGCAATCGATGAAACCGGTGACTGGCTGGTCAAACTCTGCCGCGCGGAGGACAGATACTCGGCGAGAATATCCTGGTGTCTGCCCGATGTTCGAACTGAAGCATGGCTGATGGAACGCCGTTGTCTGCCGAACTTCACAAAATGTCTATCAAGGAGGCGAAATTGTTCCTTGTCTTTCTGCACCTGTTGTTTGTGTGCCGCTCGTATCCATGTCACCGATCGCTTGATGTGTTCCTGTAGCTTTTCGCACTCCGCTTCGCTTTTTTCTCGTGCCTTTTCAGACTCCTCCTTCGAGTCGCGAAGCTCCTGTAGTTCGTCCAGCAGCGAGCGAACATCCGCTCTTTTGTGTTCAAGTTCACCATACAGGTCTCCTAACTTCCACTCGGCTTTGTTTCGCTTGTGCTTTTCATCCTCCAGCGAACGGAGCATGGCATTATCTCTTTCCAGCACCTGGTTGCGTGCTTGTGATTTGGCCAGTTGTCTATCGCTGTGTCCCTTCAGTCTCTTGATTTCCAGGACTTCTTGTCGGCGACGCTCAGCAAGTCGCTCGGCTGCGAGGTGTTGCTGTCGATAGCGCTCGAGCTCGTGCTGTTGTATTTCACAATAATACTCCAGGGCCTGAAGCTCCTGCTCGAGTGCGGTATTTTTAATGCGGAGCTTTCCTTCCTCGAGTAAGATCTCGTCATGCTGAGCCTCCGGAGATCCTTGTGTCTGATCTTGTTCATTCTCTTCCTCCTCGTGCTGCTCTGCTTGACCGGTCTTATCAACGGAGGAGTCATTATTTTCAACGCCGTTGGTCCCTGGCGGACGTTGAGCATCGCAACTCAATTCTTGTGATAACTGACTTCGTTGGACAGAGCTTTGTGCACTAGAGTTCGTCAGGTGCGTTCGCGCATCCGGATAGACGCTTTCCGGACCACTACTCAGAGAGGAGTTGCTCCCAGGACTATCGCTCGCAGATCTGCGGCTGCTTGCTGCTGATGCCGGTTTCCGCACTCGCGGTGGCGCTGTCAAGGTGCCTAAACCCACATTTGAGAAAGCTCGAAGACGTGCGTCTCCCTCGGGTGTGACGAGGCTCTGTGTTGATGGTCTCTCCTGGCTGTCAGCTCGGTCGGATCCAAAGGAACCAGGGGGCGAGTCCATGATGGAACGAGCAAACTCTATCCAAGGGTTTCCCAGGCTGGCTGGCTGTTTGATCACCTTTCATTCCAACGAGTACGGCTTGTTTTGAAGACAGCTTCAGGCGTATCTTGGATCATGGATATTACCAATCCTTGGTGTATGAAGAACAAGTCGGACGGTCCCTTCTTTGTCGAAATGGGTCACTGAGACTTGAGAACAAAGGAAGCCAAATGAGGAATTGTAAGGAGACACGCTGGTAATCAGCTCAAAATGAATTCAAAGTGATAAGTGAAATAAAGAAAAACCTTCCGTTCTCGGAATAAAATTGATGACCGAGAAAAGTGAAACACCCCGAACAAAGAATCTTATGGCCACACACAGACCAGGCCACATTCCACTGGGAAGGACGTCCTGACCAACCGAGAAAGTCAGGAAACCCCACAATGCGCATCTTGACGGTCTCAAACTCGACGACGGATTCCTTCAGTCGAAGCAAAATGCAAGTCCGATAGTCGTGGGACTACCTGACTCCTCGCTGGAAAGGAGCGTGCGGCCTGGGTCAGTTCTATATCAGGCGCTATCACCAGCTGGAAGCGAGATGCCTTGTCAACGTTGTCGCATGTTTCCACAGCCTATCTCGACCTTTGTCGATTCATCTCTTGTCTGTCTGTTCTCCTAGAACTGTGCCTCGACTTGGGACTGTTCTTGACAAGGAGTAATTTGTTGCCCTGGGCCGTAATTTTCTTTCTTGCGAACCGGTCTAACATCTCGATCTAGGACTCGGCCACAGCTGGGCCACGTCCGTCGACAATACCAAATGCTCGAAGAAGACATGAACGGCTGCCGCATCTCTCAGCTTCAGCCCTCTTTCTCTTCTGTCGGGTGTGATGGTGCGCCATCTCGAAGAACGTCGACTGGAAGCGATGCTCCCTCTCTATAATTCTTGCCGTTGACTTGGAAAATCTTTTGCTTTCCGTGCCCATCCACAACCAAGGCTGTAAGTTTACCTCCATTGACACAGCCACTGTCGAGACCTTTGGTGTATTTATGGATTTGTAATCCTTTTTTGGCATCATGGCCGTAGATAACAGTCATATGCTGTTCATTTCGTCGATGTTTATCACCCTTCAATTCCCCGAAGCGCTGCCCCAGAGGTAATAGCTGTTGGTATCTGTTCCACAATCTATACCAAGCAACACTCCCTTTGTGCTTGTGTTTCTTGGAGGGTGTTCGTGTGGCAAGATCAATAATCCGCATATTCATGGCCGAAATAGGATCTTGGGATTCCAGAGTTCGTCCGGGAATGAGTCCTCCGTGGACTACCACGGCATCACCTTTGAATGCTTTCAATTTCCCTATGCGAAGAATGACAGGACAAGATTGTAGATACTCGAGATGCTCTGTCTTGAGCGACCGTGCCAATTTGCGCACTGGATCAGTGGCCTTTGCAGACTCATCAGCTGAGTCTAGCTCTGTCTTGTGAAGCGTGCCTGATTTAGACTCTCTGTGTCGAAGTTTTTGCGCGACCAACAAAAGCCGGTCATCATGGTTCCCGCGTACACACGAAGCGTTGTAACGCCGCAACAGGTCAATCACTCCGAGCGAATCCGGTCCCTTGGAAACAATGTCTCCAACCGAAACCAAGTGATCTGTCGAAGGATGAAATTGTACTTTCTTCAGCAGAGCCTGCAACTCCTCTCTGCATCCATGGATATCGCCAACGAATACCAGCCTCTTCTTCCTGGAGTGGACGCCGGTATTATCGGTGGAGGATTGTGGAAGCAGTGCAGGATCCAGCGTCTTGACGAGCACCATGCCCGGGAACTTGGGATGGCTTGCCTCGCTCACGGCACCTGCAGCCCCGGCCGCGGAATTCGACTTGAGCGCGGACCATGCAGATCTCCCTTCCTCGATGAGAGGAGCTATGACTTTTATCCACAGAATGATCGAACAAGTCGCGAGAAAGGCAATCGCCAACATCAGTCTTCGGAGTTTAGGAGCTCTAATGACGGCGACAGACTTGGGCAGTAAAGCTTCGAAACTCTGCAGGAAGTCATTGCCGACTCGGGATGGAGGGATCGAGGACTCGTAATTGACGGGGTGCGGCTCCAAGATCGGCCTCTTTGTGGCTACCATTTCTCTTGTATCCAGATGCCAATATCCGTCTCTTTCTCGGACCACAACAAAGGCGCTCTCAACATCGGGGTCGGAGGATCAGGATCGGCAGGGTTGGACCGGATGCTAGAAGCGAGTTATGGTTCACGCAATTGGAATCGCGCAGTTTATGGCAGATGGGGATCATAAAAAACAAATTCTCCTCTACTCGATATTCCTACCTCTTGCAGTGAAGGGAAAACATGCAGGAAGCTCGGGAGCCACTCTGACGACATTAGATCAGAACTGCACGCCCATAACGGTAAGATGAAGTTTGGCCAATATTATTAACTCGGAAGCTCTGAGATCTGCAGCCTCGTTGCCAAGCCCGTGGTACTTACAGGTTCTTGCCGAGTGCTGCATTTATCTATTTCTTTACACTTGTGTAGTAGCTACACAGCAGAAGCAGAAGAATTCTACTTTGTCATGCCGCAATGTACGAGGTATAGCGACTGGATTTCTAGGTCACTACACAGCATTTCTGCCGTGCTCTTCTCCGAAGCAATGGACCTCCATGGAAGCTGTCCCGTTCGACGCGATGGCCGGAAAACCTGGAAACAGGTATGAATTAAAAAATTCGGTCAAGTCATGTTTCCTCAAAGACATTGTTGCCCAGAAAGGGAGACCAACTAAGCTACTACCATTCAATGTGAACTCTCCCCCGGAATTATCGTGTCAGAACGTCGTTCAGAAAAAGTTTGAAGAAGGCGCCAAAGAGCGATGAGCGTTTTCAAGAGTGAAGCCACCCTTCAGTCTTGTCGAGTGATGGGTGTGGGTTCTACAGAGCCAAACCAGCCATGACAAGACCCAGGAAACCGAGTCCCACACTACCGACATGGAGGTTGTTGGCACCATTTCCAGAAGACCCGGTCTCCGAAGCTGAAGCCGACGCACCAGTGGCAGAACTGCTTCCTAGAAGTGTCGTCAGTAACTCAACAGATTCACAACCTGTGCACGAGACCCACCTGTTGCCGATGCTGACCCGTCAGTCGTCGTGGTACCATCTCCGAAAGCAAAAGTGCCCGAGGAGCTGCTTGCTGTTTGGGTGCCGGTGGGAGCAGCGGTGGAAGAGGCAGTCAGGAAGTAAGAGCTGATGCAAGACGCCTGGCAGGAGGCGTATTGTTCAGTCTCGCTGGCGGTGCCGTTGCCTTGAGGGCATTCGGCAGCGCATTCCGTGGTCGCATTGGCCTGGAGTTGAGATGGGCATGGGACACCGACACATTTCGCCTGGCAACACACGTCCGCGGAACCGCCTATACGATCAATCGTCTCAGTTTCCATTCATCATTTGGGTGCTTCAGGACCTAACTTACAGGACTGGAGACACTTGACTTGAGGACTCAGGGAGGCCGTGGCAGCGGCGGAGGATGCTCCAGTCGACGAGGCAGCGCTGGTTATCGTCGACTCATCCGTCGCGGTTGCATTTTGAGCTGTAGCAAAGGCGAGAAGCCCGAAGGTGGTCAAGGCGGTGAAGAAGCGCATCTTGGAACTATTCGGTCGTCTGGAAAATACCACAGGGGTTGACGATTTTCGCAAAGGGACGCAGAGGAGAGGCTAAAGTCGCTGGTATAAAGCACGAGGCGAAGAGAAGTAAAGGCAACTGAGACCTGATTGAGAAGTTGAGAACGAGTGTAGAAACGAACGTCGCGGCGCAAAAGTGCCAGCACAGAATACAAAACAAGCGGTGGCCTCGAGAAACTCGATCAGGATACATTTGGGCGCACCAGGGAGTAAAATACTTCTGACACCTCCAGGAGGATCCAGTGTCCAAGCGACCCACGAGACCAAATCTCCCCAGGATTTTCCTGTTTTTGTAGGGCCTATCCAAGACGCTGCTTGTTTCGGATAGCTTGAAGCGAGCTTTTCTCGGCGCATACTGGACAGCGCCTCGGAAGGGGTCTTCCTGGGATCCGCTCCAACGGAGCTGAAATTAAGGCTACGCTTCCCTATCGGACTTTCGATCCTTGGGCTGATTTTCGTGGGCCGATCCGACGTTAAGAGCTGATTCGACGAAACATGCAGCCCAGTGAGACAGATTGGGTTGCTCCCCGACCATTGACCGTCTGTTTTGTTTGTGGCGAGTTATGCATGTTTCAGACTGTGGTCGAGTCTTGGGTGTACAAGGGGTGGGTGGAAGAGTGCCCTTGACCATTCGACAGGCACACAAGACGGAGCATACGACAGCTTCGATCTTGTACGTAGAGTTCCTCATCGCCGGAAGAGAGATGCTGAGTTTTCGCCGCCCGTTGACCTCTACCGGGGATTTTCATGCTGTCATCGTTGTGGGCCAAATTTCCGCCAACGAACAAACAAAGGCCGCCACCAACTGTCGGAAATTGGCCCTCGTGTTCTGTCGAACTTCGGCTTCCCGTTCCATTTCCCCAGGCGCTGGCCCCTCAATGGTTCTGGGGTCCACAGGCATCACATCACGTACAATTATGGAAGAGTGATCATAGTGCCGACGAGGCTGCTGCGGTCTGCGGACAAGAAAACTTAGATACGTGAGATGCGCACGCCGTATAGTGGCAGTCGCATCATCAACGCGCACACGACCACAGAATTCTATATCCAGAACCACGACTTGGTACAGAAGAGAGCCAGAATATCCTGTGGCACGCAGGCGGATCTGCAAAGAGAAGTGGCAGGCATGACAGCGAACTTTTGTCAACGGGCTGTCAATAACGGGAGGATCTTCCTTGGGGTTGGCCAATGGCTGCTAAAGCGAATACGCCGGCTAGTGACAGGACCAGGAAACTCGATTCAATGTCCAGCACGGAGAGACGGATTGCCAGTGATCTGCAGTCAAGCTCCGTGTCGATCGATGACCTCGCCAACATCTCTGCGCGCAGCTCAGTGTATTGGTTGTTTGGACGCAGTTCCGGGTTATATGCCTTATCCGCATATTACAAGTATATCCCGCAAAGACAATATAGAGCCCTTTATAGAACATCCTTGACCCGCAGCTCAACAACAACAACCAAATTTGCGAATCAAGCTTGTCCGGTCGACTTCCTCGAGATCAATATCGCGATGACGGCTCGTGCCTCGTGGAGGACGACTTCGAAGGTGACGACCTTGATATAACCGTCTAAAGATTCGTATAAGCCCCTAACCTGGTTCCCTGTACAAGGCATTCAGTATCTTGATTGACAAGTGGCACCGGGTAAACAGAGTCCAGCAGCAGCTGGTCCCACCGCATATTGTGCAACCTTTTCGTGCAGACTGGCAGCGCGCGTAGTAGAACGGGGCTCATCTCCTGGGCTCCGTCCAACTTGCGTTTGTCGAGCATACGATAAATGGCGGTGCGTGAGTTCAATATATCGACTCAGGAAGTCTGGAAATGCCTAGACGCAGGGAAACATTGTAAATAGAAAAAGAGCGCGACTGACATCACGTGATGTCGCGTTCCTAATCCCTCGCGCGTTTTTTCGCGTCGCCCGCAGTCCCCACCAAGTCACTTCCACCTATCTCGAAGTTGCACCAAGTTATCAGCCCTCCACCAGGTTCTAAGTTGCCCAAGCTATGGACTTTCTAGATGATGAGATCGGAGACGACTCTGATGTTCTAGTCCCCAGTTCCCAACGCGACCTGAATCCGCGCGCTCGAAAGCGCCGCCGACTTGATTCCAATTCGGACGATTCTTCATGCTCGGAGCACGACCAATACGATTTGCCGACAAACGAGGATGCCGCCGGAAAAGAAAATAGAAAGTCTAAGTATGAAGAACGTATCTATGTCCCTCAGTATGGGGACCGTCCGGCAGATACCTTTGTTACACAATTGACTCAGCAGCATTCCAGTCCATCTAGAATCAGAGGTGCAAGATGGATGAAACCTCGGAAGAACCTGTCGCCCTCATCTTCCGCCGAGAGACATCGTACTACCACCGTAAGCCGTGGTTCCCAGATCGCTACCCATAGTGATGAGTTTGAAGTGGACGAGGACGATCTCGAACTATTGGAAGCCTTGAACGACTGTGACAGCACGACGAATAGAAATGACAACGCAATCCTAGAAAGTGTGCAGGGCGGTATCATTCGCAATCCTGCTCCTCGACTTCTACAGAAATCCAACTCTTTCCGTCAAACGACTCTGCACGGCATTCATACTACGCAGCCTCCTGCGACGCAATCGCAGTCCAGGGTCCACAATTGGCCACTGGCAAATCGGAATGAGCCCCCAACTCATCATGATTTAGATTATGATGCTTTGGCTACGTGGGTCTATCCTACAAATCTTGGTCGAATTCGAGACTACCAATATAACATTGTGCACAAGGGCCTTTTTCACAATGTATTGGTCGCCTTGCCCACCGGCCTCGGGAAGACATTCATTGCCGCTACTATCATGCTGAACTGGTATCGATGGACGAAAAGTGCACAAATTGTCTTTGTGGCGCCGACAAAACCACTAGTCTCGCAGCAGGTTGATGCCTGCTTCAACATTGCTGGTATCCCGCGATCTCAGACCACGATGTTGACTGGGGAAGTTTCTCCAGCGATCAGAGCAGAGGAGTGGCAAGAGAAGAGGGTTTTCTTCATGACGCCTCAGACCTTGATCAACGATCTCAAACATGGGTACTGTGATCCCAAAAGGATTGTGCTAGTTGTGGTTGACGAGGCACACAAGGCAACCGGAAGTTATGCGTATGTGGAAGTGGTCAAATTTTTGAGACGATACAACTCCAGTTTTCGTGTCCTGGCTCTTACAGCAACTCCAGGGAAAGACGTAGAAAAGGTGCAAGAAGTGATCGATGGTCTCGGAATCGCTAGAGTCGAAATCAGGACCGAGGAATCGTTGGATATACGCGAATTTGTTCACAAGCGAAATGTCGAAACCCAGATCTTTGAGAACTCGGATGAGATCACCATGTCGTTAGAGATGCTTTCAGCAACACTGCAACCTCTGTTGAACAAGTTGCACTCTCAAGGCGCTTCTTGGGGGAAGGATCCGCGAATGATCACCCTTTTCGGTCTGAAGAAGGCTTGGGAAAGGTGGCAATTGTCAGAAGCTGGCAGAAGAGCTCCACATTCTGTGAAAGGCATGATCAAAGCAATCTCTTCTACTCTGATGAGTCTGGCGCATAACATCGAATTGTTGAAATACCATGGCATCGGACCTTTCTACCACAAGATGAACATTTTTGCAGGCGAGGCCTCCGGTGGTGGCAAATACGCGAAACAAATTGTGGACGATGAAAACTTCAAGAAACTGATGGTTCGGCTCAAGGGGTGGATTAACAACCCTGAGTTTGTCGGACATCCCAAACTGTCTTACTTAAAGACGGTCGTGCTTAATCACTTCATGGATGCTGGTGAGAGTCGAAGTGGTAGCAACGACGCCAGTTCTTCGAATACTAGAATCATGATTTTTACGCACTATCGAGACAGTGCCGAGGAAATTGTCAGAGTACTGAATCGCCATGGTCCTATGATCCGAGCACATGTGTTTGTTGGCCAGTCAGGCACGAAAGGTGGCTCCGAAGGGATGGATCAAAAGACGCAATTGAGCGTTATCAAACAATTCAAGGCGGGAAAATACAACACTATTGTCGCAACGTCAATCGGGGAAGAAGGTCTCGACATCGGTGAAGTCGACTTGATTGTGTGCTATGATTGCTCGAAATCGCCTATCAGAATGCTTCAACGCATGGGCCGGACAGGGCGCAAGCGGGCCGGAAGTATCGTTTTGCTCATGATGCGTGGCAAAGAAGAATCCGATTTTGCCCACTCAGAGGACAATTATCAAAAGATGCAGGAAAAGATTGCAAGTGGCAAGGAGTTCAATTTCCATGAAGAATTGTCGGCGAGAATCGTACCTAAAGAAATCGTACCCGCGGTCGACAAACGTGTGGTGGATATTCCGGTCGAGAATACGCAGCCTGGCTCGGTTGAGCCCGCGAGGCGGAAACCCAAGAATGCCAAAAAGCCACCGAAGAAGTTCCATATGCCGGATGGCGTTGAGACGGGCTTCACCTTCTTGGGGAATGGAAAGAAGAACGAGAGATCCAAGACTAAGGAGGTTCCGACAAAGCGTGTAGAGTCGAAGAAGGACTGCGATGTCGCCGCATTACCTACTTTGAACGACGTGCTGTTATCCGAAACCGAGGAGCGGGATCTCGAAGACCGCTATGTCCGACTCGCGGGCGCCGAAGACGAGTACATCCAAATCGTGCGGTTCGACGTTTACCCACACCAACAGCAGCAGCTTGGAAAGACCGCTGTCGTCAAACACTCAAGGACAACGAAGACTTTGGTGGGAGCCTTCAGAGCCATGCGGAATCCAAGACAAGGTTGGAGTCGGCCATCGGAATATGTGATGCTTCCAGAGGACGACGAGGCCTTGCCTGAGTTGCTGGAAACGAAACAGTCAACGCATGTGAACAAAGCTCAGAGAACGAACCCGAAACCTCGAGCATTTCCTCCAACAGCTGTATCCAGCGGCACCTTCAGGAGTAGCTCTATCGGCGAGTATGACGACAATGACAGTTTCATCGACGACGAAGAAGCGGATCCCAGACCTTCCCATCCGTCAGAGGTTGGACCACCCGCCATGTCAGTGCTCGACGATAGTACCGATGACGACCTGTTTTCTCCTCCACGGAAGATGCCGGGTTCATCACTTATCCTCCAAGAGAGAGGGGCTCAGGCGGAGAAACGATTCTACGTATCTCAGCAAAGCATCGATTACGACGCAGTGGATGATGACTTTCCTGATCTAGAGGCCCTCGTTTCAGCAAAGACGAACAAAATTAACGCATGCAAGGCGAAAACCCACAGCTCCCCGATACGTGTTTCTCCAGTGACTAGAGACAAAGCGGCGAGTCACGGACGACGAAAAGGTGCACGGACGGTGCTCGACAGTGATGACGAAGAATGACTTGGCCTGCATCGGTATCTGTCTGGTGTTGGATGTCCGACTGGGTCGAACAGCTGGATAATGGCTTCTGAAAATCTGGAAGTCAGATGGTCGAGCTTCAGCAGTTGGATTCCTGCTGTGCAAGTGGAAGCTGGCACCGACGTATACATGATTCCGCGGACAGATGGTTGATAAGCCATCACTGTGTTTTTGGTGCGTGAAATACAATGTTGGACACCTTGCACGAGGGCAACCATTCGGTATCTTTGTTTAAACTGGCATTCATATACCTATAGAGTGCGAAGTCAAGGGCTGCACCATAAAGGGGCTCATCCAACTGCCAATACCCAAGACCGCATTCTATACCCTGATGATTCTGAGAGGTTTGTCCCTCAAGGTATCTGAATCACAAGCTTGCCGACCTGTCTCCCCTGCCAGATGTCCTCGATGGCTTCATCAGCCTGGGTAAAGTCGTAGACCTTGTCTATAATGTCATTGAACCTCATTTGGGTGGCTGATATAGCGGCACAGAGATCTTCCTGCTCGAGTTTCGATCCGCCATTGATTCCCCTGGTTCTAGAATTAGTTTTCCCCCCTCTGCCTGCGAAATGGGTTTGTGTGTAGCGAAGTGGGAAACCCCAAGGGGTTGGGTATTGTGTCTTGCTCTCTCACCTTAAGATAATCCTCCGATCGATGAGAACGGGGACGAACTCTGCCAGTTCGTCGAGGCTCTGCTTGCTCAAGTAGCCGACCTGGCTGACGGTCCCGCCGCGCCGGGTACACTTCATGCTCTTTACTAGGGTCTGGGTGCCTCCCATCTCGAGCACGAGATCCACGCCCTCCCCGCCGGTGAGATCCAGGACCTCTTGGTGCCACTGGGGGGTTTTGGCGTAGTTGACTGTGAGGAGCGGTGGGGTTGGGAATTGGGCCTTGATCCGCCCGAGTTTGGCGTCGCTCGACGAGCTGAGGATCACTTTGAGCCCGGCCGTTCGGGCTAGCTTGAGAGCAATCATCGCGACGCCGCCGGTGCCTTTGACCCTTTTTTGTCAGTTTTGGATGGAGGGATTTCTTTTTGGCACTAGAGGGTGAAGGGATGCCCCCTTTTTTGAGAGACAGAGACAGAGATTTGTGGCTGTACGAGGTACACATACCTTGGATCAAGACGCTTTTGCCCACACCGATATCCTTCAAGGCTGCCCATGCAGTGACTCCCGCACACGGGATGAGGCTGGCTTCTGTCCAATCCAGGTGCTCTGGCAGTTTTGTGAGCTTCTCCTCGCTGAACACCAAATAGTCTGCCAGCACGCCGTCCTCGTCGGCGGCCAACCACGACCTCGTCGACTCTCGCCCCGTGAGGTTCTCCGTGTCGATAATGGGCGCCACGCGATCGCCGACCCGGAACTTTCTCACGCCTTCGCCCACCGCTATAATCTCCCCAGCGGCGTCGTTGCATGGGATTCCATGCGGCGTCACCGGCCAAGGGTTCCCGCCGTTGGCGATATTGGCGTCGCGGTAGTTGAGGGACACGGCGTGGACCTTGATCAAGACTGATGTGGCGGCGAGGGAAAGGGGTAGCGGTTCCGTCACGAGCTCGACCCTCGGTTTGCGGGGGGTGTAGTCGTCCGTGCGACGATAGGCTTTGCGGGATGTGATTTGGACATTGGCCATATTTTTTTTTTTCTCTCTCTCTTTCCTTTATTTATCTCTGCGTTAGAAACTCAGCAGGTGAAATCAAGGATCCAAACAAGTCACTCTCTGCCCTCTTTGTACTCTGGGCCACAACCCACGATCATGTCGTATATTCGTATAGCCAACCCCACACCCCAGAATGACAGGGTCAAAGTGAAGGGTGAACAGGTCTGTAGCCCACGGGTCCGTCCGCCCTACGACCTCAGACCTTAGCCGTTGAGCGGACTTTTGCACCAAGTTGGGCAGTCGTCAGTCCCTATTATTATTAATTAACGTCATGTCGCCATTTCGATCAGCCTCGTCTTTGTCAAATACGGTTTAGGCTGGCGCTGGACCTCGCGGATGGGGAATCTTTTGTCAGCCTGTCGCAAAAATGATGGTTCACCAGAGGCATCACATCCGGATCGCGTATTCTCGACAGGTTCGGGACTTGATTGTGTGGCATGCGCTTACCAATCCGGCAATGATACCAAAGATCCTTTCTCAGAGAGCTCGGTTGGTGGCGTATACGCATGAAATGCCGGGTTGTCATTATTGGCATCAGAAGTCTACAGTGTAATAAGTAAAACACTGGACATTGAGCAATTCCCGTACGGGTCACATTATGATCAGCTTGGAGTCTATTATCTTGAAGGCGGGGATCAAAGCGCGGCCAAGCCTGTTGACTGTATCCCAGATGGGCTTCTGGAGGGCAGTATTGTGTTCTGTGTGACTCAATGGAAAAACATCGTGACTATATAGAGTATACAGAGTACTTATATTGGTACGAGGTACATGGGCGTGATCAGTGACTCACGTGTACATGTAATAGCAGACACCTATGTAACCGATAGGGTCACCATTGCTAAGGTACTATAATGAGAGGTCCGCTAGACTCTCGGGGGCCTTCAACCAAGGCTACCGAACGGCACTAGTAAAAACCCCAATAATTATTCCATAGTGTATACTGAGTGGTCTTGACGTTCCAATAAGTCACACCTCGTCCAAGTACCATCACGTGATAGGTCCAAGACTGGCACTGGTGTTTTGTTAGGGAAAACCTTCGCCACAAGAACTCTCCTCTAGAATAACCACCAGCGTATGAATTGTCATCAAATGGACGCTACAGCTGACTGGTCGGATACCTTGAGCATGGCTTTTCAAGTCTGTACCAGATGTCGCAAGCGGAGAATCAAGGTGAGAACGACGATATAGCGTGAGGAGTCGACGAGTTTGAATTTTACAACTGACTTTTGTGCCCATGACAGTGTGATCGCGCTTTGCCGGCCTGTCGACATTGTCAACAAGCTGACGTTGAGTGTTTCTTTTGGGACGACTCCATTGGAGAGGAAATACCATGCGCGTTCGTGTTCGTCTGTGTATCTTGTTTCACACGAGACTCATAAAGCCAGGTATCTTTTCTCCCTGCAACAAAAGGTCCAGGCACTTCAGCTGGAGATCCAGCAAGCTGCCGACCAAGATAGCGCCAACGAATCGTCAGAGTTGGAAGCAGTACCGCAATCCATGCAAGGATATCACCTGGAAGTGGCGGCTTGTGACGAACTTCCGTCGCCAACACGAATCGCTTATTTGGGACCCGGAACTTCAGCTCGACTTATTCAGTCCTTCTTGAAGTCCACGGGCCGAGGGCAAATGACCAACAATTGGCATCTAGGAAGGCACCTATTTTCCAATTCTCGGTTTCATTCGACAAATCTTGACGAGCCACGCTCCATGACCTCCTTCCTGACCAACATTGACTTGCGGAAGGTAGAGTTACATTCCCTCGTACCACCATCGACGCAACGCGCCATCATCGAGAATTACTTCCGAACGGTAGCAACCGAGTATGTCCTCCTTCCAATTGAGCATGAGTCAGATCTGTCGACGTACGAAAACCCATTGAAATGGGCTGGGTCGAACAAAGATGATCCAGTGGCGTTTTCGCTGACCATCATTTTTGCCATCTCATCTGCTCTGATTACTCGAGATGTCGATCCCATCCTGTCCAACATTTCTTCCCGGTTCAGGGAGGATGTCGAGAAGCTAGCTCTCTGCAATAGAGGATGTCGAGTGTCAAGCAATACACTCAGATGGGCATGCACTGCTCTATGTGCACTATCCGTGATTGAATTGATCTCTCCCAGCTCTGGGCAGCTGTGGGATCTTTTAGGAAGGGCTGCTTCGACAATGGAAGACTTGCAGGCGGCTGGCCCGCTTGGACAGCCCAACCTCGACCCCGACTTGGAAAGGCTCGAGCGTGTCCTCCTCAAGTTGGAAAGGTATGTATCACATGTTCGTCTCTACCTTGTGCTCGCGACTAACATCGGCTCCAATAGTTTGGCATCTCTTCATTTCGGACGTCCGTCTTTGTTCTTGCAAACTTATTTGCGACCATCAGCCGACCATCTCTCTCCTCTACATGCACTTTCGAATGAGCTTGGTGTTGAAAGTTCACTACATCGCATTCACCGAACCCTAGCCACGGTGCCAGTTCCAACCGAGATATATCTCGAGGCACTAATCCCCCAATTTCTCCAGGTGGCCTCGGCAGGGTCTGAGATTAGTTTGTCTTCTGCCAGACTCTATCTTGCTCTGAGTCCGCTATTTATCGACCCGGACAGATTCGGAAACGGTGTCGGTATGAACGCTCCGTCCCCCAGAATGGTGCACCTGATTACTGAATCTGCCTCTGTCCTTATCGACCACTACACTCGATTGAACCAAACCAACTCCATCATCAGTATATGGATGACAGCTGAACATGTACTTATAGCTGGCGTCATCTGGGCGGCTGGTCTTGTTCACCAACACCGCCTATCAGGCCCACGACTGCAGACCATATCTGCATTGGGGCCCGGCCCCGCGCTGGGGCCAATAATGAAAGTGTCCAGCCTGCTGGCGTCATTTTCAGCACGGTGGAAAGCCGGATCAGGTTTTGTGAATGCTTGGGAGACAGTGGTCGAAACACTCTGGCAAGTGCTATAGTCGGCCACGATGCAATGCTTCTCCGCACAGAAATTCTCGAGGCAACCCTATATTATTCCTCTTTCAACACGCTGCGAAGGTGTTTCTACTATCTAAAATGCCCATTCTACAATGGGTAGACTATCGCATGGTCGACCGATCAACACCTTGCCTGTACGACTCTTCAACTCCATCATAATGCAAGCTAAGGTGGTCATTCTTTCCATCCCCACAGCCCCAGCAGGTCTGTCCCTGCATATTGAGAATGGCGACCCTTGCTCATCTGAGAGTCGGTGACGAAGAGATTGAAATGATAGGGGTGTGCTGGCCTTCGCATCGGACAAAGTGAGCTCTCGTATGCGGTCCAGTCGGGAGAAAGAATTCGCCGCAGGGTGATCAACCAATTTAAGGGGTCGATTGGGTCCGTACAAATGGTTTGTATGTGCCACATATCCATCGTGTGGCGAGATTAAGACGTTACCCCTTGGAGAACACTCAACATCGACATGCTTCCCCTCTGCGTCGGCAAACATATAGTTGCTTGTGCTGGCCAAGCCAAATTCGTCCAAGATGGCCAGCGCCTCGTCAACACTTGTGGCGAATTGCAGGAGACGACGCGACATGACATGAACGGGCAGATTGGCGTTATTGAAAGCGCCGGACCGGATGGCATTCATGCACAAGCCGAAACCAGCACTGTTCATGCCTATTTTGCCAACGATTCCAGCTTCGCCGAGAAACCTCATTGCACAGTCAGACCCTTGGGGTTGGATGTGTAGAAGAACCATTCCGTTTTGCAGTTCTTCTAACCAGTCCCAATTCTGGGCCAGAAACATTGTTCCATCTGGTCCTACCTGGCTGATCGACGTACAGCCATCTGTGTAGTTGGTCAGACAGATCTCACTGCGGACGTTGAGGGTCAATATGTCGTCGCGTGTCAGACCACGGCCGGCCCCGTCGGCGATTCCAGCCATCTCTTCAAGGATTTCAGGATACTTGGCATTGAGAGTTGGAACAAACTGTCTCACGGCCCGCTCTCGTGCCGACTCCCAAGTAATCTGGGCTGTTTCCTGGAAGAAGCCAGTGTATGTTTTGATGTTGCTGTGGACTTCAGCAGCCGCAGCCACGCCGTGCTGATGGCCAATCTCGTAGGGAGTGCCCGAGCAATGGACTGTTTTGATCACTGGATGGTCCATGGTAACTCTGCTTTGGATCGCCATCTGATCGGTTCGGAGATGTCCTGCGCAAACTTGATGGCACAAGGGTCACAACAACAAAGACGAGCAAAATCAAAACCTGTGCCACACGGGGAGTATTCCTTGAAGATTGATTCCTCCTTAGAGGTGTGAATCTTATAATTCTCATGGACGGTCACAGAATCCCACGCTCCAGCTCTGAACGGGCTCGAAATCCGCATTTTTACGGGACTCTGCACCACGCGCTGGTAGACGGATCTCAGCGAGGGCAGTCGTACCCTTTTCGCCTGTCGCCGTGGGGGTGGATCGGGGATTCGCGGTTCCTCTAGACATCTTTGAGACGGGATGGCGGAGTCTGTTTCAAGCCATAATAGCGGTTACGACGGTCTGTTGCCCTTTTCTCAATGCCGCATACCCGAGTCTCATGGTCGAATGCGGTCGAGAGCGAATACAAGATTACGCGTTTACCAAGTCCGGGTCAACGCCCTCGAACCCCAGTCTGCTGAGGACCTGTGTGTGATGGCAATACTCTGGCGTGCAATGGTCAGCTTCACGGACTTTGGAAGCACCTGCGTCTGAATAATCAGATTCTAGTAATCAGAGTCTAGTTGCGCAACAAGGAAAAAGATCTTCGCAACAAAATGCCTATCAAGACTACTTAGGGGGAACGTAGGCACCCGTCTGATCCCACTCATGGTTGTTATGATACAGTCCGACTCCCTGCCCGTCTCTTTTCCAGATTTGACCGTCCTTCATGACAAAGTCGACCTTTCTCAGGGCATTCTTATCCTCTCTCGGGTCTGAAGCGAGGGCGATGATATCGGCCCTCGTCCCCTCTTCAAACCATCCGAATCGCATTCCACACAGGTCTCCTCCGCACGCCTCCCAGCCTCCCACGAAGCACGACTCCAGTACATCTTCCAGTGGGATACCAGCCTCAAGCATGAGCTCCATCTCCCGAACGCCTTGGCCGTGGGGATAAGGGCCCGTGTCTCCTCCACAAGCCAAGCGGACGCCGACGTCGTAGGCCAGCTTTGCCTGTGCTTTGATCTCATGGTATCGTCGGTGATGGACCCGCTCACAAACAGCAAGGGTGGGACAGAAGACAACGTTCTTCGCCTTCATTAGCTCAAAGAGCTCCCTGTCCGCGAAATAGGCATGTTCCAGTGTGTGCACACCAGCCTCGATGGCGATCCTGGCTCCCTCGATAGTCCCTGCGTGACATGCCACGGGTGCCTTTCCCATAGCAGCTTCCTGGACCAGAGCCTCGACCTCATCCTTTGCGAAAACGAGCAGGTCCGGGTTTGGATCAGCTGGAGGATGCGTCACGCCGACTTTGTAAGGATGCTGTTGCGCAGGTGGGTATCGCATGATTCGGCGACGGTAGTCGGCGAAGAACTTGATCACGTCTGCCCCAGCGGCCAAGCGTCGCCTCACCGCAGTGCGCACTGCCTCTGGACCGTCGACCGCCTCTCCCCCCATTGGAAGGCACACACCGCCTGAAGAATTCTCTGTGCGTGGCTCATAGGATCCCGTGCTGGCGAGAGCACGTGTCGCGACGAACATTCGGGGACCAGGCGTGAAGCCGCGGTTGATGCAGTCGCGGAGCTGAGCGTCGCCTTCTCCCATCGACTCGGAGCTCAAATCTCTACCAATCCGTAAGGAATCAGCGGGATGATACTTTTCCAGACAACCAAGAATGGAGGAGCGTCCGGGGAGAATCCTACCGATAGGTCGTGTAGCCCGCAAGCAGAGCTGTTCGGACGTGATTCACCGCGCGGACAATCCTCTCGACGGTGCTCTCGTCGCGTTTCTGCAACAGCGATGCTCGTTCACTGTACCCAAACATCAGATTTTGCGTTGTAACGGTTCAAGCGTGGAGACACTTACTCGTATGAGTGGAGAAAGACATGTGTATGTGCGTCTACAAAACCCGGCATGACAATGCTTCCACGAAGGTCGACGTCTCCCTCTGGCACCGAGTCACCCAGTGACCCTGATGGTCGTTGCGAGACTGCCTCAATCAGGCCTGTCTTGGGGTTGACGGTGATTGAGACATCGTTGACAAATGCTTTTTTCTTTGGGTCGAACAGCGTCGACGTGTGGACGGTATATGGAGCTGCCATTGCTTACTTGGTACTATTGTCGAGTAAGAACTTGTCGAGTAAGAACTGATATGGACAAGAATACAGTGTAGCACTCTTTTGATGACGGGAAGGGGTATCAAGTCCCTTTTGAACATATATCCTCTCTCCTCCGTCCTTGATACTCCGCGTAACAGTCAGTACCCTTTGACACTGGGGTCTTGTCACCTTATCACATCGGGCTTGCTTGCTTGCTAATCGGGGATTCTTTGCTGGACCCACAAGATTCGGCATTCGACGAACTGAAGCATCCACTAAGAGCCGGCTAGCCTTTCCGGGATATTCTCTTCCCCACATCGGCATCGGCGAACAGCGCTTCGGCAGGCGTGGTCTACGCTCAAACCCGTCTTGGATACATGTACGAGGTAGTCGGATAGTCTCACACCCTAGCCTACCAGGTCAAGACTCGCTTTGTGCCGTTTTCAGGGTCCCAGGGTGGTGATGAAATTGAAAAGTTATCCGCACTGGTTATACAGCAAGGAGGAGGCTTGACCTATGTGCATGATGTTGTGTACTCTGACATATTGTTCAAATATGGTCCTAACAGGTAATTGTGATTTATTATTGCCACGCACACGGCGTATTTGATCCCGGACATAGCAAACAACGACAATCCCCAGATCTCACGTCTGAATACCTGATTGCATACAAGAATTTTTATCCTGTGAAAGAATCACTCATCGAGCCCGTCATGTCTGTATCTATCCTTGCCGCAGGAGACATCGTTCTCAGTGACAGGCTCAACCGGACGCCGGGTCCGGGGACTGTGTACGACAGACTCCAAGCGGCAGACTCGTGCTTTGCGAACCTCGAAATGCCATTCTGCAAAGACGGGTATCCCGCGGAAAAGTTGATCGCGCTGAGATGCGACCCGCAGCACGCAAGGGTGATCCGAGAGATTAGCGTCGACGTCGTCACGGTCGCCAACAACCACGCCATGGACTACGGCATGGAGGGCATGCGTATGACTTCCCAGGCCCTCGACAGAGTTGGCGTTGCCCACGTCGGCACCGGGGCGGACATTTTCCAAGCATACGCGCCGTTCCTCAAGACCGTCAACGGCGTCAAGGTGGCGTACATCGGCGTGACGACGACGTTGCCCAACGGCGCCGGGGCGGGCGTGTCGCGACCGGGACTGGCCGGCGTCCGCGTCTTTAGCAAATACGTCGTCGACACCGTCACCATCGACGAGTCCCCCGGCATGGCCCCCTTCGTCGAGACCGAGACGTACAAGCCGGACGAGGAAATGCTTCTGCAGACGATCCGCCACGCAAAGACCCAGGCCGACGTCGTCCTCGTGGCCATCCACTGGGGCGTGCCGTACGGGTGGATCCACAGGACGCAGGACGAGGTTGCCACGTACCAGCGGCCGCTGGCGCGCGCGATGGTCGAGGCCGGCGCGTCGGCCATCTTCGGCCACCACCCGCACGTCGTGCAGGGCGTCGAATGGCACGAGGGCAGCCCCATCTTCTACTCCCTGGGGAACTTCATCTTCAGCAACACCGTCGTCACCCCCGCCGACAGCTGGCGCACATACCCCCCCTACGACTGGAGCAGTCTGCAGACCACGCTGTCCAACATCGGCGCGCTGGCAAAAGTCACTTGGTCCCGGGGCAAAGTGTCCGGCTGCTCACTCGTCCCGATCACGATCGCGGAGGACGGCGAGCCCATCGAGGCTACGGAACAAGATGCCACTACGCTCCTGTCGCGGCTGCAGGCGTTGTCCAAGGATCGCGCGACCCAGTTTACATTGAGAAAGCAGAAGGCCGGGTACGAGATTGACATCACCAGGATAACGGGACCGAGTCTCTAGGCGAAGAAGGCATGGCGAGCAGTGAATTTTTGTAGATTTCTCAATTAGTTTGACTGTGGTTGCAAAACCTGAGACCAATTGAATCAACGGTGTGTCTAGTTAACCTGAAGCGTCGATCTTCTTTCCAACAGAGCTCCCTCGTCTGATATATAGTGTATCGTTTGATATAATAGTGTCCAAGTGTCCATCTTTATGTTACAAATTTTAGGTCACGCATTAGACTGGGTCCGAAATGTCCCCAATTTGAAGCTATACTCTGTACAAGTACCCGTTCTTAAACCAACGAGTTGTATAGGTAGCAGTGACACCTGCACGCGAATCGGCCCTCCAGAACCCAAAACAGATATTCGAGGGAGTATTATGTACGTGACGGATCAAAGCGCGTCGAACAGTGCCGACTTCGTCTGATATACGCTGTAAGCTAGACCTTCACAGTCTCCATGTCCATAACAATATGTGAGATTGCCTATTGCACAAGCTCTTTTTTTTTCCTATGGCAGCTCTCTGATCGTGACAAGTCGAACGCTGTCTGAAGCTCCCCCGAAAGATCCATGGCCACTTTCTTTCAGAGTGCGTAGCGGAAATACATGTTTTCCATGTCCGTCAGGTCCAAGAACTCCTGACCCTCGGGCTGAGGAGGGAGGTCGCCGGCAATGGCGTCGCGCCTCTTATTCTCGCGCCAGTTGAGAAGCCACAGGCCCAAGATGCACAAGGACGAGGCCAAGTAGACGCCCAGGATGGTGTACTTTGCTTTGGTGTAGTACGGGGGATCCTGGAATGTCTGAGGGCCGATCAGGAAGCCGACGCAGTATGCGATCAAGACCAGGGCGTTGACGGTCGTCTTCTTGGTGTAGCCTGCGACGTTGGTGCTGACAATGCTGAAAATCAGGATGAGTGGGGACGGCGAGTTGCCCAGGATCACGTAGTAGACGACCAGTTGTCCGTAGCGGTATGCCGTGGGACCCTCGCTGGCCAGGCCCGTCATGATGGCGATGGAGGCGATGCTCAGTAGCATCGCGAGAAGAGCCGTCAACATTCGATTCTTGAGTCGGCCTGCAAGGTAGGGAAAGAAGAGATTCGTCACAATCTGCGTCAGGCCACTAGGCATGCTGAGGAGGAGGGTCGTCCGGGCATCAAACCCCCAGCCTTGGATCAGTAGGGCGAAGAACAGGGTCAAGCCGCCAGATGGAATCAACCACAAGATACAGAAAATGCAGCAAAGCCACGTCTGCAGTAAAACCCATTAGCACATTATTCGGTGATTGAAGAGAGCTGAGCATAGGCGTTTGGCAACGACGTACTCTTGGATCCGTAAATGCCTCACGAAACTGTGGCCACTTGAAAACTTTGCTCCCAATACCTTGCTGGTTGACCCGGAGACGTTCAATGGCAATGCGTCGATCGTGTTCGTCCAGCCATTTGGCTGTCAGAGGGGATTCCGGAAAGAAATAGAACATGAAGGCACCAAAGACGGCGGTGAGTCCACCAGAGAGGACGAACAGGGCCTTCCAACCAGGAAAGGTGATGCTGGGGTTGCCCAAAAAGCCCGAGGCGACACCGTATGCGAAAGCACCTCCCCCAATCTGCGCCGCCGAGTTTCCGATGTACCAAAATGCGGTCCGTGTAGCTTGTTCATCTCGTTGGTACCACCGGGCTGTGATGAGCACGAACCCGGCCGTGACGGCGCCTTCGAGGGCACCAAGGAAGAAGCGGACAACCATCAGACTTGCAAAGTTGGTGCACGCGGCATGCAGACAGAGCACGCCTCCCCACGCGATAATGACACCAGAGATATATGTGGCCAGAGGATAGCGCTGCATGAGCCGATTGTGTGGATAGGCAAATGCCAGGTATCCGAAGTAGAAAATAGAACCCAACCTGCGTCACGACGTCAGAATCAACCGACTGTTCAACTCTTTGGGACATGGAAAAGCACCGAGTCAACGAGCTAAGGACATACCACGCATATTGAGAGCTCGACAAATGGGTATCTTTGACGATGCCCATGACAGAAGCATAGCTCAAGGCTGTTTTGTCGAAATATTGCACCGTGAATGTCAAAAACATCCATGGGATAATATGACGGTCGATGGTCCGCCGGATGCGCTTGTTGTCTTCAGCGCTGTACGTGACAGCTTCGCCGACAACATATGAAAGAGCTGCGTCGGCCTCTCTGGTGACTTTGACAGGTTCCTCGATGTCGAAGGTTTTTTCGGCAGCAACAGCATCCTTCATGTCCTCGGTAGTCGACGGCATTGTTGGCTAGGAGATATAAAAAGGTGCGTTTCGCAGAGCACCAACGGCTTGTGCATTCAGTCGCAGTCGAATATTTTGTTGGATGATGGTGATGACAATAAAGCAAGATTGGACGAACATGACCCTTCTCTCGCGACAGATATTCTCCAGTCAATCCATTGTGTCTTTATACCTGCAACGGCACAGGGCGAACCCTACAGACCCAACGAGCTCCTCTTCCCCAGATTCGATCCAGACTCAGCTGTTAGGAAGCCACGAAGAGTGCCGAGACCATGCCGATAATGATTAAAAAAAGGAGATAGCCTAGAGTTTTTCATGGCCTCAAGGTCAACTCCGTTGCTAATCTCGCAGTGGCAAAATCTTGTCCCTTGGCAAATGCTGGAGAGTTTCTGCCCACTGGCACAAACCCCAGATGTATCTGGGAACTAGAGTTAATCAGACGATAATTCGGGAAGACTATGAGAGTATCTCTGCGCGTTACCCGATTGGCTCATGAGGATCTCCATACTGTTAGTATCCACAACCGTCACATGTACATTTCTCCACCTTTTCCATGCCGAATATCTGATTCCAGCTCTGTATGGAGATGAAATGTATGGGGTGGGATGATCGTTTACCGAGAAGCGTCGCGGAGTGCTTCTCCAATCTCGCGTAAACCCGAGGTCGAGCTCCGCCCGTTGTATCGAGTCTGCCGGCAAAGGCCCAGACAAACGTGTACCGAGTACTCTCTGAATGAGATGTGGACATGTCCAGGTCCACGGCCGATGTTGAGATGTAAGGTTATCGTTAATAAGTTGATCAATTTCCGGCTAGTTAATCAGACACACAGATTCTCGAGATAACCCTTTTCTTCTGTGTCCGTCTCTTTGATACATGGTGTTGCTCGATCTCACCTCTCGACAGCCCAGGAGTCATATCATCAACGAGATAAGCCAATGGGTTCAGAATCGGAAGGGGTCCAATCGCCAATTGTGACCCTGCCGCAAGGAAAGCTGAAGGGTACCGTGCAAACAGATGGATTGCCCCAGCCGGTCGAATGTTTCTTGGGTTGCCCATACGCGCAGCCTCCAGTGGGAGACCTCCGCTTTCGACCCCCTACTGCCCTCGAGCCCTCGATCGAGACCTTTGACGCTTCGAATTATGGAAAGGCCGCTCCGGGAAACCCTTTGATTCCTCCTCGCATCCCTCTCGTCTACGGCGAGGACTGCCTGACGGTCAACATCTTTAGACCAAGGCTGAAGCACGCTGACCGCACTCTGTTACCAGTGCTCGTCTACGTCCATGGAGGGGCGTTCAACCGGGGTAACTCGTCCATGCAGAACACCGCATCCATGGTGGCATGGTCGGAGCAGCCTTTCGTGGCCGTGTCTTTCAACTACCGCGTGGGGGCACTTGGGTTTCTCCCATCTAGGAGATCTGCGGAAGAAGGTATTCTGAACTTGGGGTTCCAGGACCAAAGGTTCCTGCTCCATTGGGTTCAGGACAACATTCACGCATTTGGTGGGGACAAGAATAATGTCACTCTGATGGGACTGTCTGCCGGCGCAATTGCTGTAAGTTCTCCAAAATCCCTCCTGGAAGTCGAGCGGGATCTACGAGGTACTGACCACTCCAACCATAGATTGGACACCTCATTCTTCACTACAGCGATGATAACCCCGGTCCCTTCCACCGAGCAATCATCCAGTCTGGATCTGCCACGACGAGGGACTGTCGACGTTACGACGCCGACGCGATAGAACGATACTTTCAAGACTTTCTCGCCGCGACGGGCTGCCGACAAGATCTTCCCGCGGCCGACACGTTCGAGTTCCTCCGCAAGCTGCCCCTCTCGGTAATTTCTGCGGCCCAAGATACCGTCTTCGACAAGTACAAGGCTACGATGCAATGGGCCTTCCGGCCCGTCATTGACGGCGATATCATTCGCCAGGCCCCGACCGAGAGCTGGCGCCAGCGAAAGTACTACAAGATTCCCATCTTGACCGGGTTCTGTTCGCACGAGGGATCGTTGTATGTGGACAAGACTCTGTCCAACCCCGAGCAGTTCACACAGTTCATGCGCGTGCTGCTTCCCAGTCTGCCTGACGAGGATATTGCCCAACTGGATGCGCTCTATCCGGATCCATCGACCGGCGATCCCACGTACCAGGATGAGCGTGTCAGCACTGTCGGTATCGGGCCGCAGTTCATGCGCACAGAGGCGGCGTATGGCCAATTTGCTCTCATCGCCCCGGTTCGCCAGACTGCACACTACGCCTCGTCCCTGCCGGGCGCACCGCCCGTGTACCTCTACCACTGGGACGTGTGGACGACGCTGCTCAACGGTGCCGCGCACGCGGACAACCTGAAATACGAGACATACGACCGGGAAACCACGTCACTCTCCGAGGCGCAAAAGGAGGTCTCGGGCATGTTCCACGCCTACCTGACGAGCTTCATCTGCAATGACGGCGACCCAAACAAGTTGCGCGGCAGATACAAGCATCGACCAGAGTGGAGGCCCTACACCCCCGATCAACCGCTCACCATGGTTCTGGGAAAGGGAAATAGAGAATTAGTCGGCGGCGACGGGGGTATACCGGCCGAGCTGGTCCACGAGACTTGTTATGATGAACAGTGTAAATTTTGGTGGGAAAGGACGCCCATCACGCAGCAGTAGTTCAAAAGTAGCTATTTGAGCCATATGTCGGTTGAATGAATGGAGCAGATTCGGACGGCCGGGAACTACTATGTTATTGTTCTCTAGATAACCTCCTTTAGCCCGGCTAATACCTGAAAATTTTCATACAAGAGCAGTTACTCGCCCTTCCTGTCAGCATGCTGCCCTGCCATGTATTCAGGACTGCAAGGATAGTCGGTATACCCCGCCGGACTCATCTTCAGGTAGAAGGATTCTCGATGGTAGGGGTTCAACGGAAGACCCTCGGCAAGTCTGTACGGCAAGTCGGGCGTGCTTATGTAGAAGCGGCCAAAGGCGACACACAGGTTCGAGTTCGTGTATACCTCGTCCGTGGCCTTCTTTGCCGTCTCGGCCGTGAAGCCGCCGGCGAGGATGATCGGGGCCTCGGATCCCCAGAGCTGGATGAAGGGGTTGTTCCGTCGGGTCAAGACATGGTACGATGCGTTCGCCACGTCGCCGGCGTAGCGACTCTCGACGAGATGCAAATAAGCTAGGTCGAGCTTCTTGAGCTCCGAGATCAGGTAAGTGAACTGGGGTACCGGGTCTGCCATTCTCTGACCGTCAAAATCAGTCCACGGCGAGAGACGGACCGCAACCCGTTTGCTGTCGCCGACGGCAGCAATGAGCGCTTTGGTGACTTGCAGGGGGAAACGGGCACGGTTCTCGATACTTCCACCGTAGTCGTCGGTGCGGCGATTGCACACGTCTTGGAGGAACTGGTCTGGAAGATAGCCGTTGGCGCCGTGGATCTCGACCCCGTCGAAGCCAGCCGCCATGGCATTCCTCGCTGCCGCAGCGTAGTCGTCGATGAACACTTGGATCTCCTCGTGCGACAAGGCGCGGGGTGCTGGAGCGTCTTTGCTCAGGGGTACTGCGCTTGCACTGACCAACGGGTAAGGACCACCTTCGGCTCGCCGGAGAAGGTCAGGGTCTGCCCTCCGACCCAAGGCCCAGAGTTGAAGGAAAATGAAGCATTTCTTCTTATGCACGGCGTCTGTGACCATCTTCCAAGCGGCGATGTGTTTCGAACTCCAGATTCCTGGCACATTGGCCATGCCCGATGCCCGAGGGCTGATCAATGTGGCCTCGGTGATGAGAAGCGTCCCCGGTGTCGACGCACGCTGTGCGTAGTAGAGAGGTACAAATTCCATGGGAAGACCGTCATTGTCGGTCCGGAATCGTGTCAATGGAGCCATGACAATCCGGTGGTTGAGTTTGACATTGCCGAGCTGCAAAGGTGAGAACAGCCGTTCACCAGGCATGATGAGAGCGTTTCCAGTGCTTCAGATGGTCAAAGTGCTGTGTTTACTACTCACTTCTCCTTCTTTGAGCAGGTGCAGGTGCTTTTGAGACATGCTTGGATTTGTAATCCCATCGATACTAAATCCGACATTTGAATGTCTCAAGACGATTCCCAATTCTTGTCCTGTGAATGGCTCCGTGGGAAACTGGTGATTATTCAACTTCAGTGTTGATGAAATAATATGAAGCGCGGCATTTGCCGATCTCAGATGGATCTGTCCTAATAATTGGATACGGAGTTGCGCTGGTTGGTGAGCGAGTCTCACGCTTAGCCCCGTCCACGGCACGAAATAAGGGAGTGGATGCCTTTGACAGCAGGGAGTGATCACCATCCCTCAGGGGTTTCTGAAGTGGAGTGACCTCGATCTGTCGTTGTATGTCGCCCTCGGCCTCTTGATCTTGTCATATGTCGCTTGTAATGGGAATGAACTGGCTGTTGATGTGAGGGAGTTGAGACCCAGACGCCACGGCTGTGGTAAAGCATCATCACTGCCATCTGGATAGTGCAGTGTCTTGGTGACATCTGGCACCGCTCAAACTTCGTCGTTTCCAGCATCGTGCATACGGCCAGAGTGCAAATCATCGTAACGGCTGTAAGCGATCTTTAGAGGTAAAATGCGAGAGGATATTAAGGCGTACCCTCTCTGTCAGGGCAAGTACCAAGCTTACATGACCCCCAATTGAGGCAACTGTAACATAGCTTGCATTCGAAATTCAAAACGTCTTGAAGGTTCACAAGTCGCGGTAGTTGAAAAGAATCATTCAACGAATTGGTAGCAGGCCAAAACGCAAGATCTCAGCTCAAGCTTCCTCAAGTAATGCAGCAAAGATCTCCTCCGAATCAAGTCCAGAGAAGTCCCATACCATTGGGTCGATGTAGTTGAACGGGTAGGTTTCTGGGAATATGGGAAGACTGGGATCTAGGCTCGATCGACTGCCTAACCACGCGGACGTGTTAGAAGGACCCTCGGGCTCAGTAGAGAGTTGAATATTCGAAGTCTGTAAGATAGAATTAGATGCTCCCAGCAGCTGTGAGGATGTATCCGACGGCTGGTACTGTAACAGCACCTCAGGTCCTACAGTATGAGTTGCAGCCGTTTGATTTGGCGATGGTGTCAAAGGAAACCTGGTCATGTGATCAATTTTTTCTCTCAAAGAGAGAGTCTCAATCCTTGACGGGTCCTGCCCATCTGACCACCGTTGCAATACCTCCAAGACCGAGGTGGAAAGATTGTCGAGGGTGGACGCGTGTGGCAAAACGGATGGCCATCGACGAGATATTTTCCAGAAGAGCACCGGAAAAGTCTTGACGTATCTGGTCAGGATGCTAACATCCTCTCCTTCCAGGTGTTGACGATCCGGAGTGGGAGTTTCAAGACTGATCAGGATAGATGAGAGCAGGTACAGCCCAGCCTCTATGACACAGAAAGCGGCGTGCCATAGCATGAACATCTTTCCTAATCGATCAAGCACGCTGAATTCTTTGATCAAAGTTATCGACGCTTTCAGAGCTCTCTTGTGCATCTCCTTGGTCGGTGCAGGGCAACGTGGAGAGGGTCGGTTCAATCTCAAGACCTGAACTTGAAACAATACTTCGTGGAACTCAATTTTTTCCGTCAGATTGACACTCTGGCGGACTTTTTGGTACCAAGCATCGAGCTGGGCTTGCATTTGCGCAAGCCATGCCTCGAACGAACCAGGGCCAGTGAGAGCTGTAAGCGGCAAGTCGAAATGGTACAAACCGAAAGTGATATCACACTCTATCTCTCTCAGCGACCATATATGAGCAGAGTGTGTTGGTGTTGCTAGCGACTCCGACTCCGGGAACTGAACATTGAACACATTAGTCACTTCGAATCGGATTACGGGGAATGAAACACTGCAGGTACCTTTGCTGTGATCTCGGACCTTTTCCATTGGTATGGCAGACTCCGAACGACGTGAGCAGCCCTGCCAAGGTCAATCAGCATCACCAGAGCAAGGGTGCGGAATGTAGTTAGATCTCACGCATCTATGCCATACGCATTCCAGAACATCCTTCGCCGCGTATTCAAGACTGCTGAACTCAGTTTCATCTGTCGAGGGATTGGCAATTCTTCATGCAAGCCGAACTGAAATGCCATTCTACTGGCAGCTGAGGCACAATGACTGACGTTCACATGTTGGGGATTTAGAAAGCCGTAGTGTGTGAGAAGCTGCAGCGCTTGGAGACGTTCCCACGAGGCAGTCAGTCCAACCTGCTCCAGGTGAACCACGGCGGTAGCCCAGAGACCGTATGTAGTTGACGCCGCCCGTTTCTCGTCAATGTAGCTCAGGGTGTTGGAGCTGATGGCCAGAGTGATGCATATGACGAAGGCGTCATAGCCGCTGAGTTCTGGACTCTCATACACCCTATCCCTGGCTCGGTACAGATCTGCTTCGGCAATCGATGGGTATTGAGGAAGATATGTCTGACAGTAGTGTTTCAGCATGGCGTCAATGACATGGACAGGAATGGAAGAGATGGCCATAGGCCGCCACGACTGATCCATCGATTCGAGATTCTCTGACTCGTCCCAAGCTTGCTGGTTGAACTGAGGTAGAGGTGCATCAGAGAGGAAATATGTTGATGTCAGGGGAAGGAGTGGCTCTTGCTTGCGCGTTCGGCCAGTCGGTTCCGCAATCGCCATTGCGACGAGCTGTGTTATCGTATCCACGCCATCAGGCTGTGCTTGGGTCTTGATCGCAGCGAGGTCGATCTCGAGTTGGGCAACTTGTGCCTCCAGATGACGGACCATGCTCCGAGGTTTGTCGGAACCACGAAGCGGATCGAACCCCAAGCACGTCACTCTAGCAGAAGCACAGGCGCCGCACGTCGGGTATTGGAAATCGCACTACATGATATTATCAGCGAGCTGGAGTTGGGTGCCGGTGAGACTGAAATCAGGACGATAATTCATGGAATGATACTTGCGTACCCGTATTTTTCTCTTCCGACAGCGCCCACACGCTTTGCTCTGGCGATGTCTCTTTGAAGATTCGGGAGTTGCAGACGCCATGACAATTGGCTCATACAGTCATGAGAATTGGAGGCATTGCCATGAAAGAATGTGGTCCAGATTCAAGGTCTCAGCAAAGGAGAATTGATAAAAGCTGTGTGAATAGAAGTCGAGAAAAGAATCACCCCACCTTCATCAAGGCTTTCAATTGGTCTGCATTTTACGGGCATGGAAGGGGCAGCCCCAGGGATCGATTTGCCTCTCCAAATGGATAGTCTTAGGGACCTCGGGCCCTCGGGCTTCCCCGTACTCCCCCATTGCGCCCACCCCACATACGCCCCTGACACCTAAGGCCAACAATGCCCGGAGCTGCAAAGACTGCGTACAATCAAGTCGCTGTCCAGATCACTTTGGAAAATACGACTATTACGACCAACACATATCTTACTACTGAGAGCTTCACTGGAAAAATCCAACTCATTGCCAACATATTCAGAGAATCCGAGCTTGCAAAAAACCGAGCAAAACTTTGCGAAACTTGTCGGTTTCGTCCGACTGTGGGCTGTGTCCTGAGTGCTCAAACACTTCCAGCTGTGCATCTGGAATGCCTTTAGCCATCTCCTCAGCAAAGCTCACCGGGGTGACATAATCATAGCGTCCGACAACGACGAGCGTAGGAGCCTATAAGATCAGCAGCAGGTCACAGAAAAAGAAGGACAGAAGGGACGTTACTTTGATATCCGGGAGTCGCTGTCGAACGTCGAAACGAGGCATGTTATAACCAAACGCCCAATTTTGGGTCTTGAAATGAAACTTGCCACCTGGGCCAAAGAATTCGCCAGAGGTAGTAACCTGGTCCCCAGAATCCGAGGTCCTCTTCAACGAAGCGTGCTCAGGAGGTGCATAAAAGGGGAGCAGTTCTGCAATCGCATCCCGGTAATCCTCGTCGTTGAGCAGATTGCCGGACCAGACGCGGACCTGACGATCCTTGTCCACCTTGACCCGATCCGACAACAAAATGTTGGCCAGAACACCCATCGCGCCCAAAGTTCCGACCGTCCACGTATCAATCAATATCAGGCCCTTCAGGCGGCCTGGATGGTTGACAGCATAGTCAAGGGCGAGAAAGCCGCCATAAGAATGGCCAGCAAGTACAAACGTTTCTACCTGTGTCCAGGCCCTAGCCTCGCTGTTAGTCGTCCACGGCGCTCTTATGGCGCGTCCACATACCTGAGATAGTCGATGTCCTTCATCCAGCGTTCATGTGTGAACGGCCCACTCATGTCAGACGCACCACTTCCCCTTCCATCAAAGACCAGAACTTGGAAGAGTGAAGAGAGATGGGCGAAACAGGCCTCGGGCTCCGCATGAGTGAACAGTCCCGGTGCTCCATGAAGGGCCATCAGTAGAGGCTTGGAGCCGGATGGGTCGTGTCCGAACACCTTGACGTGTAACTTGGCACCATCATCGACCTGGACCGTGAACTTGTTTGCTTCTACCATTGCTGCTTTGCTTCGTTGAATTAGGAATGGGAACCACAGAGCCCAGATCTGAATGATTTATCTTGCGTGATGGAAGGTTGGTCAGTCAAGCAAGCCTCCTCCGAGGGCAAAATATAACACTTGAGAAAGGATAAGCGTTATTTGTCATCTGCTCCATTTTGTGCCCGAGCTTAAACAGCATCTTTCTTTTTTCAAGATAATGCTTGCTACTGGCAACAACAAGCAATGGGTCTGGTGGCAATGGTGAAATTCGCTTCCTTCCTGATATTCGCGGAGAAAAGCTTCATTGGGGTGCCAAGACACGGATTAATGCGGCCTCTACTGAATGCCGAGAGAGACGGGCACGTGAGTGCACCAAGGGAGGATATGGCTGACATAACAATTGATGCTTGTTCCACATGACTATGACCGATAAGGCAATGTCTTATTGGTCAATAGTTGGTCATATTTGCACGAGGCACATCAAGAATCAAGACTCAGTCTTGACGTTAGACAATGTAAACCACACAGACCCAACTCCGGCCAATCCACACAACTCTGCCCCGGCTCTGCACTTCTCTACATGACTCAGTCTCAGCCTTGAATATTCAAGTCCCGATACGTGCAAGGGAAGATACATCTGCAGAATTACACGTCAAGGGTACCCGTTCTGGAAACTTCATCTGTCGATCAGCCCAGAAAAACCTTCTCATATCCAACACCGGACTGTCAATAATGAGCACCAGGGCCAAGTTCAATCTCCAATGCAGGCTTCTCTCTAGGATCGAGCATGGGAAGCCATCGCTCAAGAGACTGGAGATACTCGGAGTCAAGAGTGCACGGCATCTGGGTGCTTCGATATAGGAAAGGCTGTCAATTCAAACCTTTCCAGTATAAGTTTGAGTCAATAGCAGACTACTTCATCAAGCCTAAGGTGACTTTGCTGGCCCCCGGGGCAAAATATCCGCCTCCAGCGTTCTCTTTATGGGGTACAGAACGCCAACGAGAAGAAGTCGAGCCACACGACAAATAGATCTGGCTTCCCCGCTTCTCCTTGAAGTAACCATCCCGCTTTTCGGCCCGTTGGCCGTGTGTGGGCTCATCATGGCTTACAAGTCGTGTCAGTCAAGCTGTACCCAAGAACAGCATTCTTATCGTGCTGCCGCGGATGTGGTAGCAAGTACTATAGCCGATACTATCTGCGGAAAGCCGGCATATAGGTGGGAAATTCCATTGGGAGGACACTATACCAATACGCGGGGGTTTGTTTCAGGCTGTGAGAACGATTTACACTGTCGACTACTTTTTCAGCACAATATCACTTGCCCAGAGTGGGAGCAAAATCCTCTGCAAACACCCTACATTATCGTCCTCGGTCGACTGACACACTGTCCATCATGGACGGCTCAGTTATGTCCACCAGGTGATTTCTCCCGGAACCTCTGAGGGCTCCCCATGTACATGTTGGAAAACAGGTGCCCACATTGCTGCAGCCCGTTGGGAGGGAGTACCATTGGCATACGGTCGGGGGGGGGGGGGGGGGGGCACGACCAAGCGTTTCTCTCCTGAAACCTCCACAAACTGGCCAGCAATGTCCTTGTTGTCGAGGAAATATAGGAATGCATCTATCACACTATCCATTGACGTTGTACTACAGAACAGAGGTTTGTCAGACAGTGCTCACAGGGAGTCCAAGTGATGATATACGTACTTTTCGTATCCATTTGCGTCGATCAAAGCTTGAGGGACAACCTCTGCCCTCACAATCCCGGGGGCGACAGTGTTGAGCTGAATATTCTCTTTCTATACAAGGTTGTCAGCATCATAACACATCGCGTGGCGGCAGGAGACTTACTTTCTGCAGGATCGGGGCAACGGCGAGAGAAAAGCCAATGACCTGCCATCCGTGTCAGCGATCTTCGCGTCGGGTCTACCAGACACAAAGCATATAGAGACGCAAAAAAGTGCTTACTGCGGCCTTGGTGCCACTATACTCCGGGTATATGCTCGTACCATATAGCCCTGCTACACTGGCCACTGTGACGATTTGGCCTCCGGGGGTGGCATTCTGCCTCATGAAGTGTATGGCCAGCTGTACCCCATACATTACCGCCTTGAACGTCACATCAATTCCGAGGGTGTTTGGCTCCGGTGCCACCTCAGTGCTGCCTCGATGTCGGAAAATATAATAGGACGATCTCTCCACGATACCGGCATTCGGAATAAACGCATCCAGCCTTCCCCGGAGCTGCTTCACTTTCTGGAAGGCTTCCGCCTGCTGTTGGTAGCTCGAAACATTGCACTTGATGAATATGGTGGAAGGCGCGAGTTCTGCCGATAGTTTCTCGCCCTGTTCTTCGAGGATGTCGAGGATGGCGACGTGCCAGCCCCTTTTCACCAAATTGCGTACCGCCAGGGCACCGATGCTCGTCTTCTATACATCAGCTCCAGTATTCTTAGGGAGAGGTTGGATCCGCTCACTGCGGCACCGGTGGCAATGGCCACTTTCGCCGTATTTGGGTCATAGACAGCCATATTGATTGTTGATTAGGCGGTCGGGTCAATGTACAGATATTCATATGCGATTAATCATGTCGAGTCGTGGGACCTTGGAGACATTATGTCGGATCGTGTCACATAAAATGGTGTTAGACGAGGTAAGACTTCTAACCTCCAAGCAAATCGTCGTGATCTACGATTCGAACCTTCAAGGGGTGGGGAGGGGAGGGGCCCATTCGCGTGGAAATCCCGGTGCTGAAAGGGAACCAAAACGCACGGCAGCACAAACAGGCTTGGACTCTTTCCATCACGGCCTTGTAAGCTTGCAGGCTTGCCAATGATAGCAGAAGCCTGAGTACCAGGCATTGAATCCACACGGCCACCTCATGTAGAGCGCGCGGATTGGCTCGTATCGCTTTGACCGTCACTCTGTCGGGCGGAACATCTCCTCCACCGGATTCTGTTTCCCGTTTTGTTTCCTATACAGTTGAGGTGTGACTGTTGCTACGTTTCGGGCGGGAGAGACGGTTGATGGCAACCTTCCGGGCTTGGATCACCATGGCAGGGTTGGGGACCCGCACAAAGACCTGATGTGCTGCGAGAAGCTATATCCAACTACTGTTGGAGATGGATTTTGCCCTCGTTATGGATGTACGTGGGACCCATGAACCGTCACGGCAGCAATTCTTGTGGAGGCCATAGGGAATTCCTCTTGATGAGAACCTCACCTTCTTCTCCACCCTAGTTCACCGTCCTTCGCTACAAATGCAATACTTTGTACCATAGTCGACCTAGGTTCTCCCTTGGTTCTTTAGTGGCTCATAGATCCCTGAGTTTGGCAGGAATCCAGATCTTCTCCGATAGTTGCGAGCTTTAGTAAGACGGAGCGGCAGGATGTATCTGTGTCGACCCGACGAAGACGACTTGTACAGACGCGAAGCTGTATTGTCAAGAGAAGCGTCAGTGCCATCGTAACATGGACACATTGCATAAATATAAGACTCCGTAACAACCTCAAGCCCCCAAACCCCAGGTTCGGGCAATCAAAGAACAGAAGCCAAAAAAATACAGTAGCAGCGGTAGCAGTCCACTGGGGTCAATGAGATTCCAGATTCCAAGACAGAGCAAGGACTGAGAGGAATGTGACATACGCAGCAGTCGCCGCAAAGATCTCAACTCTCCGTGCCGTGGTGAAAATAGCCAGGCAGATGGAGAACAGGGCCGAGTAGGCCAGAAGGACCCCGAGCCGGTCCACCATGTTGTTGACAAAGTAAAGGGTGAAGATCGAGGCCGCGGGGATGGCCGAGGCAAGCACAACCCCTACCAGATGCGACAGGGCGCGGACATGGGTTTTGCGGTAATTGTAAATGCCACAGTCGGGGTCGACAGGTCGCTGAGAGAGAGGCGATTAGAGGGACAGCTCGCTATCTGAGGCCATGAGCGGGCGGCAAGGTAGTTGTACGTACCTTCCATCGATGTCCTATCAAGTTGTGAAATCGCCCGACAAGTTCATCCGACACCCATCGGGAGAAGAAGTCCTTCTCGACGGCTTCATGTGAGACAGTGACAAGATCGGAGGACCTATCGTCGCAGCTGGGGTCGTCAGGATCGTCAATGTGGAAAATATCGCGTTCGACGCCACCAAGAAAGTTGTCGCCATGGTCGCGGTGCTCGAGCCACACTCGCAGCGTTTTCAGATCGTGCTTGGTGGGATTCTGCAATGTGCACAGTTCCTTGTACTGGAGGAGCGACTCGTCTAGACAGACATCAGAGGGATGCGAATGCTGCAGCAAGGGGAGGATAACATGAGCGTACTGTATTCCCTCAACTTGACGCGGATTTTCTGGATGATGTCCCATTGCTCAGAGGGCTCGTCGTCGTCCTCCAGACCCTGGCTCAACTTATACCAGTTTCGTTGCGCTTCGATGCCTTTGAGGTCCTGCCTCTGTTCCTCATCATTCCGTAGATCTCTCAGTTCTGTCTCAAGATGAGTGATCTCGGCCTGCAAGAACAAAAGATTCTGAGCGTTCAGTGAACCGAAGCGACGAAAGATCGCCACTTCTGGCCAGGTGCCCATCAGATCCGACAGCTTGGGATAACTGCCCATACTCCAAGACCGGGGGATGCCAACTGGCGGGGCTTGCACCACGGCCGCTTCACTCTCTACTATCGTCTCCGGCGGTGACGATGATGGTTTTTCCACAGACATGGCGGGTGGATGGTTGGGTCCTTAACACGCCAAACTGAATCAGCTATTTGATTCCTGAGGCATAAAGTGGCAATTCCGGCCCAGCCGTTTTGTATCATTCACGAGCACATCTCATACGGCTGAAAAGATTGGGGCGGAGCAAATATGCAAGCTGAATGCACAGCCCACGCGGCAATCCCCCCTCCACACGAGGCAGAGCCGCATATGAGGGGCTGATGCGAGACCGGGCCATCTTGACGCATACAAAAGCCCCGGCCGCCGAAGAAGTAAGGCTGTCTTGGATGTTCAGGCATATGTGCTCATCAGCGGATGCCCACCTTGCCACCGCCTCTGTCACGCACAAAAGGCCATTCTCTCGCCAGTTTTCTGCTCACTAGCTGACGGTATAGTCCCGTCAATACCAGCGGTTTCACAAGTCCCCATCCTGTGCTCCCGTGCCGCCCCGGCCCTTTTGGCCCGAACCCACGCGGATGGCGCCTGATCGTCGGGCGCGCCTCCTCGCCTCGTTAAACTCGGTCTTTGGCCGTGATCCTCCACCCCACCAGGACAAGAAAGCGAGTGCTCTGCATCAACTGGCTTCGGCAGGTCTGGGTCTTGTGATTACGCATACTGAGGAGGACGCATGGGCAGAACAGGCTCGAAATGCGGCCTCGACTGTTCTCCAGGAGCTGGAAAAGGTGTGCAGCCCTGATCCTTTGCAGCCCGGCCAGCTGCCACGAAGGATTACGATAGAGGTTAGTGGGTTCTCCTGGAGCTAAATACATAATACCCCGTGCTGACAACGCTTAACTACAGGTCGTGGACGATGCCCAGTCCGAGAATGGAGTCCACCCCATCACCGGCGTAGACGACAATCCATTCGATCCCCACGCACAGACGGAAGACGACGAGAGCTACTACGATTTCGAGGAGGACATATACATTGTCAAAAATGAGGAGGGCAAAATCTTCAGCCGAGCCATGATCGACACGGGCATGGATGGGAATGCAATCAGCGTCGAGAAAGCCAGGTTGACAAACATACCAATCGAGCCTTGGACTGGAGGCCAGCTTCGTGATGCCGACGGAGAGCCGTTCAAGCCCGAAGGGTTACTGAAAGCCCAGTTCCATTTCAGTGGCAAGATGCAGACCAGCCGGAGCTGGCTGGTCGAGTTCATGGTTCTGCACAATCCTCCGTTCGACGTCGCCATTGGCAGGCAGTTTATCAACTCGGCGAGACTCTTCAAGAAGAGCGACGTGCTCCTTCCCATCGTGGTTGACAAGTCCAAGGATGCAAAAGCTCAGCAGATCAGCAACCAAAACGCGAAATGCGAGAGCGATCGCCAGAAGGAAGAGGAAAAAAGGCGAAAAGAGCTGATCCGCCGGAGAGAGAGGGAGAAGGCAGGTAAGAAGTGATAAGGGCCAGCGCTTCTCGGTCAGGCCTGCAACAGAACACAGAGTCGAAGCCGATGCCGTCACAAGCCCCGATGCAGAGTCTATAGCCAGGCGATTGCGAAGACACTCACAGGGCAAAATTGAGCCGAGGGACCGGACAATACGAGATCAAAAAGGTGAAGACGGTCAGTGCTGAAGTTGACACGATCCTGCTGACAACTATCGGATTGTGAGGTCAGCCAAGAGCGAGTGATTCAACACCCAGATATTAATCATGCGCCGGGAGGTTTCACTTATACTTGGAGGTGGAAAGGAGACTTTTATAGCGTCGAAACGAAGGCGGGCTACTACCACTACTAAGCTTGACTTAGAGAGTTTCACAGTCTAACTAGTGACTGATATTACCCTATGATTAAGGTTCTCTTTAGAGTTATTCCTCCTTACGTACCCTAATCAGACTCTAAACTCGATGCATATTATCCTATCCCAATTATTCTTCTCAAGACATACAATTCTTCTGCTCACAGTTGTCAGGATGAGGGGAGTATGCTATTGAATCCGAAGGGATCTCACTTCCCCTGAGACTGTGATCCACTTGACTCGACATGCCTCGCCACCCATCAATTCTACCCTCTCAGCATTCAAACAAACGCAATACGTGTCGCGCCCTCTGGTCCATACCATGCCCTCGAGCTTCGTCCTGCTTGAATATTGCATGGAGCTGTCCGGTCTGGTATTTTGAGTGACTGGTGCTGTGCCGAAGCTCGGGCCTCGAATCCGAACAATAGTGTCGCCTTGAATTTGTCCTGATCGTCCTCACAATTCCTTTCCATGCGGCAGTAATGGTATTGGAGCCGGCTCGCTAGATGTCTATCAGATCCTCCACCACCCCCTTGCTTGCTAGTCTCCGAAGGGAGAGCAGCCTCGGTTGCTGTGAGGTTATACTTTATTGGTAGGCTGTCATCCGTGAGTTGGTTGGTTAGTTGGCAGACGTTTGGCATTTCTGACAAGGCTGGCTGACTAAAGGGGTTTATCCATAATTTCAATTTTCTCAAGCCTTCCGTTGGTCTGCGCAATGCTTCTTGATAGAGGGTAGGAAGGACGACCTTGGCCTCTCCCGCACAGTTATTACCCGAGAATGGTTGTCAGAAGTCCTTACAAATTGCACGGTCTTCACTGATTTCGACACGAGCTGGGAAGGAGAGGGGAAGCAGGACACGGATCAGTACAAGCGGCCATGGTCCCGGGACGAGCAATCACAAGTGGCTAGAAGACAGAGAGGTGCCATTGCTGCACGAGTGACTGGATGACTTTGCTTCCCATTGCATTCTTTTCCCACCCTTTCAGCCACAGTCTTTTTCCGTTCCGGGAGGCCGATCATGTGACACGGACGCAGAGCAGGACGTCAGGGCTCTTCTGAGAGGAAGACGTAGAGAATTACGAAGCTGAAGGACGAAAGGACACAATGGTATATGAGGCAAGGAAGTTCAGAGCCTCGTCCGATCCACAGCGGATCCTGCCGAGTCGTGTCACAGACAGGCTAGTGTTGACTCGGGGGGTTTAACCAACGACGGTGACCGTGCGAGACATTTACTCAGAACAGCTGAACAAGGTAAAACTGACAAGCAAAATCATTAAAAGATGAGGGCCAAGAATAACACCATACGTAGCCTTCTGTGTCTGGAACATCGTCTTTTCTTTCGAGCACCTCCCCCCATCTTTTTGGTTATCGCCATAGCTCTAGCCTCTAAAGAAACCGTTTTTCCCGCCCGCAAAGGACATAAAATGTCACAAACAATGTGCCATGATCGTCGTTCATGTCAGATAAGTCCGGACCTCCCTTTTCGGGTCGTAAATCCCTTGAAACACCCATTTCAGCTTGTTGGTACGGCCCCCCCTGGACACATATATACCAAGATTTTTCAGAGCTGTTGGTGAGATCCGTTGTGGAACTTGTAAATAAAACAAGCTACATCGCGCAATAGGTCAGCGCTTGCTTTTGGAATGCTCGAGCAGCATCCACATATCCATAATTGCAATTCCAAGAGTCAGGATATCCAAACTCGGGTCGGCCTGAAGACCGATCAGCTCATTGCGAGCCCTGTCTCATGTCTTCTGTGCTTATGTCTCATCCCTCAGCACAGCGGGTGCGCCGAACTGATCGGCAATTTCCGTCTTGTACCGTGCCAGGAAGAGACCACCAAAATTCCGCAGATATTCCTGGCAGAAAGCAGTCAGAAACACTGCTTTGAATCGCACTGGACGCGTTAGGAGAGGCTCCGCACCCCAGGGATCCGTACCGACGAAACGAAACCTTTCAACCACCCATTCACATCGGCAAGCACTGTTGTAACATCCTTCCAGCGCCGCCTGACCCAGTCTTCAACCCGCCGATCTTTGTATCCCTTCCACCTCGCCCATACGACGAAGAGGAATACCAGACTTGCATCGATCATGATTTGCCGCACGAGTGCCCAGGCCAGCCATTTGACCCACGTTGATATTCGATAGAATATTCTTCTCCGCCTAGAGGTCTCCTCGGGGGAGAAAGAGGAAGAGGACAGTAAGTGATTTGCGGACAGTTGTTCTCGTAATGCAGCGACCTCGGTCGAGAGGTGTTTTAGGTGAGATTCAATACGACTTCGCCAGTCAGGATCAGAAGTCGCCTGCCGTGAAGCGGATAAAGGACCGATCACTGCATGGGTTACTGGGTCCACCTCTTCGCTCTCCACAATGTCATCGCTCCCTCCTTGTGACACCGGTGATAGGACGCGTAGTCGACTCGGGTCGGAATTTAACCTGCTCAAGCTTTCGCCTTCTCTTCGCGTGCTTTTACCGGGAGGTAGACTGCCAAAGCTCGTTGTTTGCCCCAGCCCAGCCCGCTCCAGTCGTCTTGTGGGCGACTCTGCGTCTTCATCCTCTGAGCTCCCGCTTTGGCTTTTGATCTGGTTCCAAACAAATTCCAGTTCCGCCACCAGCTCACGGGACTCCTGCGTGCCCGAGGCATATTCCTTCATCGTCTCTATTAGTGTACTGATGTAGCGTCGTTTCGCTTCGGTGCGGGACATGCCGGCACAAGCATGCCATGCGTCCCATTTCTCAATTTCGGCCTCGGCCTCTCGCACACGTAGGTCTCGAGATGCGTAGCGGTGAACGTTATTTGACTTGGAGTTATTTGGATCCGGCGAAACAGAGGGCAAGGTAGGACGGGGAAGGATGGATTCGACGTCGCCCTCCATCGACTGTTTATAGAGGCCATAGAGACGTAAGCGGGCAGAAGGAGGTGGTCGGGAGGAGCCCGTTCGAGGAAGACGACGGACTGTGGCGAGAGCATGGACAAAGACGCGGTCTGTAGGGGAGGAAGTGAGACTCTGGCCGTGTGCCCCCATGATATCAGAGATGCAATTGAGACATACCCACAGAGTCCGACATGGCGCCAACTGCGCCCGAGGCCTGCTTGCCTCTCTTTACAAAGCAGCGCCGATAAGGATCAATTCAATGTCAAATGAAGGATGTCATTCAGATGTCTGGTGCGGAAGATGACCTGTGGAGAAGGGGGGCAATTCCGTAGTCGCGTGAGAGGGCCGAGATGAATTTGGACGAGAAGAAAAGATGCCGGGCGATACAGTCATGAATATAGATCATCAGGAGAAGTATGAACACTGGAAGTAAAATGGGTAGATACTATGTCAAAGGCAGCTGCATAGCTGACTGACTGCCGAAGTTTGACGAGGACAGTATCGCGTTGATTGAGCAATCAATTCTTTGATCATCTTTGGATTTTCGGGATCTCTCCAAGGCCTCGGCCTGCGGTTACGGCGCCGCATGTGACGGCTTCGCGCCAATATAATAACACGGCAGCACGGGCACACAATACGAGGTTCATCCCACCATCCATCAATACTCTCTTTGATTCCACCATTTCCCCTCGTCGATACATCTCTCCAGCAACAGACGCTATCACCACTATCCTTGTACAAATCTATCCTCCCACCCTCTCTGGCTGCGACTTGCCACTCAGCTCCGTGGTCTCGCGGGCGATCCCGTGCGACGGCTGCTCAGGATCACTGTGCGCACCTTGTCGGTTTCTGGTCGACTCTTTCGGCGCCTCTCCGCCCATGGCATACTTGCTCAAATCTCCATATTTGACCGTGTTCAGAGCACTCTCGTGCGAGGCATGAAGATGCACTCGCGGTACTGTCGACTGTGATATTTGTCCCTTTTGCGCTGCATCAAATGCTTCCTTCCACCGATGTGCACAGAGACACCATTTCATTCCGTCTTTGACGCCGGCATCGCTAAGGTTATTGCCTCTCGAATTCGTAAAATCCAGAAACTCTTGGTTCACCGTGGCTGCTATCGAATGGTTTCCCTTGTCCTCAGGTCCCGTCCTGCAGTATCCATCGCGAAAGAAGCCGGTAGGAGGGTCTCTCGAGTGGATTGCCAGCGGCCCACCGGCGACTGATAGCATGTCAGTGTCGGTGCGTATTGACAAATAATTGAGCTAAGAGGGCGCACCATTCTTGTTCTTCATCATTTCCTTGCTTGAGGTCTGTGGAGATGCAGCCATTTTGAAGGAATTGCTCTAGTTGGCTGTAGCGTATCTCTAACAGTCTCTACAGTAATATGTCGAGTCGCGGCTCTGATACCAAAATATCTTCAAGAGATGAAATCGAAGAAGGGAAATTCGAGACGTCTTCGAAGCCTCACACTCATTTTACAGTCTCGGACAAAATGGTCAAGCCTGGGGGTTATGAAATCATGACGTTTTCCGGAGTGTTTACATCACCAGAAGCTCAAACACGATCCTGTGCGGCACAGATCGAAACTCATTGATGACAGCATGAATTGTCGCTTTTGGTATCCTTAAGAAACTGTGGAAGAGATCTGGGCAGACAGCTCCTCGCCTCTGCACTTCATCTGTGTGTGAAAGAAACTGAGAATACCTGGCAATGCTCCGCACACGCTGGCTCCAGTTCATTGCACGAGCAACAACATGTATCGATAAGATAAGACCCTGATCGGACTCAATAGCCGTCAGCTTCGCGATCAGCAGACACCTTATACGCCGTATTATACGCCTGGTATGCATGGAATGCCTTATATGCACGGCACCATTCTGAAACTCGCCTCGATAATTTATCAAAAATAACAATGGATATACGCGCAGGACCCTCAATGGATTCCACAAGACAGCATCCTCCATGACCGGAGTCTGTCTCTCCTCCCCGGGACTGCACCTCGGCAATGTACCCGGAGCTGCGGAGAGCCACCGCGGGGAGATGTACAGGGTATCAATGACTGGGCTCGTTAGGGTATCAATTATGCCCACTGACGCCGGCGTCGATCCCTCCTTTTATCCCCAGATCTCTCCAGGAAAGCTGTGTTGCCCAGAAACCATATTAGAGGTGTATCTCCCCCCGCTAAAAGCCGCTGGCACAACGCCCAGGAGTATTCCATCTCTCTCCCCAAAGTATATTTCAAAAAGCTCTAGGCTGCAACCCGCCGGTTCTCTGCTATGCTCAACAAGCATGGCTTACAAAAAGATGAAATTGTACATGAAGATGTCATGAACCCTATCGCCGTAGACGGCGCTGTCGAGGTAGCGGCCCAGAATGTACCTCTACAAAACGACCCGAGAAATGCACCAATCCCCGACGCTGATGGCATTGAACATCGATACTTGACCTTTGAAACAGATATTCCGCTGAACCCGGTCCTACCATCTGGGGCCAAGAATGAACTTCCGCCCTGTCCAAATCTGCGTGACTATGACAACCCATTTACCTGGTCACTGACCCGGAAGAACCTCATGACATACCTCTCCTGCTCAGTCAACATCACGGCCGCATATTCCGCCGGCTCTTATGCATCGCCAACCGCACAGCTGACTGAAAAGTGGGGGATCTCTGCCGTGGCATACAAGACTGGCATCACTATTTTCACGGCTGGGTTTGGGGTTGCTCCTATGATACTGGCACCATTTTCGGAGATCAATGGAAGGAGACCTGTCTTCATCTTCACTGGAATCCTCTTTGTCATATGCCAGATTGGGTGTGCGGTGACCGACTCCTTCGCAGGGATGCTGCTGGCTCGGTTCTTTCTCGGTGTTGGGGGATCCACGTTTTCTACCATGGTGGGAGGTATTCTCGCAGATATCTGGGTGACAGCTGACCGGAATGGTCCTATGGTCCTCTTCACGGGAGCCACCTTGTTTGGCACTGGTCTTGGGCCTCTGGTGTCCGGGTTCGTTGCACAACGCACGTCGTGGCGTTGGGTGTTCTGGATCCAAGTCATCACTAGTGGTACCCTGGTCAGTCTTGTCACCATCTTCTTCAAGGAGACGCGTGGTGGCATCATTCTCAGTCGCAAGGCGAAACTGCTGAACAAATGGTACGAGCAGCTGGAAGCCGCAGGAGCTTTGGGGATGGAAGTGGAAGCCGAGGGTAACGAGCTGGAAAAGGGCTCGAAGAGGTGTTGCCGGATCCGATGGAAAGTGAGATCAGACGAAGACCGAATGTCGATATCCAGAATGATCGCGGTCTCCCTTTACCGACCTTTTAACATGCTTGTCACGGAGCCCGTGGTGTTCTGGTTCAGTCTCTGGATCTCGTTCTCCTGGGCTGTGCTCTACCTGCAATTCGGGTCGATCCCCCTGGTGTTTGAGGTCAACCACGGCTTCAGTTTAGAACAGACTGGAGCGATCTTCACAGCAATGTGCGTCGGAGCCATTGTCTCTACGGTCCTGAGCATCTGGCAGGAAAAATGGGCCGCTAAGCACTATCCTGTCAAGATCAACGGCAGTCCCGAGGGGAGGCTGATGTTCACGTGCATCGAATCCGCCTTCATGCCAATCGGGCTGTTCTGGTTCGGCTGGACCTGTTACTCGTCCATCCACTGGATTGTCCCTACCATCGCCATCAGCGTTGCCACGATGGGCATCTTCAGCATCTTCCTCGGCACCTTCAACTACACGGCCGACTGCTATCACACGTACGCGAGCTCGGCCCTGGCAGCGTCGGGAATTTGCCGAAACCTCCTAGGCGGATCTTTTCCACTGGTAACAAATCAGCTGTTCACGAACCTGGGGTTCCAGGCCGCAAGCAGCCTTTTGGGCGCCATCGGGCTCGCATTGACTCTGGTTCCTTGGGTGCTGGTCCTGTACGGCCCAAAGATCAGGGCCAGAAGCAAGATTGCGAGTTCATTTACTTGAACCGACACTGCTTGCTGGTTGCAAGAGTATGATTTCCAACAAAGTGCATGCGGAAGACGGATTCAGATACGCTCAGGCATCTATCTATCTCTACAGCCAATACCCGCCCTGCCCGTCAGAGCACCAAGTTGTCTCCGTGGCCTGGCCAAGCAATAGGGACATGGCGGCAGTGGACCTTCGTCCGCGACCACTCACTTCCGACCAGCTTGATCAAAATAGCCAGAGAGACGGAATCTTCAGACTGAAACTGGAACCCGTTGACGCCGATCTCCAACAGATGAGAGAGCATTGTAAAGCTACCCTACCCTCCTATGATCTGCATGTGCAACATGCCGTTGTCGTCCTCATGGAACGACCAGTCGGCCGGGAACAGTCGGAAGGGCGCCGAGCGAGCGTCATCAGAGCACCCGTCCACAGGGTGGTAGAAGAAATAGGGCGAAAGGAGCTCGGTCAAGACAAGAAGAGTATGCGCGGCACAAGGAGAATTGATGGAATGGACTGACGATGAGGGAGGTCAAGGCACTGGGGGCGGCACCACGTACACATGAGTGTGGACCGCCTAGCTGGCTTGATCTGCCTCTATCGAGGTAGACCTAAATATGAGGTATACATGGTCCTGCTCACTTGCTTACCCACCACCTCGTACTTTTGCTTGGTACTTCGTGCCTCCCATCCTGGCAAGTACTCAGTCCTGCTCCACGCGACGCGCCGTGACGCGCTGTCCCGTGACAACTTCACAGCTACGAGGATCCTACGTAGAGAGAATGCAGCGGACAGTCTTGTGTCAAAGATAAATGCCAACTAGTACAATAGTACAAGGTATGTTTTTCAAAAAAGCTCGCTTTGTTGGATAATTCCTCGTTGTAATGGGGGTATCGATCGTCGTCGTAACAATACAAGATAGCAAGCACACTGTGATCGCAACACACAAGTCCCATCTTCACATGACCGCCAGAGAGGCAGGTCCAGATTCTGAGACCGGCCCCTGAACAACCATATCTCCTCATCCTCAATACCAGGAGGCTTCGACTCCATACGGCTCGGCGCGGCCAAGCCAAGGGGCGTTGTAACCGATTCACGGTCTTTTGAGTAACCTAAAACAAGTCATCCACTCATGACGTTTGTCGTCTGCCGTTGAACGCCGGTCCTCATCTCCATCTAATGTGTCAATCGTTGAAAATCCCCCAAATGCGCCAGCCCGTTTGTTGTATGAATGGCAGTAGGTCACCAAAACAATCTTCTCTGCATATCGTTCGTGAAAAATCCTGTGTCGACTTCCATCGGTCCGCTCTCCACGGCCATGGCATTCCCCATACCGGTCATTCCCATACCGTTGTTTAAGGTCTGAGCCTGTGCCCAGCTTGAGTCCGCAAAGCTCTGTAACAAGAGAGCCTCGGCACCGATTCCCACACCATTGACATTGGGACTTGAGGTGTTGTTATTGGGCGAGCTGGTGTTGGATAAAAATGAGGACAGAGATTGCCAATTGGGGGTTGATGTTTGGCTGTGGCCTGTTTGTTGTTGCTGGGCGTTTGAGGTTGTAGGGAGATTTGGTTGTGAAAGCGAATGTTGAGGTACATTCACGGGGGTGCTTGCACCGCTGCGGTATGAATCTGTACTCATCGAACGGAAAGCGCCCGACTGAGCATGACCATGTCCGTGACGGGAGAGATCGACGGATCCGGGGCGCGAATGACTTGCCGCGTTCAAGGAGTGGAGGGGATTATGGGCATGGCCGTCGTCGATGGAGTTGCGGAAAGAAGACTGACTTTGCACATTGGAACCGGAATGTAAGGCGCAGTCCTCTTGCCATTTGCGGATGTTATCAACGCTGTCAAGAGGGAATTGTTCCCAGTATTCAATCCCAGTCTTCTTATTCAAGACCGGGGGACTACTTCTCATTGTGTGCGGACCAGGGGAGGGCGAGTCACGGGTTTTGAGACCAAGCATGTTGAGATTAGTTGTTGAGGGGCTGGAAGTGAGAGAATCGGTGGCGCATTTTAGTTGTTCGGTGGAGATGATGGGTAGCAGGGCGAGAAGAAGCGATTCCGCTTCATGGAGACGGTGCTCAAGGCCTTCGATGTAGCCCTTAGCAGGACCTCTGAGTGGCAGTATTAGTTCCATGCAGTAGACTGGAAGAAGAGGAGGGAGGCCCTGCGCCGGATGGCACACCTGAGTCGGGTCGGACATACCTTTTTCTTTGTTCTGGCCATGTACATGGTATGCCTGCAGCATGACATTGTGAGCAGCCGGACCTGTCAATAGAAACAAAGTCAGTCACATTGCCCTTGACGCATCCTTTCATGACATTGCAAAGTAAAACACATCAGCAAACAGCCAATTCCCCGTCGTACGTCCATATCCAAGGCATTGTTCAGTTGACCAACGTGACCACCCTGATGGACAATTGGTGGATGTGGTATCAGGGCTAACCCCCGACTTCAAATCATTGTGCCAAAACGATTTAGCAAGCAATGAAATCCCCGCGAACAGCAACTGGAGGTGAGATTCTGGGGTAGGAAGGTATAGTTGGGTATAAAAGCAAAGCCCGTCCTCGATTTCTATCGAACTTCCTCTTGACACCATCTGGTTGAAGAACAAAGAGGTCGAACTCACCGATCACCGCTGCACTATTACCCAAATCTTGTCAGCATACATCTTTTAATGTTCAGCTTGATGATCCGCCATCTTAAGCTACCTTTTACGGTAGAAGAAGAGGCAGGTCCGGATCCCAATCATTGAGAGGACTCCTGAGCCTAGAGGGGTGATAACTACATACCTTTTGCTTTTTGGTACGGCACCCGTTGCAGGCACCACTTATCCGAGTGGGCATGTTGGATAGATATGGAAAAGGTTGGCTGTTCAATACAGAGAGCCTTCGAAGCCTTGATGGATGATGAGTGGACAAGGCCGTGGGCTTTTCTCAGTCTTAAAGGACGATGTCAAAGTGCAAGACGTCGGGTCAGGCCTTTCTGGGATGGATTTGGGGGACTGTTGGCCTACGGCACTGGGGGTTGATTATGGTAATCCCAGAAACAGAAGCTCGTTGGTTGAGGTCGGAGCAATGCGGACTCAGGTGAATAACCTTCGTAATAGTCGAATTGCGTAGCCGTGTCAGCGAATGACAGGGCTGGCTTCTGGCTCCTCGTAAATAGGGCAAAGCCTGACTAAGTGTGTGCGTCGCCGAGCGGCAGGTGGATTGGCGAGGAAGACAAGCTGCAGTCTGGTGCGACAATATGTCCGCAGGACTTCTTCCAGGATCACGTTCACTGAACAAGTTCTTGAATTTCTGTCGAAAAAAGATAGCCTGACACGTTGGTCAATTCCCAACGGGGGGCCGGAAAGTGTTCCGACGTCCTTGTCTGGCTTGATGTTTGTCGGGGTTGTCAGTATTCTAGTGGTATTGTGGCGCTGCAAGTGTACGACTGATGAGTGCCTCGGTGACTGATATCCGATGCAAGTCAGAAGGAAAGGACCTTGCTTGGTAGATAGAAAACGCGAAAGTGGGTTGATGAGCCGGGATCCTGATGATTGATATAGAGCCTCGACCCAAGCAGCCAGACGGTGTGTCAGTATCCCCGTAGTTTCTGGACAGACGATGCGACACAATTTCCGCACACCCGTGTGAAAGTTTATTCCGTCACTTATGTCACTCAGTCTGGGTCAAGAAAGGAGCCTTGGTATATACACGAGGTCCAACAATGAAAAGAGTGGAATCGGTCACAGCTCAAGGATGGATGTCCGGGCAATAGTTCGGACACAGGGCTTTTGGGGCGACGGCCCGCTGATCAGGGTGGGAAGCTGACGCTCGGATAGGGACGTTTCTTTCTGGAGGATTGAAGACGCGGATATTGGTCGGGGGTGGCTGTAACGATGTACGATTGGATCGCCTGACGGGGAAAGAGGGAGGTCCAGTTTCAGGGAGAGAAGGACGAGATCTGTTGCGTCATGGCGAGGAGGATGTGAGAGACAAGATCGAGGAGGGCCCCTGTGAGGGAAAGGAATGGGGCTTAGGTGGCGGTCTGTGCAAGGAACCGTAAGGCGAGGAAAGGCCCAAAAAAGGCCGCATAAGATGTTGCAGTGATCTTGAGTGGTGCAGACAACTGCGGTGCGGCGACGAGCCAATCCAGATGAAACCGTGAGCGGACGCCGCCTGAAAGGACCACGCAAGCCCTTCAAATGGCAGTTGAACTAAGGGCGCAGGGAGGTGCAGGAGCGAGCATGTCGCCTAACATCAGCGCTGACTCACGGGGGTGGGCGGGTGGATATGCTGGGCGATGGCCAGACCCAAGGGAACAGGTAGAGAAGAAAGAGGGATTTGCAGATGGAAGTTTCTAATGCTAGCCTAAGCCAGATGGAAGAAAGTGTGCCGGAGAGTGAGCGATCAGGAACAAGACAAAGAGCTGTTGAGGTAAAAGCAACAAACTTTGACAAGAAAAGAGTTCACTTTGGTAGAAGGGGAGGCATGGCCAAAGTACGGAGTAGATTGTTACATTACTAGGTATGGCGGTACCTAGGAACTAATTAGGCGGTACTGGTGAAGCCCAGATAGGCAGTTCGTGGCTTGCTTGCTTGCTTGCTTAGGGGCCGCCGAGGGGTTCTTGCCAGTAGGTTTCTGAGGGGTTTGGCTGAGGGGAAGGCACATAGGTTCTATTGGCTCCGAAGAACCCTCAACTTCACGCCTGGAGTAACGTTCTGCCGGGGACCACTACGGCCGCCTGAGCAGTATTTGTGAGGGGTGCAACGCCCCTATCGTTTACTCCTGGGCATCTTCCTCCTCACCACCGACCTCGTACAAGGACTAGCATCGTGAGATGGAAGACCGACGTCATCCCGTTGGGATCCTCGAAGAGTCTCCAGACAACATCCAGATCTTCGATTCAATCGACACTATGTACTTTTTCAATCCCGCTGTCCATTCAGAGACCTGTTGCTTCGTATCTGCTGAGATCCGACATGTGACAACCAGACGGTATCACAAGTGTCAGAACACCATCTGG